CCTGGATAGGTGTCAATTTGACTGTTTTTAAAAAAAAAAAAAAAAAACAGCAGGTGCATTGCTATCGACTCAAACAGCAGGGAGCAATTATAACTGAAAATTGGCTTTACCAAAATCATTAAATCAATTCTTCATTTTGTCAAAATGCTCATTTCCATTGAAAAATCAAAAGTTACAAAATTAAAGGTGATAACTTTGAAATCTGAATAAAAAATTTTTATTTTATTTATGATGATGAATACTTTTATTTCATAAATTCATCCCCGAGGTCTTCATTCATGTAATAATGTTGCTTAAAATATCGGTTTTATTTTAAATATTTAAAAATGAGTAAAATACGATGAAAAACAAACCCATTTAAATATTTGTTCTGTTCAAAATAGATGCGTAAATAAATCAAATATTTAAAAAGTTTTCTGCATTAATTAATTTTACTCTCTTTATTTTAATAATTATATTTTAATCATTGTTTTTTTTTTTTATTTATACTTTATTTTCATTGCCCTCCAAAAAAAGAAAATCAATTTCCTTCCTTTAACTGATTTCAACATTAAATAATGCTTTTAAGCAAACTGACTTGTTATCAATCATTTATTGTGATATATAAGCAATAATCAAATTAATGGGTGTAATTTTTAACAATAAATAATTTTTAAAAAGTGCCACTCAAATATAGCAGTTATCTCCCTTTTAATTTTCTAACTTCTGGTTTTTCAGTGAAATGAACCATTTGACGAAATAAAAATTTGATTTAACAGTTTTTGGTGTTGCCAATTTTCAGACAAATGACATTCACTGTTATGGACTGGACTCCTCAAACAGATGTACCCACTAAATATAATGCTTATAGTAATAATATATATAATGCCACAAAATATGGGCAGAATTTATTTGTTAAAAGCAGCTACAGTTCTAAGCTGAAAGTTTATTAAACACTTTCCTAATAAAGAATAAATGTTAGAATAGGCTCATTGTCATTGTGTACTGATTCTCTTTCATTCAATCTGTACAGAAAATCTCTCCACAGTTTATAATATGGTAAGGTTCTTTCCATCACCGTCCCACACTGAGGCTTGTAATTTAGTCTCTTAACATCACAATTTATGCTAATGTGATGGAAGTAAGTTATTTATAACACTTAAAGTGTCATTATATTCCTTTCTATTCAGACTATTGTACTCGTCAGTTGTTATACAACATTTTGACTCTCGTATCTTTGGGCTTTCTTTAAGTGTATATCATCATAGAATTTTGAATAGAATCCTTTATTCAACCCATGGAAATAAAGCGTTCTCGTTCCATTTTCCACACTTCTAGGATATTTCATTTCAGTACTCACCAGTCTTATTCACATTTGTGTTGCTTGTCTGTTTCTTTAACTGAACAAGACTTAATAACTTTTGGGACATGGCCTAGTGGATTGAAGAAGTGGTTAAAACATATCTTGTTTTCTATGAGTTCAGTCCCTGGGTCTGGTAATGTTGAAATGTTGCATATTCTATTTCAGTTGTTCCCAAACTTTTTTTCTCTGGGCATCATTTTCAGAATGAAAATTTGTTCAGCCCCTCACCAAAGTGAAGTCCCAGTGAAAAAAAGACACAAGCAGCCCTACAGCAAAGAAGGTCCAGTGATAGGGTTACAGAGAGATAACCATGGATTCAATGTCAGAACGTTATCATTAATAACTCTCTCCTCCAATTTGCAGTCACTAGTTAGTATATTCTTAATACTTGATATAATGCAAAAATATCACAGTGATGAAATCGTTCAATAAGTATTTATAACTATATTGGGACCTATGCATGCAATTACAAGTAATCCATAATAATATTTTAAATTTTGAAATTATATTTATTTCTGGCATTTGAATTTTTGGAAACGGTTTCTAAATCTTTGATTGTCTTTCATTCCACCTCACCTGTTGTCGTCTTCCGCTGCACCTATGTGTCCCACCATACTGTTTAGGAATCACTGCCTATTTATACTTTACATTGTTCAAACTGTTGTCTTCATCTTTATTGTCACATTCTTAACGTTTCAGTCATTGTACACTCTGGCCTTCTTCAGGTGGTATTTGTTGGAATTTTGTCCATGGGGATAGATTTGGTCTAATTCCACGTGACACGCCTTTTTAGACATCTCAGTTTTTTAGTTAATTTTTCTTGATACCGCAACTTGCAACTCTCCAAGTTTTTTCTCTGCTGAGGCCAGGGATTGGATGAATCAACCAATACTTTTATCCACTGTCCTTGGTAAGAGAATTCTGGGGACTTATAAACCTAATGCCTCAGTAAGAATTTTTTACCAATGCTCATATTACAATTTTTTTTTATTTTTACTTTTTGTTATTGTTTTTCTTTGGCCAACTGTATTAATGGTTTTCATATTCACCATACTTACATTTTTCGGACATCAGTTTGGACAATGTAAATAGTAGAAAAGGTTACACTACCTCATCTTGGAAATATAGGCAGAGGTCACATACTCTTTCAGTAAAAAAAAACAAAAAAACTGATAAGCAATTCAAAGGTGATGTATCTAGTGATTATTTAACAGCTATGAGTTATCTCCCCTAAGTATGAAAATCAGAATGAGAACACTATTCCTATGAATTGAATAAAGGGCTCAGTTTGAAATTCCAAGAAGGTTACCAGTATAACAACAGACAACTGAAGATGGCTGGAGGACACAATGGTCAAAACATTGTTAGTAAAATAACCGTGATGAGGATAATAGTCTAAATAGCAAGACATATAGCAATAAAAAATTCTGACAAAACTTAAAAACAAGCACCAAATCCATTCTTTTTTTTCTTTATCTTTTTCTAAATTTTATTGAAGCATTTATTCTTTTTTATGAAACTGATTAATTTCTCAGATACTGACTGTAAATGCTATTACCAAATGAAATATAAATACATTTTATTTTTTGTGAAGACATACCGTGTATATTATAAAATCATTGAGGTTCATTTATTTGACTTGATTGTCAAGTTAGAAAGGATAATTTTGAATCATCTGAAAAATTTTCTTTGTTCAGACTGTGTACACTCATGATTTTCTTTTTTCTTCTTTTTTCTTTCTTTTGTTTCTTTTTCCTTTTTTCTTTCTTTTTTCTTCTTTCTTTTTTTTCTTTCTTTTTTCTTTCTTTTTTCTTTCTTTTTTTCTTTCTTTTTTTCTTCTTTCTTTTCTTTCTTTTTTCTTCTTTCTTTTTTTTCTTTTTTTCTTTCTTCTTTTTTCTTTCTTTTTTTTCAATTCTATTAGGATAGAGACTGATCAGGCCGCTGTCTTGGCAGTAAAAAAAATTCTTGTTTTCAGTAAAATCATTATTTCTTAATATTTTCATTATCCTCATCTTTGCATGGCCTTTAAGTAAATCTACAATGAGGCAATGAAAGTTTTTGGCAAATGGCAATAAATACTAGGGACAATACCTGTTTTTGATTCCCTGACTTGGATTTTATAGTTGCATAGAAGAAAGAAAAAAATCACAATTTTGTTTGCGTAACATTGTGTTTGTAAAATAGAGAAGAATTATTATGGGTTAAAGATTACAAAGAAATGAAAAAATGTAATAAACAGCCACAAAGGTTGTTGGAAATGTATTTCTGAAATACAATATATTTGACAGGGTTACAAAACCCACCCCAAAAAGAAATAGGATGTCACAGTGCCTTTTCATTGGCCCATGAATGGACAAATCTGCAACCAGTGAGAAGGCAAGTTTTTTTATTTTTTTTTTAAATCATTTCTCCCTCCCAAATTCTCCCGTGAGAACTTTTGCCGTTGTTATAGTGGAACACACCTATTCTATAGTTAATAGACTCTCCCACCTATAATAAGTAGGAGTAGTAAAAGTAACAAGTCAGTTGGCAGTGAGTTGGTCAGTCAGTCGATGTCAGACGACCGTTAGTCGGATATTAAAGTATCAGCCACCACAACTACATTACTGCGTCATTACCTATTATATCAAGTTCCTAACGTTTTGTACGTCGAACCTATTTTAGGACCGACTTAGTACAAATACAAGCCTCCACTGTGAAACCACTACATAACAGCCATGTAAGATATGTGTCTGCAATGTTAGGATAGGGGAATTTCTCTCTGTTGTAGCATACCTACAGACAATAATGGGTATGACCCATTCCCATAAATACAGTAGTAAATACTGTATGTTGATCTCCAGTTGGAGATTCATTGTAGAATTCACTTGACTCACTTCTAGCAGTTTACTACTACTTCTACACGCCGCTGGCGAATCTTGTATTATCGTTCTTTACCAACCTTTGTGTGATTATTCTATTCAGTAACCTTCCATAAGTTACAACACTCTCACTCACTACATCCTCTCTGTCACTGACCGAATTTCCTTATTAAGGACAATAAAAGTAGACAATACAAACTATATGCATTGTGCTATTTATTACTACCAGCAAACCTTTCTCTTGATAAAAAGTCTGTTGATTTAACTTTCAGTACGAAACAGAGATATAGCTACATTTGAGAATTGGCCTGATGTCAACTATGGACAGCAAAACACACTTGTTCACTATGAACTCAAGATTCATGAAAAATTGTGTCTTTTTTTTGAAAGCACTCCCACAATGCCAGAAAAACTGTATTATGCATGTAGATGTCAATACACAAGAAAATCAAATAGTTTTCACTTGTTATATATCCAGATTGTTTTTGGGGTTTTTTTTTCAGTTCGTTTGGTGCTATGTTTTGTCTTGGTCTGACTGCATTATTCGTTAAGCAATCCGATGAGTGTTTAACAAAATCTGAATAAAAAAAAAGTTTCTTGTAATGATTCAAAATTCTTCCTTATTTTTTTTTTATTTTTTTATTTTTTTTTTAAATTGAATAAAGATGCCTTGTTTATGTGTGTTTCTTTGTAATTAAGTAAAATTCTAATGTGTGACTAACTCGACCCCTGCCCTGTGATTTGTACCACATTGACCTCTATACTAAAACACACTATTATTGCATTTGTTATTCCAGTCGAGCCTGGGGTCTGGTGTCATCAATCCGGGGCACCAATCTTAGGTACTTTGGAGAAACACTTTTTGCTGAAGTGTCCTGGACTTGGGTGCCACCAACTCTCAAGGAGAATACTCTCTTCAGCAAGGTTTTGGTGACAAAAAAAAACAAAAAAAAAACAAACAAAAAATACAAAAAACTGAAAGATAGATTTTTACCAAAATTTTTTATTTGACTGATTACTATTTCTTTTTCTTTTTTTAAGCAAGACTGTTCACTCTTTTTAACATGAAATTTACAAAAAGGCATAATCTCTGATCTTCAGGAGATGAGGCTGATGATGAGTAGATGAGTAAAACTTGGATTAAATTAGCCAGCAATTTTCTCTTTTTCTTTTCTTTTTTTTTATGCTCAAATTTATCTTTCATTCTTTAAATGCCAACTTCCCAGACAATTTCTCCTCCTTAAATTGTTGTTTTGTTTACTTTAAAGCTCAAGGCCACCTTCCATTTGTTACTGCAATTATTTTCACTCACATTGTCTGCTTTCAATGATTTACAAAATTGTTTTCCTTTTTCAAAAACTGTGTCTCCTAAAGAATCTTAACACATGAAAAAGCACTCACCACATTTACAAACATTCAAGTTATAAACTTTCAGAAATATGAACAAACCTATCTATAAATTTAAATTACTAGCCAAATACCTGGTCAACAGACAGGGAAATGCAAGTCATGAAAGAAGTTTTCTTTTTATAAAATTTCTGTATAAACAACATTTTCAACAAGAAACTTATTTTACAAATTTCTTTTTGCCATTATGTTAAGTCCACTTGAATTTCCTATTCTAGACGTGTCCTGGGTAAGACGATAAACTACATCTGCATCCTGGGTAAGACGATAAACTACGTCCAACAGCAAGGCCTCTGATAATATGTTTTTGAAAAAATAATATTACCAGCTGTACGTTTTTGAAAAAATAATATTACCAGCTATAAATTTTTGAGAAAAAAAATATTAACAGAAATGGATTTTTGACAAAACAAAACTATTACCAGGAAAAGAAAAAAAAAAACTTGTCGGCATTAAATGACCCATTGAGGTGCTGATATGCCGTAAAACAAAACAAACCAAACCAAACCTATTCTAGACGTAGCTACTTAGAGCTTCACCTCTAAATTTTTTCATTTGTTTAAATAATTCAGTACAGCTTTAGGAAAATTTAATTAAACAGATGATTTTCACTTATTTAGATAATTCCATGAGTTTTTCTTTAATCTATAGTAGCGTAAAATGTTTACTACAAACGCTGCAGGGAGTAAGATCATAGCTAACTAACATTATTGGCTCTAAAATTAAAGAATTCTTCAAATTTTAATATTTATTTTAAATTATTTTCTTTATCTCCACTTCTTAAAGAAAAGAAGAGAAAATATTTTAAAAGCCAAGATTATGTTTATTTTACATTCTTTTAAATGTAAACACACTAGTATTTTTTCTGCTAACTTGTGACTGAATTTTGAAGCAATAAATTTTAAAAAAGATCTTTAACAGAAACGTTGCTTATATATGGAAATTTTAAAAATGTGAATTGCAAATAAATAACAGGGATGAAATATTTACTGAAGTATACTTTTAAAAATTGTCATACAAATTAAACATTACCACTTATGTTGAAATGCAATTTGTTATATATGTATGTATGTATAGACATCTTTCATTGAATAACTTAGACAAGTTTTGTTTACTTATTTTTAATTGGATCCTTTCATATTCATGAACAAGCTTTTTGGTATCATTATTAAAGGAAGAGAGAAAATTACCATGTTTAATTGTTTATTCCAAGTACTTTCAACATTTCATTTGCACAATGTCATCATCAGGGCATTATGTTTTTCTTTATATATATATATATATATATATATATATATATATATATATATATATATATATATATATATATATATCACATTACAAACACTGGTTTCAAACACTGGTTTCTGTATGATCATCCAAGTTAAGCAATGTCAAGCTTTGTTAGTACCTGGATGGGTGACCACTTGGGAATACTAGGGGCTGTAAGCTTAGATGCGCAGATGGTATGACTTATGACCACATCACATTGAAACCCCAGTTCCTGTACAATCACTAAAGTTAAGCAATGTCAGGCTTGGTCAGTACCTTTATGGATGACTGCTTGGGAATACCAAGTGCTGTAAGCTTGGATGTGCAGGTGGTGTAATGGATAATGGCTCAGAATTGTTAATCAGAGAGCTGAGTTCCAATTCCTGTTGGGTTTGTCATATTCACTTACACACAAATACCCTTGGGGAAAGTGCAGCTACAATTTTATTATTTGTTTTTTTTTTTTTCTTTCTTACACACTTGAAGACTGAGTTAAAAGAACTGTATATTTATTTCAGGTGTGTATTTTTTTTTTTGCATGATGAAGATTGGAGGTTAATGCTGTAAACATCGTAAATTTCATATTAGAATGAGTGTTTCATCTCTGGTCTTACAAAAGGACAAACTTGTAAGCTCATAAAAACAAATTTACTGCCATAACTGTTTTTAAAACTTGACAATTCAGACTAATATCCTCATCTTTTTGTTAATTTTTATCAATGCATTTTGGCTCTGTGTGCTCTCAGATTTCTCTATTTTGAAAAACTTTTTTTTCTTTTGCTTAATATTGCCTGAAGTTTTGAGATTAAGACTGCACATACAAAAAATAAAGATAAAGATAAGACTGAAAAATGTATGGAATGATATTTATACTTCGTTTCTTATAAAACCATCTCTCACTAGCAGAAATAAATTATCTGTCGGATTAAAAATAAATCCATTAATTCTTTAGAAATGTATATGAATAAAAAAACAAGGAAAACTATACTTAGTCAACGCTTTTCATCATCTAACCAACTTTATCAAAGCAAATGTAATTATTTTATTTTGCACAAGGTATCTATAAACAAAAGCAAAATGTTGTTAGTTACTCAAAATCTTTAAATTAAAAGACGCTTATAATTATGCATCAGGTTAACTGAAATGTTTAAGTATTAGATATTAAAATATGTCACTTAGCATCCTTGAATATTTAAAAATGTAAAAAAGAGCTGTCAAGTCCAGTAAGTATGATAAGATACCTTGAGAAAGATTTCCCATCCTTTTCACCATCAAGCCAGTCCCAAACTCAAAATTTTGCAAATGGTGAATCATCCAAACCCTAGCCGCCATGTTCTTATTGTGAAAATCTCTTTTGATTCATTTTATGAATCAATGTATTTAGTTTGTTTGGCAAAACACATTGATTTGCAAAATGAATGAAAAGAGACATTATTCAAGTCGGAGAATGGGCGAAAACAGACCCTAGCAGCCAGCTTCATTGGGGCAGTTGAGCCCAGGAAGATACCTAGGGGAAGAAAAAAAACTGATTCTAAACCACCACTGCTTTGAATTTTTATGTCCATGTATGGAAAAGGCTAGGGAAATAAATCCAAACAGAAAACCTAGCATGAAGCCCTGACAGCTTTGCTCTCTCAACACTGACAACTTTCCAGCAACTCAGGCAGTTAAGCTGGTCCCAAATATAATGCACAGTATTACTTTGGATCTTGTCAAGAGCAATTGGCATATAGTCTGTACGGTGCAAGGCATCCATATGCTATCACCCAGGTATGCACCCTGGGGAGGTAACTCCAATGCCAACACCAAAGGACTGAATTTTGACCAAAGAGGGTGATACCTTTATCTCACAAGATAAATTGATGCCTATATATATATATATATATATATATATATATATATATATATATGGGGGGGTCTCTAGGGGCCATTTATTTTTATATAAAAAAATATTAAAATGTAAAACAATTTAAAAAAAAACAGTAATCTCCTTTTATATTTAATATAAAATAATATTTAATAATAACTTTTAAGAAAAATTAATCTTTTCTTTTTTAATTTATTTTACATATAGATATCCCATATATTTTTAAAATAAAAAAAAAACTGTAATCCCTGTATAGTATATGGACTGCACCAACATTGCATTAACCAGATATTTTTATCTAAATTTAAATTACGTAACAGTCAGTCTCTACCCAGCACCTGATGATTGCATTATGCATGAAACTCAAGTCGTGCTACCAGGGAGAGATAATATGTATATTTATTAATCTTTAATAGCTCTGTTAGATTACATCAAGCACTGTTTTATTAAAACCAGCACTACATGTGCAATATATCATTCATTCATTCATATATATATATATATATATATATATATATATATAATTATTTATTTAAAAATATGATTCCAAAACACTACATAAGAAGTCTCATGTTTTAAATAATTATATTGAAGTTTTCGGCTCTTGTTTTGAAACATGAGACTTCTTATGTAGCGTTTTGGAATCATATTTTTAAATAAATAAGTATATTTATGCTCTACTTTTGTATCAAGCACTATTTTTTAAAAATAACTAAAATACTAAGGACTTTGGATTATTTACCTAACCAGTTCCTTTCTATTTTCTATATATTTCACATATTATATATATATATATATATATATATATATATATATATATATATATATATATATATAATTCGATGTTGGTTGGATTGATAAATTTTCACCACCCGCTCTTAGCAGACCAATTCACTTTCTGTTCCTTTTGATTTTAAAAAGAAAAAATAGTAATAGAATCAACTATTTGTTGATTGAAAGTTTAACTAATTTTGAAATAAGAAAGCAACTTTCTGTTCTACCATGTGTAAAATATTGAAGAGCGGAAATTCTTCATTTAGGAAGCAAACAATACCATGTTTGATGGCCTGGATAATCTTCTCACAGATGAAGAAGAGACTTGAACCAAAAGAAATGTTGAAAGAGGATATCTTCTGAAGGCAGATAGCAAGAATATAAAAGACTGGAATCAAACAGAACTCCCCCCCTTTTTTTTTTAAATTTCTCTTAGCAAAATAATTTTTTCAATCATGAAGTTTCTTCCAATATAATTGATACAAATGTTCTCAGATCTTTTCTTTCTACATTTGAAAATAGATTTGGTTGAAACGTCTTGTTGGCAAGATGACAAATAAAAAATTGGAATATTGATAACTCTTATTGACAAAACAACTATTTTCGGACATTATACACAGGAATTGAATTTCAATCAAGCAATAAAAGTTATAAAAACAAAAGCCTTATTTAATGACTGTGATAGTCAAAGGTGTTTTTGTCTATGACTTGCACATAACAGTACATTCCATAAGAATAAAAAATAATCAGATTGGAGGTGGGAAGAGAAGCCCCCCCCCCCATGTTTTTATCCCTATCCACTCCAAATAATTCAAAAATATCTCCCAGATCTGATATGAAAAAAAAATAAAAATAAAAAAATAAAAATACTGAATCATTACATTTAATTGAAAACATCTACCGAATTATTGAATTATTTACCTTAAACACACACGGGCATATATATATATATATATATATATATATATAGAGAGAGAGAGAGAGGAAGAGTGGACAGACAGGTCTGCCTATGAAACTATGGAGATGGGATGCTGAAGGTGACATCAATCAGCTGACTAACTTATATTAATTCTATATATATATATATATATATATATATATATATACACACATATAAATCTGTCTTATAAATAGAGCTTCTCAAATATTGGTATCTACTAAAATAACTTTTAAAGTTGTGTGTGTATATATATATATATATATAAAAACATGATTTAATAAATAAATAGAGTGTCTATTCAAATATTGGTATCCACTAAAATAACTTTTAAAGTTATATTAGTTTTAAGGGCTGCTATATTTATGGGTGAAAGTGCTCAATATCCAGGATAGAGCCTATGTAAATATAAAAGTGGTCACTGAACTCAACACCAAGAGAGACAACAGACGATTTTGTGTCTAAATAACTTATTGCATTTAGGCATGAAACTTGCCTGCATTTTTTGCATTTTACTAAAATAGCCTTCAACAAATTTTGTACATTCATAACTCCAAGGATATTTCATTGACAGGTTTGAAACTTGGTAACAATAGTTAATGTTTAATGTAGATTACAAAAATTTAAACAGCTTAGGTGTGTCTTACATGCTTTTATTTTCATGACACTCTGAAAATGGAAGAAATGCCAAAAGGCACTGTCCACTTTAAGAGCTTCTCATTTACAAAGTATGTCTACATAATCCAAATTAGTTTTCCTCTCACTTCTGGCCGAATAGATTATTTCTGTATATTAACGATATTCATTCCTGTTAGAAGAATGCCAGCATTACTGTTTGAAAATTGCTCAAAGAAAAGAAAAAAATTTTTATATTTTAACCGTATTTTTAGTTCTGTAAATGTTGTTAATGTGTAAGTCACTAATATAAGTGACTAATGTGTAGGTCACTATTATAAATGTTATTAATGTGTAAGTGACTAATCTGTTATAAAATAAATCTCTGGTACTTTATGAGCCAATTGCTATTATTATTCTGAAGTTTTCTTACCGGCAACAAATTTTCAAAATTAATCCTTTCTGGATTCTGTATAGATAGCTCCACTCTTTCACCAAAAAACAGCGTAGCATGATGAAAAAAGGTTCCAAACTTAATTAAAAAAAAAAAAAGTTTTATCATCAAAATGTTTTATTATTAAGAGCAAAGACACAAGTATTTTTTGATTATTTCATTAAAATTTTTTTAGTGATTTCAGGTGAAAAACATTGATTTAAAATTCTAGCAAAAATCATAGTTGTCAGATTTTAATGAAACTTTCATGATTTATTCACAAATGAATAAAACTTTCTTTGTTTTTTTTTTTTTTTTTTTTAAAAAAATCTTGATAAAAATATTTTTTCTACATATGTTAAACCCCCCCCTATTTAATTTCATCAAATTTCAATCTCAAAATTTATTTTATTAGTCAAAAGCAGGACTCCTTGGAAAATGTAAATCATCAATATTTTTTTTTTCAGACTACTACCCATTTTCTAAAAATCTGCTCTGAATCATAAAATAAAAAGTGTAATAAAACTATGACATTATTTAATTAGAAAAGCTTTTAATTGCTTTTATAAATATGATTTATTAAGGACACTATCGTCTTAAGAAGAATTTTTTTTTTTCATGAATAATGGATTTTTACAAGAATTGTTTACTTTTTTTTTTTTTTTTTTTATTAATTTGAATTATAAAAATTTATAATATATAAATTGGTTTAAATTCTGCATTACTTTAATCCAGTTAGGTAATATTGTTATTAAGTAAAAACAACATTTACGAATCAAAAATTGAAAAGCTTAATACAAAGTATTTTGCACCAAGATTTTTTAAATCATTTTTTTTTTTATATATATATAAAATATTATATAACAAGCTCGTTTAAAAGTATGGTCGACCATACACAACATTATCAAAAAATAAGAGCAATGAAGTAAAGATTCCATAAAATAGATTTAAATCAGCTAATATTCCTTAGATAAAGTTTCAGAAAAGTATATTTTACTTTTGGAATATATATAAAACCAAGAATTAACTTTTGTTTACAAATGTGTCAAAAATGGACAATTTTAAATGATTTTGTGAAAGCAACCAAAAAGTTAAGATTCCAATCAATATAATTTATATTTGGAATACACCAGAGTATTTTGCTGACAAAGTTAGTAAATTTAATCATTTAGCTTTCAATTTATATGAAAAAGAATGCTTCAAGAAAGCTTTTTCATTTTTATAAATTTATTTTAAAGCTTAGGTATCAAAAATACAGTGGAGATACCTACTGCATAGCCACAGATATATCTACATTCTTATCTACTCTCCTTGGTTCTTATTTCTTTTCATTTCACTATGGCTTGCTTTGGGCTTACCAAGGTAACCCAATTTTTACCAATCAATTTTCTTCTTTTTCTCTCTTCACAAATCTTTTTTTCTTCTTTCTTTCTTTCTTTTTTTCCACTTATCTAAGCTTTTTTTAAAAGCTCTTCTTTTTTTCTTTTTTTTTAACTTGGTTGGGTATCGCATATTGTCACCATTGCACTGTGCAGCTTTTTAAAAGTAAAGCGCCATGTCATCATTCTTTCAACATTCTCCAACCATTATCAAATACAAATTCTGTCCTGAAATTCTTGAACTGCATCCAACATCCCTACCCTGACAGTTTACAATTCCGAGTAGCAAAAGTTTCTTGCTGTATTTGAGAAAAGCACAGACTCTTGATTTTTATCTTTTATAACTACTTTCAGGATGTTGAAGATCGTGACTCTCCACAGCTTCCTTTTTTTTAATATTTCAAAACTGTGCATAACCATGATTGTTCTTAAGAAAGACTGGTTTCCCGTTATCTTCTCCGTGGTTTGGAATTCGGAATTCTCCTAGACTGGTAACCAACCAAGGCTAGAGAGTTTAATTTCACCAGTTCTTTTGCCCATAGATGGTGTGAAAAAAAAGATGGGTTCATGCCTTTTGCTAAAGGCAATAGTAAAATGAATGCATTTTGGCTTGCTGATTTCATTTTCTGTGTTGAGAACATTTAAGCCACCTGAACATCCCATCAAGGAGGCATGGTGGAGTAATGGATAGCAGCTCGGATTGAGGAATTGGAGAGCTGAGTTTGGATTCCAGTCGACTCCATTACATTCACTTACGTGCTAATACCCTTAGGAAAGTTATGAATCCTCTTCTTCTCCCCCCAGCTATGAGTAAATAGCAGGACAGACTGGGTTCTATAGCCTTTGATGGCAACTTGTCTCCCACAGAAAGAAATGACAATCTACTGCAGGGAAAAAAATCTGCCTCGTCAGTCATGTATTGAAAGATACATGATCGCCTAAGCATGTATCACACATGGCACATAACTGAATATCCCATCTCTTGATTTTAGTCAATCATAAATTGATTTTTCACTCTTAATTGTTCTGCTGGAATGGCTGGCCATACCAATGTCTGCTGTAAAATACTGAAGAATAATGCATACAAAACTTGCAATAGCGAATAACCCATCCAGCAATGGGCATTGACAAACCACTGCCATCATATGCCCAATATTAATAGTTTCCCTCTGTTAGTTACTGACTGGGTTACTGTAGTGCATCTTTGCTATTAGGTTGTTTAGTAAATAATGTCCAATTTTAAAATAAAACTTTTGTGTTCTAATATTTTATTATAATAGTTGCACAACAAAAATATATTACTTATTCCTAATGATTATTAAAGTGTCTTCTTTTTTTTAATTTTATATCAAACACATTCAGAATTCTGTTCTCAAATATATGATGTACTCTGTGTATTAAGTTGTTCGAAAAATAATGTCTGATTTTAGATTAAACCTTTTGCGTTCTAATATTTTATTTTAATAGTTGTACTAAAATATATTACTTATTCCAAATCCTCAACATGCCCTCTTTGTTAAGTTTATATCAATCTCTTCCAGAATTTAATTTAAAACATTATATACCCCTTGATTAAACAGGACCTTGCTCAATAAACTGAGTGACAGCATTTCACCAGACAATGAAAAAAGGTTATAACTGAGGAGAAATTTCTGTAAACTTAAATAAGGCCTAATCGTTAAATCCATTTTGGCAGGAAGGGAGACAAGCCTGCTTCTGCCACTGATTAGAACACAGAACTGAAGTCTAAAATCTTCAGAAATTTGTTAGCCAAGGATGGTGAGTTCAATCCTTGGTAGGACCACGAGTCATCATAGTTAACACCCCTCATCTTGAACATGAAAAAGAAGAGATGCATTTTTTTTCTATAAATTCAAGCTCGTCCATGATGCTTCTCAAACTGCTGCCAACATTGACAGTGCATGGAGTAAAGGGTCCACTTGTGATTGGACATTATGGCACAGGTTTCTGGGGTTTTGCATTAGAGATAAATGAGTCTTTTAGATCAAGGTGGTAGAGGATGTCCATCTGCAATTGACAACATTGGAAAACACTATTCAAATAAAACCCATGTCAATGTATCAGAAATGTCTCAGCTAATATGTGTCAACATTGCAATAATATCCGACCATCTCAAAAAAAATTGGCAAAGGGAAGAAACTTTATAATCAGTAAACGTCAACGAGTTCAACATTTTGAACTGTGTTCTATAAAATTGGAATGATTCATCTCTTGATCGAATAATGACTTGTAATGAGAAATGGATCATTTATGACAATTATAATTGATTGGTTCAATGGTTTGATCATGACGATGCTGCCCTGAACATTTTAGGTTAGCAAGGAAAGCCCTGATCAATATTAGAAAGCACAATAACAGTCAATAAACTCAAGAAACCTATCTTCATAAACAAAAATGTTTGAAGTGAAAGATTTTAAAAATTTAATCCGAAAGCAGTACTGGCTGCTTAGTCAATGAATGCCAAATGTTTCCTTATAGGGAAACGGTAAATATTACCATTAACATCTCTATATTTCTGTGATGAGATATTGTAACTATTTACATTGTTCAGACTGTTGTCTTCATCTTTATTGTCATATTCACTATGTTTCAGCCATTGACCACGCCATCCATCCTGCAAATGATATACATTGGAATTTTGAACTGAACCCTTTATTTTGTCTGTGAAGGTCAATTGTTCTAGTTCCATTTAACTTAAAACATTATATACCCAATCATCTTGAAGAAAAAAAGATTTTTTTTGCATGAATTCAAGCTTAGTCATCATGCTTCAAAAAACTTCTGCCGACATTAACAGATCCTGGGTTGAAGGACCCACTTGTAATTTGGCAGTATGGCGCTGATCAAATATTGACTTGTGATGAGAAATGGATTCTTTATAACAATCGTAATCAATCAGCTCAATTGCTTGATTATGACAAAGGGCTCCTTTCCAAAACTGAAATTGCACCAACAGAAGATTAATGTAACTGTCTGGTGGTTCGCCATTACAGCTTTCTGGAATCTAACCATACTATCATTGCAGTAGTTTACTGTCAGCAACTGGATAAAATTCATATTTAATTAAGTGAAATACAACCAGTACTGGTTAATTAACAAGATCCAATTCTACTTCAGCACAATGCCCAGCCACATGTTGCCAGGACAACACTGCAGAATCTCATTGACTTGGGATACAGAACTTTGTCACACCCATCCCATACCCTTGGTCACTGATTACCATTGTTTCAAGCACCTTGACAATTGTTTTAAAGCCAAAAGATATTCCGTTGCAACAAAGATTCAGAAACTGCATTCAAAGATTTCTTGGCATCCGAACCTTTAGAGTTTTATCGCAAAAGGCATAAATTGTAACTCAATGGCAGAAATCTATAGATTTTCAGGGTTCCTATTTTGGCTGCTTTGAATACATTAATTCTGGAATAAAACTTAATTCTAAAATCAGATATTATTTTGAGAACTAACTAATGTAAAATAGGAGATATTTTTAACAATTCGGAAAATGATAAATCATTAAAAAAAATTTTATGGTTTTATAGAACAACATATCCATTTATGACTGAATCAGCTTGAAGTAATAAAAAAAAATTTAATCTTCAAAAACTTTTCCAAAGACAATATTCCTTGGGAGAAACATATTGCTTTTCTGCTTCGTTCTTCTCTGCTAATCTTTACTTTAAATCTTCAATTGTTCTATATCTTGATTGTGGGAAAAGTTGTCTGTGGCTAAATACTGGTTGTGGCAATTAAGCCTGATATTTTGGCCTTGTTTATTTGCCTGACATAGTTTTACAATCCTATTAGAATCACTGATAGATTAATGAGCAGTAAGATAATTTGTGACAGAAGCATTGCTATATAGAAGCATTATGCATACCCTAGGTAGGTAGGTAGGTACAAACGTTAAGATATTGTGCCCTTCAAAATCTTTCTTTACTCCTGTTTTTTTTTTTTTCTGTGTATGACTGATTTAATGCTGTCTTTTTGTGTTTCAGATCCTATAGACGTCGCTCACGGAGCAGGTCTCATGAAAGGAGACATCGTAGTCGATCGAGGAGTCCGGACAGGTCTCGACGTTCACGCAGATCCAGATCCAGAGAACGGAAACGATCACATAGTAGAGACAGGGACCGGAGGAGCCGATCTCGTGAAAGGCAGCATGCAAGAAGGTCTCGACCTTCTTCGAGGGAAAGGCGGTAAGTGTACGCAGATGTCGTGGAGAGAATGTGAGCAAGCATTGAAATATTAACACTATTTAATTCCATTATTCAACTATAAATTTCCTTTAGGTAGACATGGTTATTATTTTAATACTTTAACAATTACCCTGGGAAAGAACAAGGTCTGGTATTTTACTGAGGGTAGTCAGAAAAAATTTGGTCTTAGGATTACTTATCAAGTCTTCTATTTTAAATAAAATAAATTTCTTTCAAATGTAAAAGAGACATTCCTTGTCTAATCAACAAGAGTCTAACCATCACCGACACAGATTTTTCCCAAATTTGGTACACTCAAAGAATTTCATGTTAGAAATTGAATGGTACCCATTTTACATTTTTAAGTCAAAGGGTTCCTTAGATATGACCCTTTCACCCTTGCCAAACAGGTGAATTTTGGAAAATAGTTACAAAGTTTAAATATAAATATCTCAGTTGTTTTTTAATCCACAAAGCTAAATTATAAAGCATTTTAAAGTACTTTGATGGATCTCAAAGGTGAGCTATTTATTTTTTCTTGTTTAACAGTCAAATAAGATAATTTGACCTTGACTTTAACCATTGATCTTTAATTTCTCAAAAAATGTATTTTAATTTTTTTTTTTTTTTTTTTAATTTGACAACGAATTTCTCTGCTTTATGGCAAGATGTACAAAATTTTGTGGTGGACTTTTGACTGTGGCCTGAGTTACAAGGGTTTTACAGAGTTGGGCCAAATTCAAAATGGCAGATTTTGGCATTAGAAATATGCTAACATTTTCCTATCTCCCAACATGGTCAAGTTGTATATCTTTAGAAAGCTCTTTAAATGCTGATTAATATTCACATGAGAACTATGATCATAAAATCAACAGAATTTGTGTTATTTGTGGTTAAATGTTGACCAATTTGGTAGAAAATAAAACCAACCTTATTTTTGGTTTTGTTTACATGTTTTGTTGATTTGAGACAGAATAATTCAAAAGCAGATATTAAACACCTGAACGGTATTTATCATTTCACAAAACTGTGACTAGTAGAAAAGTAAAAGTATTTAACGTAGTGGATTCATGCATAGTATCGTTGGGCAATTAGTGGCTTACAACTGCAACACCAGTTCCCGTACTATCACCAAAGTTAAGCAACATGAAGCCTGATCTAGTCCTGGATATGATTATAAACTACATTCAGCAGCAAGGCTGCTGATTGGGAGATTGGAGGTTTTGAGGGGCGTGGAACCACCTCTTAATTGCTGTTGCTTCCAGGTTTACCCTAACCCGGTGGGGTAGCACCTGTTAGAATCTCAGCTATAGGCAAATAGTGAAAAACAAACAAAAAAACACTATGAAAATATAAAAATACATTTTATAGTAAAAACACCAACAATCTAATTTTAAAGCAAAATGGCCAACAATACATTTTAACTGTAGTTGAAGCCATAAAATTATGTTCTAAATATTTCAATTAAATTTTGGCATTAAATGACTCACAAGGATTTGACATGTCGTTAAACAAGCAAATGAATCAATCAAGCCTGGTCATTACTTAGATGGGTGACTGCTTGAATATACCAGATGTTGTACGCTTGGATGTGCAGATGGTGTAATGGATAATGGCTCAGAATTGTTAATCAGAGAGCAGAGTTCCAATTCCAGTTGGGTTTGTTAAATTCATTTACATGCAAAATACTCTCAGGAAAGGTATGAATCCACCTCATCTCCCTCCACTCATCTATGGATTAATTAGCAAGATTTGTGCCACTAAGACCATTATTATTGTGTACAAAATATTTAGATTTCATCATTAAATAACCCATAGGTGTTGATATGCCACTAAACCAAAACAACCAACCGACTGTGCAATTAAATAACAGGAATTATATATCTATGTTCTTGAGAGGCAAATTAATGACAAAGTGGAAAATTTTTTGTGCAACTTGTTTCATCCTTGATAACTTCCTCAAACTAATGTTTTTGTTGATGGAGTTATATATGTGCAAGAAGAAGAGGGAAATAGAAAATGCTGAAAACAAAAGCATAAAGAAAGTGAATAAAATTGGCGAAAACACATACCCAGATATATTTAAAAAAAAAAAAAAAAAAAAAATTGAAATTCAAAAGTTTAAAATTTCAGCATTTCTCATCTGTGCGTAATTTTAACCAACATTTGTGTTCTTATATACCCCCTCTCCTTCATACACATATATAATTCCATCAACAAAAACATTACTATAGTCTGATGAAGTCTTAAAGGATGAAACATATAATATGATTTTTTCCACTTTGTTATTAATTTGCCTAAAATTGTTCTGATATATAGAATTTTTTATATCATATTCTCTCATTCTTGACAGCACATATAGCTTAAAATCATCAATAATATAATATTAATACTCAATAATCAATAACATAATATTAATACTCAATAATCAATAATATAATATTAATACTCTATGCACATATGTTCTAGAGATACAGCTTAAACAATACATAATACCCAACCAATTTAAGAGCTTGTTTTACCTTGAAACCCAGTCAAGTGCAGTCCCAAATTTCATTAAAATTAGACAAGGGATTCTTTAACTGGGGCCTTTTTTTTTTGTCTTTGTTTTGGCAAACATGGATGAACGTGCCCACAATAAAAGGTAGTGTCAAAAGGATAGTTTTTCCCTTGACACCACTATTATTTTAACTACCTTCACTCTTTGGCAATATTTGTTTTAAGAAGCTATTATTAGAAGTGTAATAAAACTGAAATATATGAAAGTGAATTTGTACACTTTCTTTGTTCTTAAGACTTGACAACAAAAATAATAAACACTATTTACTTATTATATTACTTATTGAAAAGGTTGGCAAAATATTGGCTAATTTCCAATTGATTCAAACTTTACAAAATGGTAAATAAGGATTTCCTTATTGTTGGTTCACATATTTTAATAATTTAGTCAATGTTTTATGAATAAAAAATTATTTTCATATTTATTTCTTTATAAATTAGTAAATGATAAATATTGCATTTTATTAGTTTTTTGAATATTGTAAATATAAAATTATTCTTGTAAATAATCTAATGTTTAATATTTTTGTCGTTCTCAAGAACAAAAAAAAATGTATGAATTCATTTTCGTATGTTTAGGTTTTATTGCAATTCTAATCATCACTTTTAAAACCAAAAAGATTGCCAAAGAGTGAAGCAGTGACATGGGAGGAAAAAACGTCCTTTTCACACTTCATTTTATTGCAGGTATGTTTATCCATGTTTGCCAAATTTTGTCTGGCCAAATACCATGTTTAATGTTTTGACCTCTGAAGGAACTTCAAAGAGTCCCTTTCTATTTTATCTGGATTTAACAGGATGCCATAATCGTCAGTTTCTTCTTTAAGTAAAAGTTAATCTCTCTCTCTCTCTCTCTCTCATTTCTAGACGAGATAAACACTCTCCACGAAACAAACGATCTTCTTCACGAAATAGTCGATCCCGTTCAAAATCCCTCCCCAAAACTGTACCCAGTAGGTCACCAAGTGCTGAAAAGGTCATCCCGTGTGAAGGGGAAATAAAACTAAAAGATGAGCCTCTCGATAAGGTAAGTCATCTTTGTCTTTGACAATTTCTTTACAGATTATTGTACCAAAAATTATGCAATTTCTAAAGAAGTAATGAATTTTTTTATTTATTAGTCTCACACATTATTATTGTTATTTACACTATTTATATTTGGATTATTGTCCTTTTTTTTGTTGTTGTTATCACAACATTTCAGCCATTCTGCCCTCCAGCCTTCCTCAGGTGTATATAGATCTGGATAAACTATCCAGAATTCTGAATTAAACCCTTTATTTAATCTATGAGGGTATACTGTTCTCATTCCACTGCTCATGGCTAGGGATATTGTTTAATTCTTATTAATATATATATATATATATATATATATATATATATTATTATAGAAAAAAAAAGGAAGAACAGTAAGATATATAATCCAGTGTTCTTATTGATATTTTTATTTTTACAAAACAGTGATCAATGTAAATTTACAGAGCATAAATATTATAAATTAACTGATTTAAAAATATGGCGTCATCACTACACAGGAATTACCATGTTTCAAAAACAAATACTAAAAACTTCAAATTCAATTATATAATTAAATCAAAAGCATTAGTTGTTTCATCTTCAAGCGAATTTTGGAACCAAAATTTGCTTGAAGATAAAACCTGGCAATTCCTGTGTAGTGACAAAACCATATTTTTAAATCAGTTTTTATATATATATATATATATATATATATATATATATATATATATATATATATATATATATATATATCATAGCCAATGTCCTTGTAAGTAAAAGTTTTAGTTTGTGAATTTGGTGACTTAGTGTTTGTGAGTTCAATCCCTAGGTTGGGCAGTGTGTAATTGTACGAAGTGGAAAAAAGTGAGCAATAACTGAACAGTAGTAAATAAAAAATAAGAACTTAGTTGATTTGTTTTTAACTTGTTTTTGATTTTAAAAAGTTATCTGTCTGAATTTTTGTGATGAGGAGTTAGCCTTATTTACATTCAGACTATTGTCCTCATCTTTGCTGTTGCTATCACGTTTCGGTCATTGTGCCCTTCGGCCTTCATCAGGTGTATATCTATCCAGATAACCTACAGGGAATTCTGAACTCAATCTTTCATTTAATCTACAGGAATAGACAGTTCTCATTCCAGACCCCCAATTCTAGGGATATCTTGTCCAGTTCTTATGTTTAGTACTGCTCAGTTACATTAATTAAAAAAAAATTGTACTAACTTTATTATTAGCTTTTCATCATACAGGGTGTGCTTCTGTGGCTTTCCTTGTTGACTTTTTTTTTTTTTTTTTTTTTTTTTAGGAAGAAGAACAGAAACGTTTGGAAATGGAGATGCAGAAACGACGTGACAGAATAGAGAAATGGCGAGCTGAGAGGAAAAAGAAGCAGGGACTTATTCCTATCAACATTGCCCTGCCTTCCAAGAAATGGAGTCTGGAAGATGATGATGACGACGATGAAGAAGAGGAAAAGAAAGACAACACTGGTGCTGATGATGAACTCGATCCTTTGGATGCCTACATGATGGTAAAGATCAGCTTTCATGTTTTCTGATAGACAACAAGGAATATTACCCCCCACACACACACACACACACCAACTTCTTTGTAACCCAACATCCACGCATATCTTTAACCTTTTAGCATTCAACCCGTCCAAATCAGCCTCATAAATATCGGCTCTCAAAGTCTCACTGTTTGCATGACTTCCTGCACTATTTCCAATGATGTTGTCATATATTTTGGCAGAGTATATTACTGCCACATCTGGTCTAGTGTTCCTGCTATATATTTAGAGATTCTTGATAAAATCCAAAGAATCGGCAATGCTGTCAGTCCTGACCTGGCATCTCAGCTTCAGTCAGTTTCCCACCACCGTAACATAGCTTCTCTGTGCCTTTTCTATAAATACTATCATGGTAATTGTTTTGATGAACTTTTCTCTATTGTTTAGTTTCTTGTATATAAATAAATATTCACTGGGGTTTAATTTTTAAATGTTATTTTTATCCCCCTCCCTTCCCCAAAACCAATTGTACATATGGGAACTAGTTAGGACTTCATAGAGACTCTGAGGTATTATGGTGACTGTAGTAAGAATGGTAAGTAACAATGTGTTGCTTTGGTGTAAGGAATAATATGGTATGTTTGCATCAGTAATTGTGGCTAGCTAAGTTTTAAGATAAGACCGATTGAAGACAAGCCTTCTATTATCCTTTCTTTTGGCCTTGTGCCACAATTTTGTATTATTCAAAATAAATAGTACCTTCCTCTATGGTACCAACACAGCATGAACAAGGTCTCATCAATTTACAGTTGAAATGGCGTGATGCAGCCATAGGTTCTATGCTAACAGTTTCTTCTATCACATTTCTCACATTTGGAAATCTCTTCCAGCTTCTTGCTTCTCAATCCAGTTTTGATCTTCAAAAATAAATACAATGTCAATCATTATCTTCAGTCTTCTTGTTCTTTTATTGTCTTCTCTCTTTAATAGTATATTTTTCTCATTCTCTAACACTCAGTAACCCCTTGCATCTTAGTGGCTTCACTGCCTTGCTTGGAGTGAAATGATTTTTAATAAAAAAAAAAAAAAAAAAAAAACATGGGGCAGGTTGGACATTGACTGCCAATATTTATAATGCGTGTTGAATGCAAAAGGGTTAATGTTCTCAAAACCAAAATAGACACGTCCTTTCAGTATTTGTCTAACAATCTTTCTTCAGCAAAAGCCACTCCTAAAATTCATTTAATGACAATATTTTTCATTATTTTAGGTTGAGTCATAAATAATTTGCATTTTTGTTATTCAGTTTTTGTCTATCTACATTTTATTCATTTATATATTTGCTGTTATTTGCAATGACTTATTGGTCAGCTCATCGATACATTTCGAGGTTTGGAGGTGGGGGGGGGGGAGTATGCCGATGAAATTAACTCTTCAATCTGGTTTTCATTAGAGGAAGTTTTCTCCATCAAAGGATTTAGCAACAATCAAAAAAAAAAAAAAAAATATAATTATCAGTTGGTACAAGGTCAGATGAATATGGTAGAAAGTCAAGTGAATATGGCCAGTGACATAGAATAGATCAAACAAGTTCAGAAATTTTTTTCTTATGTTATTATTACTGTCATGGACAAGCAAAGCATTTTTCTCACTGATGACTTTTTAACAAAACCTTATGGACATGTAAATGAGCATTTAGTGTTTCTTTGCATTTTAGGAACTTTCAGTGAATAATATCCCAACAATCCTACCACACACACACAGCATTACATTTCTTTGAGTCTGTTGTAGAGATTTAGCCTTGTGAATCCACTGTTTTTTTTTTGTTTTTTTTTTCTTTGCGTTGGACATTGTCATATGCAACCCACTTATCATCACCTATTGTGACATATTTAAAGAACGGTTAATCCAAACAATACATTCGTCATTACAATTGGTTCTCCAAAACATAAATGACTTATGACTCAACTTGATTATCGTCAAAATCATGCAGGCTAATTTTTTTCAACTCTCAAAATTGTTGATCATGTTCACAACCTAATTTTGGCTGATCAACAAATCTCTATGCAATTTGCTTATTCAAACTCTATCAGTATGTATGACCCAACCATGCAGCACATAGTACTGTGTTACAAACACTTGTAGAGTGACCAGACATAATAGCATAAACAACTCTGGAAGCAGAAACGGTTGTAAGCAAACTGTGGGTTACTCAAACTGCAACCAGAACATCACATCCTGTCACTTCTTATTTGTAAGCTTCATGCCAGAGCATGAAATAAAAAATGAACCAAAATAAGATAGTCATATCATTTAGCACAACTCGTATTATATTGGAGTTATGGTTCAAGTAATCAGACATTCTTTGTTCTGACCAGAGAAAGTGAAGATTGGAATAATTGGCTGGCCTGGATTATATTGATATTATATAGGGGCAGGGCTAACTCAAGTTACTGGCAATGTGCAGGCAGTCACCTGCGGTGCCACCACATCACGTGTTTGGGTTCTTCCAAAACTAAAGCTTATAAAAACATACTTGTGGTCATCCATGACTCAAGACAAATTCTTTGACTATTTTGTCAATAGAAAATGATCTTGTAAAGAAGATAGGTATAGAAAGTGCCATGAAAAGATTTGCAGATCTAAAGGCTAGAACAAAATGTTTTAAGTCGGATAATGAATGTTTTCTTTAGCTTGTATTGTATATTGTAATAAACTCGTTATTCTACATTTTCACTTTTTCTCCTTGTGAAAATTTTTTTAAATTATACTTGTAAGGGTATCGAAAAGGCTTAAATGAATGGCTGACCAAATTAAAATCATGCAAAGGGTTACAGATTCAAATTCAGCCAGATGCAGTTTCTATGAAATCGTCATCTTCATTCCTGTTCTTTTATTGTCCTCTCCCCTTAATATATAATAATAATAATGATAAATTTAAGTGGCTAATCATCTGTTAACAATATTTGATAAATATGATTTCTAATACAATGATTTTATTTCAGATGATCCAAACTAAAGGTTCTTTTTATTTTATTTTTTAATTCCAGAGTGTAAATGAAGAAGTTAAAAAGATTCGAGATGAAAACAGTGAAAAGCAGGAACCTACTCCTCCTAAAGCTGAGAACGGGGTAAATAATGTCATTGTTTTTTACTTTTAAATTTATTAAATTGCATCATTGTTACACACAATATACTGCTATTTCTGTTTATTCATATCCCTCTACTCTGACACCATTGGCCTGTTGGTGTCCATGTCTCCTATCCCAATTGACATCCCTGTCCCCATCAGCCTGTTGGTGTCCATGTCTCCTATCCCGATTGACATCCCTGTCCCCATCAGCCTGTTGGTGTCCATGTCTCCTATCCCGATTGACATCCCTGTCCCCATCAGCCTGTTGGTGTCCATGTCTCCTATCCCGATTGACATCCCTGTCCCCATCAGCCTGTTGGTGTCCATGTCTCCTATCCCGATCGACATCCCTGTCCCCATCAGCCTGTTGGTGTCTGTGTTCCTTGTCCTTCTTGACACTTGATATTATATGGCTAAAAATCCCCAAAGAATTCTGCTTAATCTCTTAAAATTAATTTAGAACAGAAATTTACTAATATTATCCATTTGTATTAACTCTTGAGAATGTGAAAAAATTCAAAATGAAAGGAAAAAATATTCAGATTGATTGGTTTTTATGGCTTATTAACCCTTTGCTGGTTATTTAAATCCAGAAAATATTTTTAAATTGTAAGAATTTTTTTTTTTTTTTCAGCAACAAGCTACAAGTGCCAGCCAAGCTGCTGGCAAGGTGACCATGATCACAGCTGTAGTGAAAAAGAAAGAAGACATTAGTAAACTGAAAGGCGAATTAATGGAAAATAATGTTGATGCCATGGAGGTAAGAAAATTCTTATTTCTTGCTTAATTAAAAAAAACAAAAAACAAAAAAACGGTTTGTTTCTCTGTCTAGAAATTAATTGAATACATAAAAACTCAAACAGACATTTGTGCCAAATATCACCCCTTATATTTAAATTTTTTTTCTGTTTGAGAATTATTTGAGCATACATAGACTACAGTTTAAAAGTTTGAGGCCATTAAATTGACACCCAAAGTAGTTGTTTTGTACTTTAAGAGAAAATTATTATACATGGTTAAAAAAAAAAAGTGAGGCATGATTTTTTATTAGAAATTTCATTGTGACAAAAAGAAAAAAGAACATTTTATTAATAAATTTTGCACTTGCCAAAATATCTTCCTTTAGCCTTGATTATGACAGCACAAATTTTTGGCATTCATTGAAAAAGTTTCTCAAAGTATAAGTTTGATAATTGATTCAATTCTTTTTTCAATGAGTCTAAGGGGTCTTCTTTTTTTTTTTTTTCTTTTCTTTATTTTTCACTCTTAAGTTCATCTGATGCTAATTCTGGGGATGGGGTCTTTAGACTTTTGAATTGTAGTATATATATATAAGGCGTTCTTAAGTTCCCAAAATTTGAAAAAATAATTTTTAATAAGAAAAAATATAGCTGTATTTTTTACTTATTGGTATTTTCTATACCTCACTGATATTATTATTAAATTTTATTTTATTCTAAATGATATTCTTATCCTGTACAAGGCCTGAGAGCCACAGAGTAATTGGCGCAGCTTATACTGATGTGTGGAAGATAACAGTTAACCCTAGAGTTGAACAGGTTAAGATTGTAATAATCAGGGAAGCATCCTCTTGGGAGTCTTCTCAAATTATAAAATTATTTTATGTTTTCTCATTTTAAAAAATATTTTAAATGTTTTTGTAGTATTCTTCAGAAGAAGAAGAGGAAGATCTGGATGCTACAATGGCTGGAATGGTAAAAAAAAAGAAGGTAAATTTGAATATATGTACAATTATGAAATTCCAGTCTAGCCTTGACTCACAAAAGTGTCTACCCTCCCCAATTGAAGGTGTTAAGAATGTAATCAGAATTTGTTATTCTATTGATTAACAGGAATTCACGCTACACCATATTTTACGCCATTTTTGTGTATTTGTATTTTGCAAAAATAAAAAAGACATCCTTTCAATATTCTATTATTACAGGTAAAGAAAAACTGCTAAAGATTCCAATTTTGCAATAAACTTATTTTTTTTTTTTTCTCCTCAAAAAATATATTCTTGTAAAACAGGAGTGTGTGTGTATCACCTGCAATAAACTCCAATACCCAGTCTGTAAATATATCACCACTGATAGCATTTTCACACTTGACGATACTCACACAATATTCAAATCCACCTGGAGAGTGCATATTTTTGTAATAAAATTTTTCGAATAGGTGTACAAACGATTTCCCAAAACCACTTTTTTTGTTTACTTACATTTTCAAAACGAGTATTTCCCTAATTTAAAATTTGTATTTCGTATTTCCAACCTTAAATATTAATCTGAGCTTAAATTCAAATTCAAAATTAAACTACAATTTATTTAAATATTTTAACTCCAATTCCAACAATAATATATCTCACATGAACCAGAAATTTTTTTAAAAAATAGTGTTAAACCAAAATGTAAATAAAAATAAATAAGTACAACACTTGAAAATTGCTTTGGCATGAAACTCACAGTTGGGCAATTAATGTAAGATATATATTTATATATATATATATATATATATATATATATATATATATATATATACACACACACAAGGTGAGATTATGAGTGGGTATGATTATGAGGCATTGCTTCTCTACTCAGAAGGAAAGGATAAGTGTTGTGCAGAGAAAGTTAGCAAAAATGTAGGGAAATATTTTCCCCAAAGAATATCAGCTTTCATGAAGTTCTTGAGAATTCAAGACAATCACTTTTTTCTGTCATGATTCCAAATTCTAAAGTCCCTTGACTTTTTATTAATAATCTTCATCTTGTTGTTACGTTTGGCAATTGTTTGTTATTTAATGTTTTAAACCAAAATCCATGCTGTTAAGGAAATGCCTTGAACTTTGCAATAAAGAACAACAACAAAATGAAAGAAAAACTAGTCATAATGTTAAACTCCTAAAATAATTCAGCCATTATTTGAAGCTGAAAATATTTCTTTTTCATTTATTCATTATTTTGTAATCTATTCCTAAATTTTAAAAAGTTCCACCATAGAATTCCCATATTCTCATGAGTTTGATTTTCATTCTATAGGAACTGACGTTGGTTGACCACACCCGAATTTACTATGCACCTTTCCGAAAAAATTTTTATGTCGAGGTTCCTGAAATTGCCAAAATGACTCAAGCTGGTAAGTCTGACTGAATTCTTTCTCTTCTGTTTTGATTTGAACTGTTGTCCTCATCTGGTTTATTATAGTTACGGCATTTCGGCCTTCAGAGGACTGTCATAGTCAGTAATGTTTTCAGAATTTTGAACTGAAACCATTATTCACTCCTCAAGAGTAGACTGTTCTCAGTCTGCTGTTTATTCAAGAAGAAATAACTTATTTTTAACTAAAGGTAAGGGTAATTTGTCTATATTTCTGAGATGAGGTATTATGTACACTATTTACATTATTCAGACTATTGTCCTCATCTTTGTCACCATATTTATTACAATGTTTCGGCCGTTGTATGCTGCAGCCTTCTTCAGTGGTTAAAATGTCGAACTGAGCCCTTTATTTTGCTCACTGGGGCAGGCTGTTCTAGTTCCACGTGCCATGTTTAATGGATGTCAGTTATCTCCTGTTAATTCCCCTCTCCAAGTTCTCCACTGCCTTAACCAGGTATTGAACTCACACTCTTTGGGTCCTGCCACTGGATCTAACTAACACCTTTATCCACTGAGTCAAGGACACATGGCACAGTGGATATTGGTATTCTTTGTCTGATCAGCCAGTACTACTCCAGTTAGGCTTTTCTTCACTCCCTGGCCATTGGGCTGAGATCAAAGTGTAGCATCTGTTGTTCTCATCTTTAATGGTAATATTTGTTGTTTCCATATAAGGTGACATTTGGCATTCATTGGTTGAGCAGCCAATATTGCTGTTGGTTGAAAATTATAAAATCTTTCTGAAACAATTTTTCAGTAAAATGGGTTTCTCAAGTCCAGTAACTTTTATCGCTCTTTCCAATATTGATAGGGGGTTTCCTTCCTAGACTTTTGTTTGAAGTCATGCGGAATATCATCATCTTGATTATGTCATTATTCTCCCTTCAAGTTACACCTGTTATCAATTTCAACTGTTGCTACTGTTAAAAGACTCCAAGTGCCAGGGTTTTGTTATCTGGTATAGTTCTTCATTTCTGAGTCTGTAGCTCCAGTCCATGTGATTACGGCCACATCATGGGAAAATACTGGTTCCTCTACAAACAACAAAGTTAAGCAACATTGCACCTGGTCAGTACCTAGATGAGTGACCATTTGAAATACCAGTGCTGTAAGGGATAATGGCTCAGAATTGTTAATTGAAGAGCTGAGTTCCATTCCCAGCTGGGTTTGTTATATTCACTTGCACGCAAATATCCTTGGGAAAAGTATGAATCCACCTCTCTTCCCCCCAGCTATGGGTTAATTAGTAAGACATGTTTCACTAAAGCATTATTATATAAAAAAAATTTCAAAAATTCTTATACTCTAAAAAATATTTTCTGGCTTTAAATAACCTGCAAAGGGTTGATAAACTGTAAAAAAATGCATCAATCAATTGAAGAAGGATAGTCCTTGCTAAGAAATTTCACCTAAAGCAAGGCTCAAGAGCCACTCGTTAGAGGGTTACTGAATATGAATGTAAAAGGAGGTGGTAGGAAGTGAATATTAAGAGTATAAGGAGGATAGACAACAATCAACTTGAAGATGTTAACATTCTAGTGTTCAGAGAAATATCTACGCAAATGTCTGTTCAACAAAGTAGCAGGTTTTTTAGGGTGAGGGTCTGTCACTGGGACTTTCTCCTTACATTTGAAATACGAGGAAAATGATGAGGATTCGACATCATAGATGTAGCATGGCACGTCTTAGTTGTAAAAGTTGACAGAGCTTATCTGCATATTTGCCATGGAAATAGCCACCAAGTAGCAATAGGCTTGCAACATGGCATCTGTTGGAAAGATGCTGCAGAGTTGAAAATATATCTTAACTCCACCCACTCAAGACTGCAAAACAATTTTGAATTCTATTGAGGCTAGAAAGTGAAGATTGAAGATTAAATCTAGCCCAGGTATAACAGCGATATTCCATATTTGGTCTAATCTGAAGTTTTATATAAAAGATAAAATATTCTGTTACTATATGGAAATCTTTGATCAAAAAAGGACAAATGTTATCTTTAAGGCCCCAAAATTGCACCAGCAATTTACATAGTTGTCGCAAGTTCAATCCCTGGGTCAAACAGTGGAATTGTCATACTTTGATTCTATTTATACTATGTATATTGTTTGGTCTATTGTCCTTTTTTATCATATTCACAAAGTTTTGGTCATTGTACGCTTCCGGTCTTCTTCAGATTATATACGTTGGAATTTCGAACCAAACCCCTTATTTGGTCCACTGGGGTAGATTGTTCTAGTTCCACATGCCATGCCTTTTCTGGATATCTCAGTTTCCATTAATTCCCTTTAGTAATTCAACTCTCCATGTTTTTTGTTCACCTCTTCTGTGGCCAGGTATTAAACTCAAACTCTTTGAGTCAAGTCACTAGATTACTTTCAACCAATGGTTTTATCCACTGGGGATAAAACATATATCTTAAGGCCAGAGAGTACAATGGCTGAAATGTTGTAAATATGACAACAAAGATGAGGACAACAGTCCGAACTATGTAAATAGTTACAATACCTCATCTCAGAAATGTAGACAGATACTTTGGTTCCATTGAAGGATCAGCACAACAATTTACCAAAAGGTCAAAATAAATGTGACCATTTTGACATTGAAAACCTTAAATCTAAATCTCTACTCTTTGTTTTTTTGTTTGACAATTCTTAAATCTGTTTTTTTTTTTTTTTTTTTTTTTTCTTCTGTTTTCCAGAAGTTGAGGAGCTGAGATTAGACTTGGAAGGAATTAAAGTCCATGGAAAAGGATGTCCAAAACCTATCCGCACCTGGGCCCAATGTGGAGTCAGCAAGAAAATTATGGACGCATTAAAAAAGTACGAACTCATTTTGGAGTAGGAATTCATTAACAGCTTTAAGCATTCCTTATCTTTTCTCTTATGCATGATCAAAGTGTAGCATCTGTTTTTACCATTTCTCTGATGTTTTATTTAGTGTTGGCTGTAATTGACACTAAATTACAACCAACACTAAATAAAATTAATTATGGGTATAGTAACAAAGTTTGAAAATGTCTCTAACAGCAAGGTTTTAAAATATCTAAATTGTGTGACAATGCCTTCCACGCATCTGTCAATGCACAACTGTAACAACAAATGCTTTCCAAGACACTGACTGGGGAAACAGCAAACAATACAATTTGTCACTAAATCAGCAATGTCTTCCTTCAGCTTTGTTAAGGTGAACTGCTATCTTAGTAACTTCCAGGCACAGAAAAAGAACCCTCATTCACTGACCATAGTCTCAGCGACTGCTAGCTCAATCACAGCTGGTCTTTCTCTCTTGCTTCCTGACTGGCCACTGATCCCTTCCCACTGCCTGCCTGTCACTGATTACTCGTTATATGGGGATAAAGGCATTAGTTAGATCCATTGTAATAAATATGGCGACAAAGATGAGGACAATAGTCCAAATAATGTAGTGTACATAATACCTCCTCTCAGAAATATTAACATATAAGAGAATGTTTTAAAACAAGTAATTGCAATTTTTAGTAAACATTTTTACAATATAAATTAAGTTATCTCCCTTACATAGTAAATTTTTGAATTAACAGACTACATTCATGCACAGGCACAAAAATTCATAACTATCAATTGCATTAATTCTTTGTTTTAGCAATTCACCCCTGAAGATGATCTTGGATGAAATTGAAAGTACTTGGGAAAATGAAAAGTATAAGAACAGCTATGGCGTCTTTCTCAATCAGTGTAATTACAATTTTAAGAAAATGATCCATGAATACAAGAGGATTAAAATTAAAATAAATAGGCATAATATGTCTAAATTATTCAACCATACATGGTTGAATATATATATATATATATATATATATATATATATATATATATATTTACGTTGGATAGATGTGAGTTTGTGACCCTTGGTTTTCCGCGCTTCACTAAAGCATCAAACCCAGGGTCACAAACTAAAAGCATCTATCCAACCAAATATGTTAGCTTATCTTCTGATATTAAGCGCTTTCTAATAAGTACCGGCGATATAATATAAATAAATAATATATATATATATATATATATATATATATATATATATATATATATATATATATATATATATATATATTAATGAAAAACAGACCACTTTAAGGTACCATTACAATAATTTATTACACCAAAATCCTTTTTTTTAAAGGACTCGGATCATCAGGTAACACTTCCAACAAACGAAATGAAAGGAAAAATGGGATTAGAAATTGATGGGTAGTGTAATTTTTGTAATTTAACAGGGAGGGTGATAGTTGTAGTTAACGAGCCAAGGTAGAGTATAGGGAGGGGTTAATTTCATATTTCTCTTAAGCATGCTTTATATTGGGGTAGGAGGAGTGACTGAACCGTGACCTATTTAGAAGGTTAACTTAACGGAAATGATATATAGGAATGGGAGGTAAGCGTCTCACATCGCAGGGTCTTCTTTCAGACAAGCAATATGGCTTTTGTTTCTTTAGGTCAGCTGCTGATGTGTTAAAGATTATTGCTGAAGGAGTCTATCTAGCTTTAGATAAGAATCGTGAAGTTTGTGCCGTTGCTTTGGATATGTCGTAGGCTTTTGACAGGGTTTGGCATACTTCTTCTTCACATGTTGAAAGTTTATAGCATTTCTGGACGAATTTTTGATCTGAAATTGTGTTATCCAAATATTAATCTACACCCAGGCTTTTTCCCTATTTCACCTTTCCTAACAGAATCACTACTGTCCCAAACAAACGTACAGAACTGTATCAAGAAATCAAAAGAAAATGGTTGAATCCATCAACACAACAATAAAAACAGTATTTCCACACGTAACAGTACTTGACATAATTTTCAGTTGACAATATGAATATAACAGCGTTTTTTAAATTCTTCTAGTTGCTAAGGACATTTTGTTTTGTTATTAATAGTTACTTTGTTTTTAAGATTTCTCGAACCTTCAGAACCGTCTACTACTTTTTGGCAAAGTACTAGAGGCTCTAATTAACTCTGGATTGGTTAAGCATCTTACATTGCAGGGTCTTTTTTCAGATAAGCAATATGGCTTTCATTTCTGTTAACTGCTGATGTGTTAGCAGTTATTGCTGAAATAATCTATCAAGCTTTAGTCAAGAAGGGCTGTTTGTTAAAATATCTCGAAGGCATTTGACAGGGTTTCGTATACTGGTCGTCTTCATTAATATTGCAATGGTATTTCTGGGTAGTATTGGATAACCTTACTGGTGATATAAACAACTTTCATCCAAGCTTTATATTTGACTTTTTTTTTTCTTTTTGTTAAGGCATGGTTACGAGAAGCCAACACCAATTCAGGCTCAAGCAATTCCTGCAATCATGTCTGGGAGAGACTTAATTGGAATTGCCAAAACTGGAAGTGGAAAGACAGTTGCCTTTTTACTGCCCATGTTCAGACATATCATGGACCAGTCAGACCTTGAAGAAGGAGACGGGCCTATTGGTAAGTAGGCAATTATTATTATTAATACTCTGATCATCCAATCAATTAAATACATGATAATATAAGATAAAAAACAAATAGGAAACATTTATATTCTTTAACTTATCATTCTGTCATATAAATTGTGATCAAATATAGATCAGAATCTCTCTCTCTCTCTCTCTATATATATATATATATATATATATATATATATATATATATAAAGTAATCCTGAGGAGCCAGACAAATCTACCTAAATGTTTTCACCTTGTTTTAATGTTCTTGATTCTTCCTTTTTATTTCCCATTTTTCCGCGGGTACTGATTTGTTCTACAAGTTAAGCTATCCGAGGTTTTTCCAAACGAGTATCACCATTTTCATATATGGTGGCTGTCGACTCACAAAGTGAGAATGACCATCACTGCACTGACATGTCCGGCTCTTCACTTCCACCTCCCACAACACTGCATTCATTAACGACAGTGGTTCATAAAGCCAGCCATTGATCTGAATTTCTTATGACATATATGGCATATCAAATCATCTCTGGGTGGTGGAAGGAGACCTTAATCATCATCGCTTCCAATGTGCCCTTTCATATGCTTTGTCAGGCCCAACCTGGACTTGCATGCCCTAGTGCGGATCGGGCATTCAAAGTATGCCATTACAAAATTGTCATATACAATGGACTGATCTTGGTATGACCGCTGGTGACTGAGCAAACCCGCCCTGGAGATATATATATATATATATATATATATATATATATATATATATATATATAAAACACACACACATACACATAATGTGTCCTCAACTACCTGGACATGTTGGGGCAAGGGTTTGAAAAAATATGTTGAAATAATTCAAAATTCCAGATAATTGATTTTACTTATATTATCAAAAAAGAATGAAGTAAAAAGTAATTTCCTGAAAGAAATTTAACATTTATTTCATCAAATAATATTTTCAAATGATTTCTTCAAGGTTTTGTCCAGTTTATATTTTACAAAAAAAAATGTGCTAGTTTTTGTCTGTTTCTGGCTGGCCGCACATTTTTTTTTTTTTTGCTACTAACTCCCAAAGCTGGATGAAAGTACAGAGTGCAATGGATAAATTGTCACCATTTTATATTTTTAATTTCACGTATGCATATTCTTTGTTTTTTGATTTTGCTGACTGCACACTATAGTAGGGTCAGTTGGGCACCGTCTGTGAGAAAAAGAGCACCATGATGCAATTCACTCCACTCCACCAGAAATTTGAAAATGGCATGCTGTACTGCTTGGCATTTGTGCTAGAAGCTCCAATATAGACATTTCAATGTGTCAGAAAGAGTTGGATGAGTCGAATGGTGACTCTGAAGGTACTGCAGCTTGGAAAACTCACTCTGATTGTTCTGATAAGAAAAGAACTCCTGAGGGCCTCAGACACAACATGGAGGCTATATCAAGTGCATTGAGGAGGTAGTGTTGCATTGGGTCAAAATTGTGGCTGCTAGAAAACCCTGTGACTTGCAACAGGACTCTGCACCATGCCACAGAAGCAGCAGACAATTTCTGCAACCACATCACCCCTTATATCTGACCACCTAACTCCCCAAACTTCAACCCTCTTGATTATTATGTGTGGGGTTCAGTTGAGCGAGAGACCAACAAAACTCCTTGTAAGACCAAAGATGAACTGAAGGCAAGGATTATAGCATCATTCACCAACTTAAACAAGGAGACCATCCAGAAGAGTCGCAAGAGATTCTGAAGTTTTCTAGAGGCCATCCATGAAGCAAATGGCAATTTTATTGAAATAATTTACTCTCTAGTATTTGAAGATATTTTTTATGTAATTTTGGTAAATATATTTGTTAAAATGAGATGTCGGTGTTATTTTCATTTTTGGCATCATTTCGATGACAATTTATCCATCGCACCCTGTATAAGTATTTGTAAGGGTCGCTTCTGGTTGAAAGTGCAATCAATTTAAATATTTGTCAAGCATAATCATTGCTTCAGTGTTTTGAAATTTGGCATTCTCCTTTAATTTGTCTTTTGTTATATTTTACCATTCAAATTCAAGACTATTTCAGTTTCATAGCATAAGATCACGATGTATAATAAAACGAAAGACAGAAAGACTCATGTTGAAAAGTAAAGCTACAGAATGTTACCCCATCAATGTTCATTCCATATGCAGATAATCAAAGTTTGGAAAATCAAGATACAGATGATTGGGAAAGTACCAAATCTTCTGTGTAAAATCCCCTCAAATTCAGTTCAAGTATCCCATCTTTAATGTTTTTAGAAAATTTGACTCTCGCAAGACATATTGAAAGCAAGAGAGACAGAGGAAAGCAATACATAACCTAGCTCACAATCTTCTATAAATGATTGACAGAACAGGGATTATGAGAGGTAGCAAAAACACAAAATTTACTAAGCAACAAAGGAGAGGAAATTGTGGAGACACATGAACGTCCACATCTTGAAGGGTACATGGCACATAGAAGAAATCTTTTGAAGTTTCTTATTGGCACCAATATAACTGAACCAAATGAAGAGATTCCATTGTCTATATCATATGTACTTACTCTTTTATGTTTCATATCTTCTAGTGTAGCACCTTTGTTTAATTTGACAGATACTAACTTCAAAATTCATTTACAACTTGATTGTGTCTTTCTTTCTTTTTTCTTTACAGCTGTGATCATGACCCCCACTCGAGAACTTGCTATGCAAATTACATCCGAATGCAGAAAATTTGTAAAGGCCCTTGGTTTACGTGCAGTGTGTGTATATGGAGGAACAGGTATCTCAGAACAGATTGCTGAGCTGAAAAGAGGATGTGAGATTATTGTGTGTACCCCAGGCCGGATGATTGATATGTTGGCAGCTAACAATGGTGAGTTTTGATACCATTTTGGCTACAGGCAAGTTACACCTATGCTGCTGTAGACATACATATTTACAACATTTACATTGACTGCTGTCGATGTCATTGTGAAAAGTTGGTTCTTAGACAGCAAAGTTTAGCCTTCAGACCTGGGGGAAAAAAAAGGTGTCAAAAGGATGGTTTTTCTTTTAACATCACTATTACAGTATACATTCTTGACTCCCTCAGCAATATTTATTGTTTTAGGAAAAATCTATGTTAAGAATTTTAATAACAACAAAAATGTTACACTCTATTTAGTTGTTACATTTTTTATTTACAAGATTATAACAATATGTGAACTAACTACAATGCAATATTTATCATTTGCCATTTTATAAAGTGTTATGGTCCGGTTCCTTGTACCACGGTGATAGTCCAAGGTAGAACCAATAAAGAAGAACTCGAACACGGATATGGAATAACACAGATATATTACAAACAGGAATATATACAGAGAAGTAGAAAGTGTTAGTACGAACAATCAGATTTAGTAGTAATTGTCTGAACACGACTCCATTTCAGACTGCCTCTGACTCGACTGACTGACTGACTGACTCGCAGACTTCACTCCAGACTTCTGACGGAACTCTAGACTTCAGACTTCAGACGGAACTCCCTGCTTCCTCTTGAGGTGCAGTATTACGTATGGAATAGTCCATTACGTTATTATGGGTAAAGTCCCATAACATAAAGAAATATGAAAACAAATATTTACTCTATGCCCTCATCTTTATTGTCATATTAAACGACATTGTACGCTCCTTTCTTCAGGTGATATACGAATTTCAAACCAAACTCTTTATTTCATCCACATAAGTAGATTGTTCTAGTTCCACATGCCATGCCTTTTCTGGATATTTCAGTTTCAATTATTTCCCTTTAGTAAACTCAACTCTCCAAGTTTTTGTTCACCTCTGCTGTGGCCAGGTATTGAACTCAGAACTCTTTGGGTCAAGTCACTGGATTACTTCAACTAGCGCTTTTATCCACTGGGTTTTGTGTCCTTGAGGACATCAATTTTCGGACTTAGAAATCTCAGTAATGTTTTTTTTGCCAAAGCTTCTTATCAAAGAAATAAACTTTTCATTCCTAACACTTTGGTTAATATTAAATTCCAATGTGATAGAATTTTGTTATAGACACGCAAATGAAGAATTGTGTTTAAATTTATTCTTCTCTTCACAGGTCGGGTGACTAATCTAAGACGTTGTACATATGTGGTGCTAGATGAAGCTGACAGAATGTTTGATATGGGATTTGAACCACAGGTAAGCCGACTTCATTCATTCTACAACCCTTGACAAAAATTATAGAAGTGCCACACTGAAACAACACTCACCCAGCTTTTTTTCAAATATGTCCTTTCTTAAAAGAAATGCTCCTTTCTTAAAAATCAATTAAATAAACAAGATTAAAATGAAAATACATAAATTCACTCACTTTTGTTTAATTGGCTAAAAAAATTATGTCATTTAGCGTCCTCCATAGATTACCTTTTTTTTACAGAGTAAGATTTTTTTTTTTAAGAATATTTTAGAGCATTATCTGATTACAAATTTGAACACATTATTTCATTTTCCTCCCCATTACTTCTGTGATTAGAGATGCAGGTTGTTAAATAAAATTTCTACACTTGCCTTAATACAATTCTTCAAAGAAACACATTTGGTATAAAAAGCTTTTTCTCTTGTCTTACACACACACACACACACACACACACACATATTTAAAATAATAGGAAAACCTAGGATGTTCTGTGTCGCAATGGAATCATATTTTTTTAAAAAATAATTATAATATATATATCAAAATTAAAAGAAAGAACAGTCAGATTTATGATTCACAATTCTGTAGCATTTATTTTTAAAACCAGTGCTCAATACACAGTAGAGCATAATATTATATTATTATTATTTAAAAATATGTATTCATTGCAACACCAAAATTACCATGTTTCAGAACTAAAAACAAAACTTTTTACGCTAAATAGTATTATATAATTTAAGTTGGAGGGGGAAAGGGATTACAAAATTTTAAAAGGGTGTTGCCTTTTTTGACAAATCAGAATACAAGTCTAATTTAAGATGGCAAAGTGTAAATATAGGTTAAGGGTTAGGTGTGGGTTTGTAATTTCTGCCTGTCAATATTGGCTTCCTTATATGAGAGTCATTCTATGTGTGTGTGTGTGTGTGTGTTTAAAATAGGGTATAGAATCCCGACAAAGTTTTTAAGAAATTTGACAAATAAAAAAATAAAAAAGTTTCATTGAAACTATATTTGATTATGCCTTTCGCCTTTCTAGGCTTCATCAGATCCCAAAATTAAAGAAGGTTATGTTTGTGTGTATGATTAAAGAATGAAAATGAGTGACTTTTAAAAAAAGCTGTTAATATATTGTGTGATGTGTCTACAATTTTTGTTGTGGACGATGTTTTTTGCACCACCAAAAATAGCTATACATATCAATATATCTATAATATACAATCCCTGGCTCAAATTCTGCAACAACATTTTGGGATGTTCCATTCTGCTACTTGGGCAAGCCTATTCTCTAGCTTCTGATTGGCTGCTGACTTTGGTGTGGATACTCTGATCAATATATATCCATCATTCTGCCATAAATACTCTAGTACAGACAAGGGACTGTATTTAGTTACAGCCCGATTTCTTTTTGTCTGCCAACTGGATGCTAGTTGGGAACTTTCTTGCAAGGTTGAGTATCATATTTTTGATTCTTCAATATTCAATGTAAATATAGGAGGAAAGAGCAATTAAATATGGTGTATCTGTTTAACACTTCTCCCCACAGCTATGAGTTAAATAGTCTAGGTTCTATAGTGTTTCTTGGAACATATATTGGGGATGGTGAATCAATATAATCACCCATCTCCCAGCAAATCTGGGCCACTCGTCGAGATGCATCAGCCCATGAAAATGCATATTGACTGAAATTCTTCAGTCGTGTGAGTTGTGCATTCTGCTATAAGGGAAGAGGTGTTATTTTTTTGTTTTTTCTAAGATTATTAAATAAACAGAAACTTCACTCAATGTTTCATTTTATTGTAGAGTACGAAAGGTTTTTCTTCCTCCATATGAGTTTGAATCCCTCGTCGCCAAATTGTTATGTAGTGGTTTCACAGTGGAGGATTGTATTTGTACTAAGTCGGTCCTAAAATAGGTTCGACATACAAAACGTTAGGAACTTGATATAATAGTTAATGACGCAGTAATCTAGTTGTGGTGGCTGATACTTTAATATCCGACTAACGGTCGTCCGACATCGACTGACCAACCCCCTGCTAACTGCTACTACTACTCCTACTTATTATAGGTGGGAGAGTCTATTAACTATAGAATAGGTGTGTTCCACTATAACACATTTGCACATTTTTATGAAATAAAAAGACATATTTGTTATGTTCAGTTATTTTGACAACTTTTTTTTTATTCTCCCCATCCTCCATAGGTAATGCGAATCGTTGATAACATTCGTCCTGATAGGCAATTAGTGATGTTTTCTGCCACATTCCCAAGACAAATGGAAGCACTGGCTAGACATATTCTCACAAAACCCATTGAAGTCCAAGTGGGAGGACGAAGTGTGGTCTGCAAAGATGTAGAACAACATGTGGTAAGTGTTTCTTTGCAAATTAGAATTTTCTTTTTTAACTTTTTGAAACAAGCCATTAATAATCCAAGAATTACTGATCTCGTTCTTTTTGTTGGAACCATATTTTGGTTGATCCATGCAGTGGCCTGAGAATGAATAGGCCAAGATGTTTCTCTTCATCCATCCTGCAGTGTGAGAATGGATAAACATTCCTGCTGATCCAGCCTGCAGTCTTCAGACAGGTTGGCCAAGACATTTCCAGTCATCCACACTGTGGTGTTGGAATAAATCAACTAAAGTCCTAAATTTTAAAATATTTTGCTGATCCTTGCTAAGACACTGCAATGAATCAGATATAATGTCTCCTAATGATCCATGTTGCCCAAGACATTTTCTACTGATCTAACATGTGACACATCAGCCAAAATGTTACTACTCACGCGTACTGCACTGCCGGATAAATGTATACTCCTGCTGATCCATTCTGGACTGGCTCACCAAAATCTTCTCAATCATCCATTTCTGATGCCCTGGGATGGATCAGCCCGACGGCTTCAACCAACCTATTCTGGGATGGATCAGCCCGACGGCTTCAACCAACCTATTCTGGGATGGATCAGCCTGGCGGCTTCAACCGACCTATTCTGGGATGGATCAGCCCGACGGCTTCAACCGACCTATTCTGGGATGGATCAGCCTGGCGGCTTCAACCGAACCTATTCTGGGATGGATCAGCCCGGCGGCTTCAACCGACCTATTCTGGGATGGATCAGCCCGACGGCTTCAACCGACCTATTCTGGGATGGATCAGCCCGACGGCTTCAACCGACCTATTCTGGGATGGATCAGCCCGACGGCTTCAACCGACCTATTCTGGGATGGATCTGCCCGACAGCTTCAACCAACCTATTCTGGGATGGATCAACCAAAATCTTCATGCTGATTCAGTCTTTAGCACTTTTACCTGTGGATCAAAATGTGTGCATATATTGTTATTGAGTGGCATAGATTGTGGTTTCCCATCTTAAATGGATCATTAATAGATCCATTGACTGTAAGGACAGTTTAATGGCTTGTTCTTTTGTGTCTGCATTTAAGACTACTACTAGATGCATATACTAAGCATACATTAATATACTATTGATTATTGTTATTTTTATTAATCTGTAAAGATCTATAATTTTTGGATTTGTTTTAGATTCTTCTTGAAGAAGACCAGAAATTTTTCAAATTGCTGGAACTGTTGGGCATTTATCAAGAACTTGGCAGCGTACTTGTGTTTGTCGACAAACAGGAACATGCAGATGAGGTAATGAAAGAATTGCTGAAGCATTCTTACCCTTGTATGTCTTTACACGGCGGTATTGACCAATACGACCGGGACAGCACAATAGTTGACTTCAAAAATGGATTAGTTCGTCTCTTGGTAAGTTTTTTTTTTTCATCTTTACTAATCTTAATTCAGTTTGCTTCAAGACAAGAATAATAAAGATTAAACTAATTAACAAGATTAAATTGTTATCCATCACCCAACAAGTTAATGATTAGTTGTCACTGACAACTATCATCCTGGATATGACGATAAACTACATCTGGCAGCAAAGCTTCTGATCAGGAGGTTTTGAGAAGTGTGGAACCACCTCTTAATTGCTGTTGTTCCCAGGTTCACCCTGACCCAAGGTGGTAGTACCCGTTAGGGTTCCAGCTATGGGCAAATATTGAACTCACAAGCTGGGCTCAAAACACTGAAAGTATAAAAATAGATTTTTATTGGGGAAATACCAGAAGTACATTTTTGAAAAAAAATTATTACCAGCAAAACATTTGTTCCCAAAAAAATTAAATTTTGGCATTGAGTTGATATTGCCATTAAACAAACAAGTAAATCTATTCTAAAAATCTTGTCCACATTAAATAATCCATTGAGGTTGATATGCTGTTAACCAAATTAAACCAATCCAATCTAAACCAAAGAATACATATTCTATTCATATGAACCTATCCTAAAAATCTTGTCGGCATGTTGATATGCTGTAAAACAAAATAAATCAAACCAGACTCTCAACAAAAACCATCTTTACAAAAATACGTCAATGAAACCTGATTTACAAACTGATTTCTTACAAAGAATACATATTCTATTCATACAACCTATCCTAAAAATCTTGTCGGCATTAAATAACTCATTGAGGTGTTGATATGCCATGAAACAAAATAAACCAAACCCACTGGCAACTAAACATTGTAAGCACTTACCATGACACACAACCTACCAAGATGAAAATGTCATTCCTCATTTGAAAACCTAAGATCAGGATATAGCACCTGTGCACTCTGACCTAAGATGAAGACGTCGCACCTGTGCACTCTGACCTAAGATGAAAACGTCACACCTTTGCACTCAGCACAGTAAATGTCTTGTTCTTTTGTGTCTGTTTAAGACTCTTAAAAGATGTGCGTATTCCAAACATATTGGTATACAGGTGATTATTATTATTTTTAAATAATTTTTTTTTCTCATCTCAAATGGATCCATTGATTGTAAGGACAGTTAATGTGTCATTCTTTTGTGTCTGTGTTTAATTGATTCTAGAATCAGGGTGTCACACCTGTGAGCTCAGCCTAGGATCAGGACGTTTCACCTGTACGCTCTGATTAGGATGTTGCACTCTGCCTAGGACCAAAATCTCATTCCTCACCCCATTTATCCAATATCAGTTTGATAAGCTGCAAGAAGACACTGCAACTTGGCAGATGAATAGATTGATCATTTAGTCTCGCATTTTTGGAGTATTCTCTTTTGTTCAATAAATTTAAAATCTTGATTTAAAGCATGAACATTTTTAATGAAATGTAATTTGAAGCAAATGTTTTGTGTTTATAAGTATTCTTCTTTTGTCTGGCAGGTGGCCACTTCCGTTGCAGCTCGAGGTTTAGATGTCAAGCATCTTATTCTCGTAATCAACTATGATTGCCCAAATCACTACGAGGATTACGTTCATCGATGTGGGTAAGGGCAATCTGCCATCTTGGCTTTTGAATTTCTACTCTTCAGGCAATTTGTTGAAATCTTTTCAAGACATGTATCAGAATGCAAACATTTATTAAATTTCAAACAAAGTTAATTCTCTATCTGTTTATATTTCTGAGATGAGGTATTATGTACACTATTTACATTATTCAGACTATTGTCCTCATCTTTATCACCATACTTATTACAACTTTTCCTCAAGAACACATGGCATAGTGGATAAAGGTGTTAGATCCAGTGGCAGGACCCAAAGAGTGTGAGTTCAATACCTGGTTAAGGCGGTGGAGAACTTGGAGAGGAGAATTAACATGAGATAACTGATATCCATTAGACATGGCACATGGAACTAGAACAGTCTACCCCAGTGAGCAAAATAAAGGGTTCAGTTCGACATTACAACCACCTTTAAAAGGCTGGAGTGTACAATGGTCGAAACGTAATAAATATGGCGACAAAGATGAAGACAATAGTCTGAATAATGTAAATAAAGTTAATTCTTTGTGCCTGAAAATTTCCAGTGTTACTGACAAAAACTAAGGAGATTTAGGCCCCCTAGATCAAAGGTAATCCTAAATATCAGTCAATTTTGATTTTAAATATTAAGAGATCAGTGCTGACTCTTACCCAATTTTGGAAAACAAATTAAGTATCAAGGGATTGCTTTGGTAATAAAGAACAGATCAGATAAAATATCCTCAAGTCAGATCAGCCAACATCTTCCTGCTGATCTGTATTGAAATGCTTCTGCCGATCTGGTCTTTGAAAGCTTCAAATCATTTTCCTTTTCCTTATGGACAGCAGATGGTTTCTTTGAAACTCTCACATCTCGATTTTACTGACAATGCAGTTGGTTCTCATAAAACCACCAGTTGCTCCAGGCCCAGATAAAATCATTGACATCTACTTGACTATATGGGTAAGGTTTGTCTGAAAAGTAATGGGAATGGTGTCACAAACAATTTATTTCAATTCCTATCAACAAACAACTTGGTTTCCCCTTCCAAGTAATGCATGTTTCCATCCTTTTCTGCCGTGCTTTGATGCTCTTCTGGAAAGAATTTTTCTTGAAATACCTCTCAGCGTTATTGTTACAGCCCCCTCTTGATGGCCTCCACGCTTTCAAAACGGGTCCTCTTGATGATCTCCTTGTGATTGGGGAAAAGAAGTAAGTCACACTGAACAAGTTCAGGTGAATAGGGATGTTGTTCCAGTATGGCAAGGTTCTTCTCAGCCAGGAACTGCCGAGTGCTCAGGGCGTTGTGAGCAGTTGCATTGGCGTGGTGTAGCACCCAGGATTTATCCTGCCACAGAAGCATGTGACAAAAAATGCAATGATTGCAGAAAACTAAGATTACAGTTATATACTCCCAAGATATGTGAGATGATAACACAATCCACTTATCCCTCTCTTGCCCATAGATCACACAGCACACCCAGTCCCATTACTTTTCAGACACACCTTAACAGTGTTAAATCCTATGAAAAGATAGCCCTAGTCATAACCAGAAATTTCCGCTGACAAGATCTTCAAGCAACTTGAACACTATAAGTTGTCAGAAGATCGCATGAGTGTGAAAATCTAGTTACAGCTAGAGCCATCCTTTCATAGGATTTAATGTTAATAACTATGTATATATATATATATATATATATATATATATATATATATATATATATATATATATATATATAATGTGTGTGTGTGTGTGTGTGTACACACATACACTTTTATTTTTTACTGATCAAGGTAATATTGATGGCATATTCTTATTAAAAAAAATTAGTTGTAAGAAAATTTTAATTCTTCTAAAAAAAAACTTTATTTTCTTTTTTCCTTGGCTTTTTTCAGTCGAACAGGGCGTGCAGGTAACAAAGGTTTTGCCTATACGTTCATAACACCTGATCAAGAGAAATACACCATGGATATCATCAAAGCTCTAGAATTGTCAGGTGCAACCGTGCCACCCGAGGTTGAAAAAATGTGGAATGATTACAAAGATAAAGCAAAGGCTGTAAGTAAATGGACCTCCTATTTTCTTTTTTTTCTTTTTTTTTCCCATCATTGGAAATCGAACCCCTTATTTTTTTTTTTTGTTTTTTAACTTAAAGAAAAAGTCTTTTATTTCCTTTAAAATTTAAATTCTCTTTTTAAATTCAAAACGTTTTCCTCTAATTATTCCTAGATAATACTCATTTTAAGAACATTCTGGAAAAAAAAACATTATTATGACAGTATTATACATAAGGCATGGTGGAGTAATGGATAGCAGCTCGGATTGAGGAATCAGAGATTTGAGTTTGAATTTCAGTCGAATCCATTAAATTCAGTTACCCTTTGGAAAGATATGAATCCTCTTCTTCTGGGCTAGGGTTAAATAGCAGGACAGATTGGGTTCTATAGCCTTGGATGGCAACTGGTCTACTGCAGAAAGAAATGGCAACCTACTGCAGGGAAAAAATCTGCCTCGTCAGTCATGTACTGAAAGATACATGATTGCCTAAGTGACACATGACACATAACTGACTGATTATACACAAATAATTATGGTATCAGTCTAATAGTGTTTTTTAACCGGTGCCTCCAGGTGCACTAATATGCCAGGAAGGTAGCCAGCTGTACTCCAAATTAACAGAAGCATAATTTATTAATTATTTTTATATTTAAAAAAAAAAGCTAGAGACACCAAGCACATGACTTCCATGTCTCAGTCAAGTCTTTGTCATTTGAGATTTTAAACTGGATGCTAAATTCCTTAATCTTTAAGAATGAGTGGATAATCCTTTCCCTTTTGTCTTCTTCGAGAGATTTAAGTCACTCAATATCGATGTCTCTAAAAAGAAAATAGCAGATTCTTCATAAATCCATTTAAAGGAAAACTCTGCCACTTAATCTTACAATCTAATGTCTTAAAAAGAAATGCTTATTTCAGGAGATTTCTTTGTTATTTTCCTATTCTCAAATTTTGTGACAAATTTTTCCTTATTAAAATTTAAAGTGCGCTCTAGAGTTTTAGTTATTCTATAAGTGTGAAAAATGGTTGAGAAACACTAGGCTAATATATAGGTATCATTTCTCTAATTAGTTTTTGCACGTCTGTCAGTAAAAGCTGAGAAAATAAATTTTTTTTTCACAAAATTTATCTGAACTACAAAAAACAAAATTTATACGTTTATTACTGGGCTTTGAATGGAGACTAATGAGGTGGGTGCTGAAAAGTTCTTGGCCTTATCCATTTCCTAAAATTTGACCAAACATCAGATTTTTTGTTTTTTTAAGTTCTTCTTGGTCTGGTTCAAACCTTTTCCAGTGGACACTCATACATAGATGAGAGTCATTCCATGTCAAATCATCAAGGGTCTGACCATCACCGACATAAGTTTTTTCAAATTTGGTACTTAGAGAGCTTCATGATACTAATTGAATGGAAAAATTAAATAAAAAAAAATTCATTAAATTGTCCTTGTCTGTCATATTCAGCAAAACATGTTTAAAAGAAAGGTTGCTGACCATATATATATATATATATATATATATATATATATATATATATAGAGAGAGAGAGAGAGAGAAAGAGGTTATAGTATTTCCAATGACAGAAAAGTGTGTATATTAAAAAAAGAGAGATTACTGCAAACGTTTTTGGTTGTAATGAGGATTTTTTAAAATCCACATTACAACCAAAAACTCTTTTTAATATATATATATATATATATATATCCATTTTCTACACTTCGATCCTAACAAATACCTTAGATTTATCATCAACTATAAAAAAAAAAATTCAAAATGTCCAATCTAATTCTTAGACATAATTCATCACCTCAAAAATCTAAACCATGTAAAAATAATGTTGTTTGAATTTTTATGTCCTTTGAGAGATTGTATCTCCAACACTAACAATCAACATTAAATTCTTACATTGGCCACACATGCACCACACACTCTCGTGGGTTAACTTGTCATTTGTCAAAATTTAGTGCAATTTGTGCACATATAGATGAACATGAGAAATAAACAAAATAATATTAACATTGGACAAGTTTTAGTTAATAACACCAAAATTTTATACAGTACAGTGCAAAAAAAAATTCTAAATTCTGGAGGCTGTTGTAATAAAAGAGATACAACCAACATTAAATAAGGTTGTTTTCTCCAGAGGGGGTCTGTATTATTAAAGTGTGTTTAATATTAAAAAGCACACACATATTTCCATTTGACCATTTATATGACGTCACCTTGAGTGACTTGAAACTGATTCTATCAAATGCGAGAATGTTGGAATTAAAAACCAGTTGCGTAACTACACAAAAAAATCCTTGTAAAATCATGAAGCAACATTCAAAAGTACTCATTATAAAATAAAAGTTAATATGAATTTTGGCAAATTTACTGATAAAACAAAACTTATTTGGAAATTTGAAAGATTTAATTAAAAAAAAATAAGGCAGAATTTGTCCATATTATTTAACAAAACATGTTTGATATATATATATATAAAGAAATATAGTCTTAAGGTATGCTATATTTATGGAATAAAGTGCTCAATATCAGAGATAGAGCGTGTAAATATATAAAAGTGAACATAGAAGTCAACACTTATCAGGCGACAGTCTGTTTCATGCTATATGCAATCATCAAACCACGTGTGATCTGGCGATTGCATATATGTTCACTTTTATATATATATATATATATATATATATATATATAAAAATAGACAAAGAATTTATAATTTTTGTATTGATGCATCAAATTGCTAAATTTGGAAGTGTTGTTCTTATTTTTTCTGTCTTTTGGGGCTAGGCTGGCAAAGTAATAAAGAGTTCAAGTGGTTTTAAGGGCAAAGGTTTCAAGTTTGATGAAACGGAAGCTCAATTGGCAGATGATCGAAAGAAACTGCAGAAAGCAGCTCTTGGTTTGCAGGATTCTGATGAAGAAGATGCTGGAGTTGATGTAAGTCATGCTAATTGAATTCTTTCTTTTCTTTATTTTTTTCCTCTCAACTCATTTTCCCGTAACTATCAAATTATTCTGATAACTCATTGCTTCTATTGTTTGATCACTATCATTCAAATAGTAATCTTCAGAATCTACACTTCCTACCACCTCTTCTTACATTCAGATCTCACACCTCATCACCATTTTAACAATAACGTTCTACCTTTAGTGACTCTTGAGCCTTGTATTCGTTAAAATCTCTAACATTCTTCTGGTACTCAAAAACCTTTCATGAGAATAACTATTTTCTAAGCGTAGCTTAGATGTGGCACAAGGCTGAAAGTATGGGACACCTAGTGAGGATCGAACTCACTTTTCAGTCGTAATTGATCTAGCGAGACAAGCCTGCTAACCATTACACCATGCCGAGGTGCCCATCCTTTCATGAGAATAATTGAGAAACCACATCTGAATTAAAAAAGAGATTATGTTGAAAATCTGTTGAAGAAAATTGATTGAGGAAGCAAATGAATATATCAGCCACAATCCAAACAACAAAGATGAAGATAGTGATCTGAGTACTGAATAGAAAAATGATAGTATTGGACATCAGGCAACACTTGAAATCCACAAATTTTTGGATTGTATGTTGGCTGTTCATGATTTCCAACAGCTTTCTTTGAAATTTTGTTGGGGAAGGAGGAGATCAGATTCTAACGTTTTAGTTTATCTCCCTTAGACCGTTCTTTTCAGTCGATCTTCCAAAACAATTTAGACCCAAAGGTGATAGCCGTTTTCACGACATTCACTTGAAATATAACAACTTCAATCTTTTGAAATAAAAAATTTTCTTATCATCACAACTGGAAAATATTATATACAAATCTCTATAGAAAACGGATAGGGAGAATTAAATGACAAAATAGAGGGGAAAAAAACTTAAATTATGTATTTCAAAAGGAATGTTTTCAGATTAGTAATTGATTTTTTATTGGAGTCAATCTTATAGAGATATATAAATGATGGATTTTATTTTTTTAATCCAACATCCAGAGGGCACATTTTCTTTAAGTTTCTCAAGTGCACAGGCCAGTAGATGAAATAAACACTGTTTAAAAAACAAATACAGATATCCACAAAAATAATTTGGAAGTGTGTGTGTATATATATATATATATATATATAGGTAAAATGAGAACAAATGTAGTATAATTCCACTGTATGTAACATTTAATTTAAAAGAGGGATAAATGCAGAGTAGAGCTACATGTTATCCTAAAATAAATGATATATATATATATATGTATGTGTGTGTGTGTGTATATATATATATATATATATATATATATTGTACATTGAGTGATAGTACTAATAAAATAGTGCCCAATATATAATAACATAGCTATAATTTATAATAATAATAATAAAAAATACATTCATATATATATATATATATATATTTTTTTTTTCATGACATGGGGCCAAAGTCATTGTTTTAAAGATCTGTATCATAGTGCTTGATACACCAGTAAGTAGTCAAAAAAACTGAATATGGACAACTTTTTCTATTTCTTTCTTAAGGGGAGACAATTTATAGTCTCCACTCTTCACATATTCAGATTATACTGCCAGTGGCCACACCTTGAATTTTTTTTTAATTAAATTTAACCAAAATCTTTTGTTTCTTTAGGTCACGGGTTTTTTAGCCTTTTCTTTCCAAATGCTACTTTTTAGATGTTTCCATGCACTGCTGTCTCCTATGTTAAAATTACACTGGTAAATGGAGCAGAGTTAATGTTATGTGTTTATGTTTTGTTGCATTATGGCAGCACCAATCACCAGAAGTTAAAATGTGGCAGAAGTATCCAGATGGCGATTGCTATACTGATACCCTCCCCATGCTGTGAACTTTGACATGCAGGTGTTTCCTCTATGCACACATACTGCAATTGCTTCAAAATGCCTGAAAATGTAAATATATAAACAAAAAATATGAGCAAATACATATATAAAATGCCTAATTCAGTTTCAAAGAGTTTAATCATCTTGTTGAAATTATGGTGCAAAAGGAACTCAGTGCCCCCCACCCCCTCTATATGTTACCTGTCACAATGAGAACCACTGATTTAGGTTAATTAATCATTAGTGCAATAATTGGATCATTTTGAGACAAATCCCATACAACAACTGCAATCTAGCACCGACCTGGGCCCCTGAAGGAAAAAGGTCGGGAGTGGGGGTCTGCTGATCCTGGGGCAAGGCATTAATGTGCCCTGTGGTACCAGGCAGATAGATAATTGTTTTTTTTACTCTTCTGTTCCTATGTTTTGTTTTTGTTTTCAGATTGAGCAACACATTGAAGACATGTTTGCCAGTCGCAAGAAAGTTACAGACGTTACCAAGCCAGTGGTTCCAATTCAAATGCAACAGCAACCTCAAAGCATCCAATCGAATGTCACCAACCAACAGAAACTGGAATTGGCCAAAAGAGTCGCTGCCAGAATCAACATTGCCAAAAAATTGGGTCCAGAGTCCCAAGACATCATCATCCAACAAACAGCATCAGCCATTCTTAAAGGCGGAGGCATGTCGGCTCCTCAAGTCGCTGTAAGTAAATTCTATTTTATCATAAACTCTAGGGTTGAAAACTAATCATGAATCATAACATGGTTGGACGTACTCAATCTTATCAATCCTGTTGATAAGTGAAGGAAAAATCAAGCATTTTCTTTTAATCTGACAGATGAAAAAAAAATAGTTTTGCTGATAACTCTTCTTTGTTTTATCATCATTTCACTCCAAACAAGGCTGCAAGGGGGTTACTGAGTGTTAGAGAATATGAGAAAAACTACTATTAAGGAGAGAGGACAATAAAAGAACAAGAATTAAGAAGACAAAAGATAACGATTGACATTACATTTAAATTTTTGAAGATCAAAGACAATAAAGCCACTAAGATGCAAAGGGGTTACTGAGTGTTAGAGAATATGAGAAAACTACTATTAAGGAGAGAGGACAATAAAAGAACAAGAATTAAGAAGACAGAAGATAACGATTGACATTACATTTAAATTTTTGAAGATCAAAGACAATAAAGCCACTAAGATGCAAAGGGGTTACTGAGTGTTAGAGAATATGAGAAAAACTACTATTAAGGAGAGAGGACAATAAAAGAACAAGAATTAAGAAGACAGAAGATAACGATTGACACTGAATTTAAATTTTTGAAGATCAAAGACAATAAAGCCACTAAGATGCAAAGGGGTTACTGAGTGTTAGAGAATATGAGAAAAACTACTATTAAGGAGAGAGGACAATAAAAGAACAAGAATTAAGAAGACAAAAGATAACGATTGACATTACATTTAAATTTTTGAAGATCAAAGACAATAAAGCCACTAAGATGCAAAGGGGTTACTGAGTGTTAGAGAATATGAGAAAAACTACTATTAAGGAGAGAGGACAATAAAAGAACAAGAATTAAGAAAACAGAAGATAACGATTGGCATTGCATTTAAATTTTTGAAGATCAAAGTTAACTAGGAAGCAAGAGGCACAAGACAGAAGAAACTGTTAACATAGAACTTACGGTTGCATTGAGCCATTTTAACTGAAAATGATGAGACCTTTCTGCCAATCTAGTACTGCACTTAAATTCATAAAGCCTGGGTAGCATAATGGAAAGTAATATTTATTTTGAAAATGCAAAAATGTGGCACAAGGCCAAGGGGGTGGGGAAATGGGGGAAAGCTGGTCTTCAGTCTGTTTTATCTTAAACTTAGCTAACCATGATTACTGACCCAAACATACTTTAGCAGAAACTTCGTCTGAACAATTATCATGAAAGTATTTATAGAAAAGACACAAGGAAGCTATGTGGTGGGTAAGGAGCCAGGTCAGGACCAATAATATTGCAGATTTTTTCTTTGGATTTTATCAAGAATCTCTAAATATATAGCAGGAGCACCTGACCAGTTGTGGCAGCAATATTCAACAAATAGACAAATGGTAGACTTATAAATATGTAAGATAGATTCTGGTGAGAAAAATTGTCTAGCATGACTTAGTGAAGCAACTTTCTTAGCTGCAGACTTAGTAATTGATTCAATATAATCTTTTCACTTCATGTCAGCTGAGAGTGTTAGTCTTGCTGCAAGAAATGTCACCCCCTGAATAGTTGACATTATTTTATCCTTCCTCTTTTATTGGCAATCACTATTTAACATTTCTGGGGTCTGCCAAAAAAAGGTTATTTAAAAAAAATACTTACTGGCCAGCCATATGGTGAAACTTAATTCTTGGGTGACAAGTTTATTACTTAATAAGAAAAGAAATGATCCCTCACTTTATGTCACATATATTATCATGCTTCCCCCCCCCTCCTCATAGTTTGTCCTAAGAAATGACAGCATATTTTTTAAAGTTCTTATTATAAGCATTGCACATGGGAGTCTTTATATATGGTTTTCCAATTATTTACTTGGGGATCAATTTATTACTTAGCAACAATATAAAACCGATCCCCCAATTTATGCCCACTAGGATGTTGTAATAATAATTTACCCATGCTATGGCTCCATCATCCAATCTCCTTGGGGAGTCTATGGAACTTGAGAACCACAATCACCACGCTCATCTGGGAGTCTACAAGATTTGAGAGTCGCAGACCCCACACTCCTTGGGAGTTTACAGGATTTGAGAGTCGCAGACCCCACACTCCTTGGGAGTTTACAGGATTTGAGAGTCGCAGACCCCACACTCCTTGGGAGTTTACAGGATTTGAGAGCCATAGGCCCTATGACTCTCAGAAACCCCACACTCCTCGGGGTCTACATAACCCCTCCCCATGCTCCACAGAAAGTCTACAGGACTTGAGTGAGAGTTATATTCAATGTATTTTCTTTTGAAACCTGATTAAAAAAAATTTTTTGTTAAAAATACCATTTTTTTAACTGTGTCACCAAAACAGTCTTTTCTTTTTTCCTTTCTTTTTTTTTTTTTTTTTTTAAACAAAAAAAATGGCTTACAAGATCTGAACAATGTGCCATAAATCTGGTTAACAAATTTTTGTTTCATTGTAGTCCAAGACAATTGCAGAGCAGACAGCCGAAAAGATTAATGCCAAACTTGGTTATCGTCCTGTTTCTGAAGAAGACAAGGAAGGCCAAGACCAAAACACCGAAACCTTTAAGCGTTACGAAGAGGAACTTGAAATTAACGATTTCCCACAAATTGCTCGATGGAAAGTCACTTCTAAGGTAAGTCAGAAGACTGTTTCATGCCTGTCTTGTCAAGTTTTTCAATGACTCTAGCCAAAAAGATAAGCCAAATAATTCCTTTAGTCTAGATACAACTTTTGTCGGCTACTATTTATGAAAATTAGTTAAAGGTTAAATATTATTTATCTTTATCACACTAATTTCTTTCTAGAGTTGTCTCCCCTGCCATTGCATTTTTTTTTTTTTTTTTTTTTGAGAGTGTGAAAACATGAGCACCTACTATTTTAAAATTGTTATAATTTTTTTATTTTGTTTCTTTGTATTGTGTGTATAAATTTTATTTTTTGTATACTAATAAAAGAATGAATGAGTAATATTTTGATGTAATGCATTATGTTTTGCATGCATGTTTTTATGTTGAAAACAAAATAAATTGAAATGCAAAATAAAAAACAAATACATTAAAAAAAACAAAAAAAAATTTTGATATTGTCGTGGCCATTTTTGTTTACAAAAAATCACGAAAGAATTAACATGGGTTTAATCGGTGTTATGCCACATGTAGAGTCAAGAATTCAAAATGGCATCAGAAAACGGAAATTTAAACTTCTTTCAAAGCAGTAGTAAGAGATTTCCAGCTTGAAATACTGGAAATAACAGTTGACAAGTGTTTATTTATAGAAACTGTCTCAAACCAACAGAATTCGCCTAGAATAGCAAAGGGAGATAATTCTGTGGCAACTATTGTCACCTGCAGTGTGGTAATGGTTAATATAAAATAAATAAAGATGAAAGTGATTGAAATTACTTTCCTATTCAAGCAAAAACAGCAACTGCTTTGAAGACCAGATGTGTAATACATTTTTAGACAAACTATCAAAATTACAACAAACTGCCAATTCAATGAACAGAAGTCTATGACAAAATCCAAAACAATCTCTTCAGGAGAATTGGCAAATTCTATAAAATGTACTTTAAAAGAAAAGAAAGAGTGGAAGTAAAATAGGCTATTGGTGTAACTATAAAATCTGACCTTGGGTCAAGCTTTGCACCAATCGTCTAATGATTACTGCACGTTTAATTTTGATTCTTGATCTTGTCAGTGTGCACCAAAAGCTGGGAAAGGGCCTGCTGCATGTTCACATTGTAATGGAGATAAAAGACAAAAACCACAATGAGAAATACACAATGAACTCTGTTTCCTATGTTATATGTAGATATTTCCTTCAGGTGTGTGCCTGCTCAGCCAGGTGCTAATGCTGGTCTAACATCTCAGCTCATCCCCCTACAAGCTCCTTGCCCATCTACTCACCCTGTGGCTGGTAATACACATTGGCGTTTAGTAGAGGATGCAGAAGCCCCAACATGCAGTACATGCCAAGACAGTTTTATAGTAAAACATATATTGCTGGGATGTGTAGACTTTGACCTAACTCAAGCAAAACATTACCAAGAGAACAATTTGAAAGACCTTTTCAACAAAATAAAAACATCCAAAATATTACATTTTCTAAGAGAATTTGGTCTGTACTAAAAAATATGAGTAACTGAACAAGGATATTCTAACTATATATACCTACAACATTTAGTCCTGTACCAAACTTATTCTACAAAGAATTATTATTTTATCTCTATGAATTTATTCTAAAACTTTGTCGGCATTAAATGACCCATTGAAATTGATGTGCCATAAAACAAACCAATAAACAAAATGGAGACCTCAGAAGCGCAACACAGACAAGCCCATCTCCTGGCAGGGCAGGGCAGAGCAGAGCTCACCCTGGTCCAAAGTACGACTGTTAATACAGAGCTGCACCTGGATATATCCTATTTCTGGTTTTGTTGCCACTTGATCTCCAAAAATCCCTCATCCACCCCTTTACTTCCCTTTTCCCCTTCAGTTAAAGTGCATTCTGCTGAGAAGACCAAACTTCAAAAGGAACTGTGCACTATTCTATCAAATAGAAACACTTGAGACTGGGATAAATCCACCTTTTCCCATTCTACGTGGGTGTCGTCCATTGTATCACATTGTCATCATAACAAGGAAACTCCTTCTCAAGAGGCCTTTGCTTTTATCAGAGTTCTTCTCAGTTATTGTTCCCAAGGGGGAAATCTCCACAGAAACCTTAACCTGAAGCTGGGAGGATACCACGGAAGTTAGGTTATGGTGCTGGAAAAATGATTGAAGTTGAGATGCCAGGTCAGGATCGATAACATTGTTGATTCTCCTTTGGAATTTATATCCTGACATAGAAAAATCTTTCTTGCATTTTTCCTTTTGACTAACTTATGTTGTGTTTTATTTTGCAGGAGGCATTGGCCCAAATTTGTGAATATTCCGAGGCAGCTATAACAGTTCGCGGATCTTTCATCCCTCAAGGCAAAGAAGCCAAGGAAGGAGAACGTAAACTCTACTTGGCAATTGAAGCGACTAATGAATTGGCCGTACAAAAGGCCAAGAAAGAAATCACAAGACTCATCAAGGATGAACTGATCCGACTGGTAAGTGCTTTGAACCTCGTCCTACCCTCGCCCAATTTCAAACAAGCCGCTTAACATCCATCAGTTGAATAGCAAACACAAGTCTAGAGATTAATGAATATTAGCACACAGGTTTTTAAGTGGTGGTTGTGTCATCTTCCCTGAGGAGAAGCTGTCTGGGAAATGAATCCCTGGTGCCAAGGCAAATCCCTTTGCAATTCTCAACTAAAAGGGAAAGAGCCAAACTCACAAAATACAGGGAATACAGTTCTCAACCCAACCTGGTTCGTTTTCCAAAATGACCAAACATTAGAATTTTTCTATACAACACTATTCACATGCATATATTATCATTGACATTAGTAGAAACGGGTTTCTATGAGTTCATTGGTAGAATTTGCACTATATTTGGTAAGTATGGTAGGATTAAATGGTTTATAATTGATGATATATGAAAGTAGGGACTTGTGAAATTATGTGATGTTGAGGTCAATCAGGTTTATATGTTTTTTTTGTTTTTTTTTACATTCTCGTCTCTAAAACTGAATTCATGAGGTTCAATAAAAAGTGTCTCAGGTGCAGTAACATGCAGGGGTTTGGTGATACCCGGGGTCAACTCTTTGATTGTATGCCCCTAAGATTTAAGTGGGAGGCCTATAGGGACTAGCACTGAAAAAATCTGAAAAAAGAAGACATTTTAAATCTGTAAACATTCAAATTAACCATATTTGACAGCATATAAGGCATACGTTTTTTTTTTTACTAAAAATATCTTTTAAAATTCCCTTGCGCCTTATATGCCATCTGTAGGTTCATTAATTTTACTAATTACTAATTTTTTCTTGATTTGCCCTGCTGAAATACGGTAAATATAAACTAAATTTTTATTTCACTCTTGATTGATTGGATGCCTGGGTCTGTTGCACACCCTCTGCCCGCTACTGCTCAGATGAGTCTAAGCTTGATGGAACCTACAATTGGGATGCAGAAGGCTATACTTAACATCTCTTGGAGACAACATCCAACTGACAGGTCTATGGGCCCAACCCTGATTATTGACGGCATCAGGGCAAAGAATGTACAGGCTGCTTTACTTTTTGTAGATTTCTCTACAATTATATTAAGAGGGGAAAAAATGAAGATCCTTCTGGCATGTGGCAACACAGCAGTAGCTTCCATAATGATGCAATACAAAAATATCAAATCTTTGGTTAGATCCCCAGACAAGGACGCTAATTTCTTCAACATCAAAGCAGGGCGTCCTTCAGGGTGACACCCTTGCACCTTTTGTCTTTGTTATCACCCTTGACTATATATTGAGAACTTCTCTTGACAAATTAAAGCGAAGATGATGATGTTTATCACCAAGACTCCCAAGGTGATATCCTGCAAAAAGGTTGACCAGTATTGACTATGCAGATGACCTAGATATCACTACTGCAGACACCATTACCAATTCTGCAGTCATCCTACATTCATCAGGACAATGCTTCCAATGATGTTGGACTCTGTCAATGCCTCTAAAACTGAATTCTTAGGCTTCAACCAGTAAAGCTCAATACAAACTGTCTCAGGTGATTCAATAAAATCTGTTGAATCTTTTACGTACCTAGAAAGCAAAATAAATTCTACTGAAAAAGATGTGAAAATTCACATAGCTAAAGCCTGGGCCACTTTGAATAAAATTGATGAAATCTGATCTACTAGACAACCTTAAATGGAGATTCTTTCTTGTCACTGTTTGGACATTAATTAAAACCCTTGAGCCTAAGCTTGATGGAATATACACTCAGAGGCTGGGAGCTATACTTAACATTTTCTGGCAACAACATCCAACCAACAGCACTATGGACCCATCACTGATATTTCCACAATCTTATGCAAACACAGAATGCACTTTGCAGGACACTGATGGTGAGTAAAACAAGAACTCACAAGCAATCTACTGTTTCGGACACCTAGCCGTTACACTTGACTAGATGGTCACGCAGCAATCACCTACATTGACCAGCTATGTTATAGCACCGGATGCCACCATGATGAACTCATAAATGTCCAAGCAAGCTCAACTAGATTTTTAAAAAATGCAAAATAGGGAGTCCAGCTCATATTCAGCTAAGATTTTGTGAAGTTCAATGGATCCAATTTCAGTGTTATTAGCTGTAATAAGTTTATTGACTTATTTCTTCAAGAGACTACTAGTACTTTTGTTTAGTTTTGAATTGTAATCAATCCTGTTTTGTCACCTTTCTAAATTCTAATGTGATAGTATAGCTGTGGGGTCACCCCTCGGTCCTACTTTAAGCTACTGCACAAATGGCACCAACAGATTTAAAGATTGTACCATGGCTCCACATTTTCCTTGCACTGTCTCAATACTATAATGATTGACAGAAGAAATAAATTCAGCAAACTACCGGACAGTTGCAGGTCTGCTTTGACCTTGCTTAATGGGCCCCTGTTAACTTTCACTGTACAAGTGGAATTTAGGGAGATAGGAAGCTGCCAATTCTTTTCATGTCTACAACTTTGTGTTTCTATCTTAATTCTGTATTCCTTTTTATTCTTTCAGCAAAATTCCTACCAGCCAGCGAGTAAAGGACGTTATAAAGTGCTCTGAGTAAAACCGTTCACACCTAGAAAATTATTTTTAACCAAATGTCGATAAATATTGCAAGAAATGGATTGAAAACAAACACCTTCTGTCAACTCATCTTTTTTTTTTTTTTTTTTTTTTTCCTCCCCATGCATATTTCTGTCTCACTGTCATGAAAAAAAATTGGATTTTGGAATTAAAAAAAAAAATTCACACACACACAATTTGCCTTTCTTTTTTATCAACATAAAATTTGAAAGCACCAAGTTGAAAAAATTTGGCTGATCCTAAAATAAATCTTTTTTGATATCATTAATCATTTTTAAATTGACAATTGGTTTCCGGATTTAGAATTTGAAATTCTGTGACTATTTCTGTCTATATCCCTGAGATGAAGTATTGTGATTATTTACGTTATTTGGACTGTTGTCCTCTTCTTCATTGCCATATTCACAATGTTTCAACCACACTGTACACTCCGGCCTTCTTCAGGAGATTGGAATTTTGAACTGAACCCTTTATTTCAACCACTGGGGTAAATTGTTCTAGTTCCACGTGCCATGCCTCTTCCAGATGTCTCAGTTTCTTCCCTTAAACTCAACTCTCCAAGTTTTGGTTCACTACTACTTTTAGGCAACTTGGAAATATTTCTCAATCTAAGAAGTCCATGTTTTTTGTTTTTTTTGTATTCAATGATCAGGTGCATGGCAGAGTAATTTTTATTCATGGTATCTTATGGAGCGGGGTTAGAGAATATGTGACAGATTCTATCAAGTTACATGGTATCAACAATCCCTGACATCAAATACCCAAGGTCGAAGGCCCTTTACATATGATCGGGCTTTTCAATTCTTGATCTTTCGATTTGAAGAAAGTTAACATGTAAACTTTTTTTTTATTCCTAGTCTGTATTTACAGTGATTTTTCTTTGTGTTGTGGAAGTAATCTGCAACAAATACTTCCTTTGCTTTCAGAACGCTTACAAGCGTTTCAACATTTGCCTTCAAGTTTTACATAACTACATTTCACTTGCATATTTGTTTTAACACAATGGAGAATATGCTCATCTTAAAATTTTCAGTGAGTTCATTAGTTGGCAAGAGTAATTAATTAGTTTATTTAAATCTGATAGAATTCACCTGTCATTTTATTCATTCCCCCCAAGGTAAGCGTGTGTTGTAAGAGTTGAAAAGTCAGTGGATTCTGGATGTGTGTCTTAATCTTTAGCACTCTGCAGGTGACTATTTTCACCAAGCAAAATGTAAGTCCTGCCAATGCAAGTTGAATTTCTTGATTGTATAGTCATATCCTTCTATGGCAACACCAAAAACAATCTTGACTGAAATTGAGAACCAGGCTACTGCAATTTCAAATATATAGAACTTGTATATAAAACGCTATATCTTGAGGGGATTCCATCTACAGTAAAAGGGGGGGGTAATATTTATAAATGATGCAGAAGGCGAAATGCTAAGGTGTTTATCGAAGTTGAAAAAATATTTCACAAGTTCTGTTGATGTAGTTTTGTCAGACATCATACCTGTGGCTATTAAATCATTTTCCAGTTATTACTAATAAATCATCATATAATTTATTATAGAAATTATTAGTAGTAGTAGTAATAATAATAGCAAACAAAATGACGTAACTTTTCCAATATTTTTCAACACTTAAGAGTGTAATTTAAGAAAAGAAAAAAGCAGTTTTGACAATGTTAAACAATATTTCGACAGTATGTCTGCCTTTTTCAACAAGTTATATTTAAACAATTTTTTCAAATATAAAAATATATAAATCAACAAAAAATTATAAGCCTTTCTCCAAATGTTGCTCGTCTTGTAATAAAAAAAAGTACTGATAATCAGTGCATCAAAATGAATGAAATGCCACCAGTGTGAAAACAACTGAAACGTGCTTAATATGGGGATCTTGTTGATCTTGAAATTTTACATTAGTTGATTAATTACTAAGAGGAATTAATCAAACAGCTTAATATAAATCTTATGGAACTCTCCTGTCAGGAAGTTAATAATTTGCTTACATAACTATCCTCATATGCTTTAAGAGTCAAAAGGTTAGTAGATTCTGAATAATTTTTAAGAATGCTCACCTTGAGATCCTTGTCAAAATTAGTCGTTAGTAATAAAATGTTCTTCAAGCTCTATTGATATCATAGTGTTGTATCTGACATCCTACCTGTGGCCATTGAATCTTTGATTTAATTGTTCCAGTGAGCGGCCTACATTAAATGTGAATCAGTACAATTGCCATCCTCTAGAAATTGTGATGTTTCTCTTTGAACTTTTGATGGAATTAACTTGACTCTTGTTGCACAAGGTTTTCTCCTTCTATTGGTGTTTTCAGTACAACGATCCAAAACTTCAATGGAGTTTTGAATGTAAACACTTGCATTTCTTAAAATTTGTCTGATATTTTTTTCTTTCTTTTGAAAAACTATAGCTGGGTTGGGAAAAAATCTCTCTAAAACAGTAAATAGTAATAACGACAACTCACTTACACAGGACCAATGCTTGCTAACTAGAAATTACTAAGCACATATACTGAAGAATTGTGTTAACCCAAAATGCAGATTCTGTGATAAAATATCCTGAAAAAACGGACCCTCTTGTATCAGGTTGCATAGTGTTAGACTCAGTTACAGAGATAGGACCAGTAACCATTTTATGGTCCTTTACAAGACACACAGACAGAAAAATCAAAGTTAATCACCCAGACGTTGTGATCAGAGACCACAGAAAACTTATTGATATGGCAGTCCCTGCAGATTGTAATGTATCTTTGAAGATTATCAAAATACAAGGACCTTGAAATTGATATCTCAAATATGTGGTATATGAGGGCATCAACAATTCCAGTTGTAGTTGGAGCCCTCAGATTGATTGTAAAAAAAAAAAAAAAGATTCCAATAGACTAATTGAATGGATTCCTGGTAGCCCATGCCTGAAAGAAAAACTAAAAAATAGTTCTCACAAGTACAGGCCACACCTTAGGAAGGACTTTATCTATATAAATATAATAATAATAATAATAATAATAGGTACACAAACAGAACAATCAAAGTTAATTGCCCAGACATTGTGATCAAAGACCACAAAAATAGAATCTACTTTCATTGACTTGACAGTTCCTGCAGATTGTAATGTGTCTTTGAAGATCTTGAGAAAAAAAAAAAAAAAATCAAAATACAAGGATCGTGATGTGGAAATCTCAAAAATGTGGCACATGAGAACTTCAATAATTCTATTTGTAGTTGGAGTCATCGGATTGATTGGAAAAGTTTTCAATAGATTTACTGAAGTGATTCATATGAAATGGATGTGATCTTAGGTTAGTTTTTTTTTTTTTTACGAAAAATGATCAGTGGAAAATGTCATGAAGTCATTTCTAACTTTTTTCAGCTGTTATTGCTCCTTAATGAAATAAAAAAAAAACTACAAAATTGAATTATTTTTTTTTATTATTATTATTATTATAAAAGAAAAAAAAAATGATGAGGTTTTATTAATTACAAATTTCACTTGACTGAAAATATTTTTTCTTTCCATCTTCATAATATTAAAAAGGAGTGGGGGTCCAAAAAAAAGTGACTTGACAAAATGAATCTTGGCGTCTCCAACTCAGCTTTGTTCCATCAGGTCCCATAAATAATTGGCAATAAAGAATAATGAGTGTTTCTTTGTGCTGAGGGAAAAAGGCTTCAGGACGCCACGTTTGCAAATATCTGATGGAAAGTCAAGGAGGTTAAAAGAAAAAAAATAATGTAGATAATTTTTTAGCTATTAAAGCCTTCCATATTCAAAGGACAATTATCCAGCCTCACCCGAACGTTCTCTTACAAACACAAAACATGAAACAAATTCCTAAATGTTTCTTGGTACCACATACACCTGAAACCAAAGAATACATTTGCTGAAGGGAAGATTTGCTTCAGTTGGTTGATTCAATGACACAAGCCCTTTCTGTCCAAATCTTTGGCACAAGTTATTTACATGAAGACTACTGTCTCCCCCATTTCTTGTTATCAAAATGTGCCATCCAACTTTGATTAAGTTTAAAACTTTCTCCACAGAGCATTGTTCCACAGGATAAAAGCCTCATGGATTTAGACATTGGTGACATAGTAATTGTGAGTTCAATCCCTGGGCCAGGCAGTGTTTACTTGGACTTGGTGGAAATGGGGTAAATAATAACTGAGCAGTAATAAAAATATGAACCAGACAAGATATCCCTAGACACAAGCAGCAAAACCCCATCGATTAAAAGGTTCAGAATTCACTGTAGGTTACCCAGATTGACTGATGAAGGCCAGTGATAAAGTTGGCTCCTAAAAAATTCCACTCAATTTTCAAAAATGTGTGCTAGCCAAAGACAGACACTCATTTATCGATCCAAAATTAAAACACCAAACAGCTCTTTTGAAAAAAAAATTTGGGGAATTGAAGAAAAGGGTCTGAATCCCCAAATAAATTGGAAAATTTTAGGTTTCACTAACACACCCAATAGTTTTAGAGATAGGTGCATGCTATGTTTAGAAGAAAAAATCAGGATCATAAAATATAAAGATCAATGCAAATTATTAAATCAACGGAAAGAGCTAATTACAAAATGTAAAATTCCAAATTAAATAAGAATAGATGTATAGGTATGTGTGGATATATGTATATGTGTTGGACAGTATGATCTATTCCATTAGGTGTCCCAGTATTACCTAAAATTTATGAATCTATCATTCAACTAATTTACCTAAATTTAATTGGTCTTAAGGTTAAATCTCCCATGACTTATTAAACCCTTATGGTTTAAATACTATTTACTGTAAAACCCAGGAAAATACACTTGTTGCTAGCATACAGAGCACCTCATTGTGAGAACCGAAATTTAGTTACAGACAATGAAAGGTCCTAGCCATTAATAAACTCCAACCCTAGAACACTCCCCCCATAATGAGATACCTCACACCCTCCCCCAGTCACCAACACAAGCCCCTTATCATAAACAAGGTGTCTCTCAGAGGAATGATATTAAAAATAAATTCAAATTTTTACTTCCAGACAAACACTTAAGAGCTGAAGACGACTGGTTTCAGACCAGCTTGAAATAGACTATACCCATGCCGAGGTAATTTTGGTTTTAGCTGTAAAAAAATATGTGCTCTGTTATAATAAAGACATTGAGCTCTCTGTGGATCAGTTTTAATATTACTAGGATCCACCTGGATTATATACCAACGGATCTATTACCTGTACTATATATATACGCACAAACACACACATACATTTTGAGTCCGGATGTATATAAACATGCATAAATGTAGATATTAAATGTGGTACAAGGCCATAAAATTAGAGCACTCTATGTGAATGACATACATCAGACACTGAATGTGTGAAAAGGATACATCCTCTGACCTCATCTTGATCACAATCATACTGCCAACGGATCCCGGTAATGTTTGTGTATAGATCAATGTCATATCTACAAAAGAAAATCAATCAGAATTATCAAGAATCAATTCAAACATTTTTTACTCTCATCAAGTTTCAGGAAATACACACGCTACATACACACACACAAAAATTCTGAGTGAAAACATTCAGTTCAACATTTTTGATTAAGAAAATCAGATTTACACTTGTAAGCAAAAAGAATTATTTTTCTGTCTGAACTTTTACAATAAGGGAGTCGTCACAACATAAATTATTTACATTCAAACTTTTGTCCTCATCTTTGTTGTTGGTGTCAGTCAACTTCAGGGTAAACCTTCAGGCAATTTCAAACAGAACCATTTATTTAATCGACTCATGAAAAACTTCAGTATCTAAAGCATGGTGTCTCAACCCGAGCGATATCACCCACTGTTGAGTGGACGATGGGAAAATGAACAGAAAATGGTGGGAGATATAAGATTTTGAATATTAAAAAGATATTTCAACATATGCTGCCCCCCTTCCAAAAAAATATTCAAAAGAGAGATGCAAAGAACCAATAGATGAAAAAAAAAAACAGGTGACTAAATGGGAATAACTGGATTATATTCCAAGTTAATAAATAAATACCCCCCCCCCACTCAACAAGTTTGCTTTCATTTGTTATGGTAATAACAGCTGCTGTCACATAAGTCAGTGTCATTTGTTAACTACCTTTGGTATTTTTTGCTACATCATAAAGTCAGTTTACGAACCAGTAACAAACTTTCACCAAACCAAATTGGTAGGTTTTTGAATATTTACCACACATGTGGGTGGTGGAAAATTTTTGTGTGTAAAAATGAGCAATGATGCAAAAAGTGTTTGGAACTTGATAATTGTGAGTTCAATCTCTGGACTAGGTAGTACAGACTCAATGAGAAAGAGGGCAAGCAATAACTGATCAGTACGAAATAACAGGACAAGATATCTCTAGGCACAGACAACGGAACAGGAATAATCTAACATATATAGATTAAATTAAAGGGTTCAGTTCAAAATTCCCCAAGAGTTACCCAGGTGAACAGACCCTCAACAAAGGCCAAGGTGGGGGAAGCATTTGTGAAAACAACAAAGATGAGGACATTATTCTGAATGCAAATCAAATCTATTTTTTAACATTGTAAATACATGTGCTTATCCTCTTCTGCCAGTGCTGTCAAAAGTCAAGAATTGTTATTCATAAACTTGGATCTGGATGTCATGTTATCAAAATTCAATTAAATTAGGTACCTCCACTCAGTTCCGATACCTAAGGTTTAACATGAATTTTTAAAAATGAAAAAGTATTCTTGAAGCTTTCACTCTAACTGAAAGTTAAAAGATTATATTTACTTTTTCCAGTAAGCAGAATACTCTGATGTATTTCAAATAGAAATTATATTGATTTTTTTTTGGTCACTTTCAGAAAATCAATGAATATCAGCCATTTTGACACATTTGTAAACAAAAGTTAATACTCAGTTTTAAATATTTTCCAAAATTAAAATATACTTTTCTGAAACTTTATTTGAGGAACATTAGCTGATTTGAAGTATAATTAATCTGATTTGAAAAAAAATATTATTTACTTTCAGTTTAAAATAATAGAGAAATGAATTTTTAAGACAAATGGTAGTGGTGGTTAGACACATTACTTGTAGAACACTTAACAAGTGATGTTAAAATCTGTTAACACCTTTACTGTTGTGCTACAGAGACTTTATCTGTTAAAACATAATTTAAGAAAATGACAAAAAAATTTTTAGATAACTTTTAAGTACTCGGTCATCTTAAAAATTTTGGGAAATATTCTCTGTAATCTAATTTTCAGAATGTTGAATTTAAACTTTTCATCGCTCTTATTTTCTGATTATGTTATGTATGGTTGACCATACTTTTAAACAAAGGCAAGTTACATAATATTTTATATACATAAAAAAAAATTTTAATTTAAAAAAAAATATTGGGCACAAACGACTTGTACTGGGCTTTTCAGTTTTCACTTAACAATATCACCTAAGCAGATTGAAGTAATGAAGAATTTTAAATGATTAATAATATAAATTATTATAATTAAAATTTTTAAAAATGAAAACAATTCTTGTAAAAATTCATTATTCATTGAAAAAATATTTTTCTTAAGACAATAGTTTTCTTTAATAAATCTTATTTATAAAAGCAATTAAATCTTTTCTAATTAAATAACATCATAGTTTTATTTCATTTTTTTATTTTATGATTCAGAGCAGATTTTCTGTAACTGGGGGTTCTGTTTTACAAAAAAAACTGATGATTTAAATTCTACAAGGAGTCCTGCTTGTAACTAATAAAACAAATTTTGAGACTGCAATTTCATTTCTTGAAATTTCATGAAATTAAATAAGTAGGGTTGGGGGCGGGGGGTAACATATGTAAAAAAAAATATTTTTTACTAAGATTTTCTAAAAGAAAATTTCATTCATTTGTGAATAAGTCCTGAAAGTTTCATTAAATTCCAACATTTCATTTTTGCAAGAATTTTCAAATTAATGTTTTTTTCACCATAACAAAAAGGCACTAAAGCACTAATTGTGAATATTATGTCAAATGCTAACACCAAAAAAAAAAAAAAGATTTTAACCAAAATTTCGAATATGCTAGAAAGGATTAAAAAATTTGATAAAATAATCAAAAAATAGTTTGGTCTTTCCTCTTAATAATAACAAACATTTTAATGATAAAACTTTGTTTTTATTAAGTTTGTGGTCTTTTTTATCATGATATGCTGATTATTTCAGTGAGCAAGTGGAGATACCTAATTTAAATAAATTGCTAATTTCAGAGTTGATTGACTGATTGTTTTTTTTTTTTGGTTTTTTTATATCTTAACCCTATGCAAGTTATTTAAACCCAGAAAATATTTTTTTTTTGAGATAATAATGATTTAGTGATAAAGTCTTACTAATTAACCCATAGATTAGGGGAGAAGAGGTGAATTAATACGTTTATCAGAATTTGTTAAACAAACAAGAAATTATAATGTGGACATAAAGTGTGGGATCAATTCTATATTAAAATCGATATATCAGTTTACATCCCTCACTTTGTGGCCAAATCTAAAAGACATGCCTGTGTAGCTAATCAGTATTTCATTGATTCGTTTTCTATGGCTTATCAACAAACAAGAAATTATAATGTGGATATAAAGTGGGGGATCAATTCTATATTAAAATCTGTATATAAACTGATCCCTCATTTTGGGGCCACCTTAGTTTCTATACATTTTTATTCCAGAGAATGTAAATAAATCTAAAAGACATGCCTGTGGAGCTAATCAGTATTTCATTGATTCATTCATTCATTTTTTACGGCTTATTAACAAACAAGAAATTGCAATGTGGATGTAAAGTGGGGGATCAATTCTTTATTACGATCTATATATAAAATGATCCCTCGCTTTATGGCCACGGTAGTTTCTATATATTTCTATTTTAGAGAATTCAAATAAATCTAAAAGACATGCCTGTGTAGCTAATCAGCATTTCATTGATTGAGTCATTCATTCATTTTTTACAGCTTATCAACCTTTTTTTTAGATTGTAAGGATATTGGGGTGGGGGAGATAATGATTTAGTGATACAAGACTTACTAATTCACCCATTACTGGGGGAGAAGAGTTGGATTCATGCCTTTCCCAATGGTATTTGCATGGAAGTGAATATTTATGAAGCCAACTGGAATTGGAACGCTGATTAACAATTCTGAGTCATCATTCATTACATCACCTGCACATCCACACTTCACCTGGCATTCCCCAGTAGTCACCCATCTAGGTACTGACCAGACTCGACATTGCTTAACTTAGGTGATCATACAGGGACTAGTGTTTCAATGTAATGTGGCTGTAAGCCTATCATTTCAATGTATGCAGCTATTATTACAAGGAAGCTGCCATATAACACATAGGTTGATTCAATAGCACATACTCCTCTATGGTCTCTTGGTATTATTAGGTCCAGTTGTAAATAAATTTCCAGATTTGACCAGGCAGATCTGGCAGGTCCATTTAAAAAGAGTTAAGAAATGTCTGACAATTAGTCCAGAAGGGAAAAAAAACAAAAAAAAACAATCATTATGATAGAGTCATACAACAAAAACAACAAAAATCAGGATACTAGTCTAAATAAGGAAGAAATTCAGTGGCATAAACTGAAACCAATTCATTTAATTCTACTTACTTCAGTTTCTCGAGTTTGGCAGAATTGTTCCCACAAATATTCTCTCTGTCTGCAGTCAGTTTTTCTAATTGTTCATTGTTAATTTTCAAATCGGCCATGGATTTCTGTAAATCCATCACAAGGTTCTCCTTCTGCCTTTTTGCCCGCTCGACTTGACTCACGATTTCCTTCTCTTTGGGAGTAAAGCTTCCTTCCTCAGAAGAAAGATCACCTTGAATTTCCTTCTCCAAAGCTAAGTGTTAAAGACAAAAAATAAATATTAAATTTAAAAAAAAGTTATAAAATTTTTTTCAAAAACATTTAAATTAAAAAAATGTTTCTAAAAATATTTAAATTAAAAAATATTTATATTAAAATTATTTTAAAAAACATTATTATTTATTTTAAACTAAAAAATTTACATGAATCAAGCAAAGTGTATAAACCACATATATAAATATGTTACAAACACACGCACACACACGTGCAAAAGTAGGTATACAGTAATGAAAACCAAAGGCCCTCAAATGTTCAAACTGTTTGACACCCCCACCCCACCATTCTAGTTGAGTAGTTTTAGGTAGGCTTGGAATGCATTAAATATTCTTATAGGTAGGCTTGAAATCCATTAAATACTTTTATAGGTAGGCTTGGAATGCATTAAATATTTTTATAGGTAGGCTTGGAATGCATTAAATATTTTTATAGGTAGGCTTGGAATACATTAAATACTTTTATAGGTAGGCTTGGAATTCATTAAATATTTTTATAGGTAGGCTTGGAATACATTAAATATTTTTATAGGTTGACTTGGAATCCAATAATTTTTTATAGGTTTGGTTTCGTTTGTTTTGTTTTACAACATATCAACCTCAAAGGGGTTATTTAATGCCGACAAGATTTTCCAAAAATGTATTGTTGCTAATATATTTTTTTCTTCAAAAAGTATTGCTGGTAATATTTTTTCTTTAAAAATTCATTACTGGTAATAATATTTCACAAAAATGTATTGATGGTATTAAAATCAATTTTTACACTTTCATAGTGTTTTGACCCCAGTTTGGGGGTGTCAACTATTTACCGATAGTTGGGACCCTAACAGGTGCTACCACCCCAGGTCAGAGTGGACCTGGGAACACAAGGTATTAAAAGGGTGGTTCCACGTTCCACAAAACTTCCTAATCAGAGGCTTTGTTGTTGGATGGAGTTTATCATCTTACCCAGGACACCTCATTTAGGGGTTCTTACCCCTCTGCAGAGGTACATTCAGCATATTCTGAAGCCCCAGCCGACAGGGCAAATTTTTTATAGGCAGGCTTGGAATCCATTAAGTTTTTTTTATAGCAGAATTGGAATCTGCTAATTTCTTGAAATTTCATATAGACACATCGTCTCTCCTTGAATTCAGAACACCACAAATTATTATACTAACGTTGAAAGATAGATGTGTTTAACGTCTGTTTCAGTGAAATGGAAAAAATTGTCAATTTCAAATCTTTTCATTTGTCCACCTTTACTTATAAATATTTTAATAAAAATGTTTGCAAGGCAGATTTTTGGCCAGTTACTCATTAAATTCCTTATTATTATACAGAAATATAAGAAGCCATAATGTTGATTTTAAATATGCTACCTTAACAAAATATGAACCCTACTCATTATGGAGAAAATAACCAAAAGAAATACTAATAAACATCATATAATACTCAAGTTACAAAACAGACTTCACTGTACTGTGACAGACATTGTAGTGTGTCTCAATAAAAATATGTAAAACAAAAAATAAACAGAATTCAAATTAAAATAAGGCATTTGCACTTTCCTTTTAAGACCTTTATCTCTTTCTTTCTCCTTCTACATTTCTTTCAACTAATGAGAAGGCAACCCTCAAATAAAAAGAGGAAGAAGAAGAAAAGACTGAACCCTGGCAAAAAATGCCAAGGTTTTCAGAGGCAGAGCCTACTTATTTGTAACTGAAAAATACCAAAAATCAGGAAGGCTGTTATAAAAAAAAAAAAAATGAAAAAGAAAGGAACAGCGAAAAATAAGATAATTGACACAAAGAGACTTTTGATATTGTCCAAAACCAATGTCCATGCCAGAGTCTCGGAGCCTGGTCAAAAGGATCTAAACTGACACCTCTGAGCTAGAAGAAGGGATGACAATAGCAATGACCACTAGAAAAACCAACCAACCAACCAACCATGCATGATGGGTGAAGAAGTAGTTAAGAGGTCATCTGCTAATGATATTTCTGCTCTGCTTAGGCCCAAGAAAAACAGTAGATTGCCACTGACCTATTTCTAATATTACTACTACCCTTATTATGGTCTGACTACTGGACCTTCTCCAAACTGCTACCAATATATATGGCCTTTTTCATCAACGGCAACACTCAGCAGCTGAAAATAAGTTATCTTAAAATACAGCACCACTCATGGCTGAAACCACCAATTTGTGATCAGCAGGGTTTTTGACAATGAACACAGTAGTAGAATACTGTGGAGTCAGACACCATGGGTCATTTGCATCTTTGTCTAGCCTCTACAGTGAGCTGGACTGTATTTTCTTCATAGCTCTTTGCTCCCACGAAAACAGCAGCTCTCCACCCCACTCAATCATGGGCAACTGCATCCCAGTTCGAAACATTGATAGACAATTCTATCATGGACATTTTACACGGGTCTTTGAAGCAAAGCTTGGGTCGTCCAAAATTACACATCCCATCATACAGTTCTCCATACAGTATCTGTTTGGGAATTCTGGAGTTATTCATACACACAACGTGCCCAAGACGCTGAGACCGCAGGATGGGATATAGTGACTGAATGCTAGCTCTTTAGAGCACTTTTGTATCTGGGACCCTATTTTACCATTTCATTTTTTAAATATTTCATGTGAAGATTATCTAACCTCCTCTCCTGACAAGTACACAATGTCCATGTCTTACTCCTGAAAAGGAGTATTGAGAGGACACACATTTGGTAAATTAGAGTCTTGGTTTTTATTGTGAGTTTAGTCTGGAGAGGGTTAGGTTCATTTAGTTAGGTAACATTTCACATCCCAGTAGTGAAACAATAAAAGTTCCTAGGCATCATCTTTGACAAAAAATTAACATTTATTCCCAAGATAAAATATTTTGATGTGTTCCTCTTTTTTCGAGAGGAACACATCAAAATTCAGTGAAGTCATATGCCGTAGTGAAGCTCAGTGGAAGTGTCAGTGGCATGAGGAGCATTATACATTCAGCTCGCTTCAGGTGAGTTTCAATTACTTTCCAGTAATTTCCTTCTTTTTTTAAAAATAAAATCTAGTAAAGTCCACCAACTTCTGTGTGTAGTGACCCATACTGAATGGGGAGCAGATCAACAAACACTAATTAAATTATACAGATCACTGCTTCGCTCAATACTGGATTATGCTAGTTTCATATATGGGACGGCCAGAAAATCATACCTAAAAAACTCAACGCAACCTATCATCAAAGCCTCAGACTAGTACATGGGACTTTTTAGAACATCCCCAGTGGAGAGGTTATACACGGCTAATGAAACACCTCCACATTTAAGGTGCACTAAACTGGCACTACAGTCAGTCATTTAAGTCAGTTATGTGCCATGCATGATATACGCTTAGGCAATCATGTATCTTTTGATACATGACTGAGGAGGCAGATTTTTTTCCTGCAATAGTTTGCCATTTCTTTCTGCGGTAGACCAGTTGCGATTCAAGGCTATAGAACCTGATTTGTCCTGCTATTTATCCATAGCTGGGAGGAGAAGAAGAGGATTCATACCTTTCACAAGAGTATTAGCACATAAGTGAATATAAAGAATTTGAGTGGAATTTAAACTCAGCTCTCCAATTTCTCAATCTGTGCCACTATCCATTACTCCACCGTGCCTCCTGCCACTACAGTAGTATGTCAAAATAAAATCATGTCCAACTAACCCAGATTACAGCCGAACCTTTAAACTTAATTCCTGTGATCTCTTCCAAGAAAAAGACAATACAGGACCAATCCTATGGACTCAGGATGAAATCCATTGCTGAAGAATTAGGGACCCCACCTCTCTCTCTCTCAAACGTAAAAGAAACGGCTGCAGCCAGTATTCCACCATGGACAATAAAGCAACCCAATGTTTTGCTAGAGTTAAATAATTTCCCTAAACAAAAAATGCACCCACTCACAATCCAGAACAAGTATCAGGGCAAAACTAAAATGAAAACTATCCTAACCATACACACATATCTCTAGAGACAGGTCAAAGTGTGGAGGACAAGACAGGGTGTGCAGCAGTGAGCCAAAATATTACCAAAAAATGCGACTCCCAAAGAGAAGTTCTATTTTTACTGCGGAGGCTTACGCAATAGAGCTAGCACTCAACATCATCAAACAGAGAAAACAAAACTCACTATCCGTTCTAATGGCTTTGAAGGAAAAGAAATCCAGTAATTTATCAATTATCAAACTATTATACAAAATGAGCAGCACTACTCACAAACGAAGACATCATATTAGGTTGGATTCCTAGCCACATTGGAGTGGATAGTAACAATGAAACTGACCTAGCAACCAAATCACCTTTAGATAGGGATGTAGACATAAAGACCAAAATCACATACACCAACTTTAAGGAGGTCAATAACAAGTACGTTCAAAAGGAATCGCAATGGTGCTGGGATGATAACCCACAGAATAAGCTCTTTGAAATTCAGCCCAAACTAGGAGAATGGAAGTTGGCTTTCAGAAAATCTCAAAAGGAAGAAGTAGTATTGGCCTGCTTATGCATTGGCCACACGAGAATAACCGACTCCTGTACTTCCTAAACAACAAAGATCAACCTATATGCCAAGCAAATGGCATACACTATCAAATATATATTAACTAAGTGTTCCGACCTTGCTCTTTAAAGATAAAAAGGCTATAATATAAACAACATGAGCTCTTTGAGAAAGAAAAATGGATGTCATAATATTATTACTTAAAACAGCATCCCTCTACCAAAAATATAAACTAAATGAGAATGTCAATAAAACCAATTTTTCTGCAAACTGTATATCTGAAAAGAATCCATCAATGAAACCAGACTCTCAACAAAAACCGTCTTTACAAAAGTACGTCAATGAAACCTGATCTAGAAACTAATTTCTTTCAAAGAATACATATTCTATTCATACGAACCTATCCAAAAAATCTTATCGGCATTAAATAACCCATTGAAGTGGATATACCGTAAAGCAAAATAAACCAAATCAGACTCTCGACACAAACACTTTTTACAAAAATACATCAATGAAACCTGATCTACAAACTAATTTCTTACAAAGAATAAATATTCTATTCATACGAACATATCCTAAAAAATCTTGTCGGCATTAAGTAACCCATTGAGGTGTTGATATGCCATAAAACAAAACAAACCAATTGATAACATTTCACAAATCAAACACAAATGCCATAAGATATGCATGTGACATATACACAACCAATGAAAACAAAACAATATAGAATTTAAAAATTGACACCTAATTCCACATTATACTCCCCCCACCCCCACACACACACTGAAAAAAAATTTATGAGAAATTTAAATGAATTTGTTCTTTATTTAAGCCTTCTGACAGTTTCAAATTCATATTTTTAATTCTCTCTTTCATATTTGTGTGTTGGAGAATATGATATATCATTTTTTTATTTCTAAGTCAATGTTAGGCAAATGTGGGGAAAAAATTCTGTATAACATGTCTTGTCCTCTTAAAGGACTTCAGACTAATGTTTTCATTGATGAAATTACATATGTGTAGGAAGAAGAGGGGTAGATATATGCAAGTGTCAGTTAGAATTATGCACCAACAGAAAACGATATTAGAATGCTGAAATTTTAAATTTCTTTTTCTTTCCAGATATATGTGAGCATGTAGCCTAGACAATTTCAGGTTTTCATTTTTTACCACTTTTATTTTGGTACCTCAAAAAAAAAGAAAAAAGAAAAAAAAAAAAAAAAAGCAATGAATTTTTAAAAAAAAAACTTTTATTTTAGTTTTAATTTCAAGCTTATAGATTAAATTTAATATTTCCAATAAACAAAATACTTTGCTGTATTTCAAAACTAATTTAAATTAACTGGAAGTTTTTGTTTTGAACTTGCAAACTATTGCTGCTTTTAGTTCCATTTTAGACATCTTTCATCACAATATGATGCTCTTTTATTAAAAACATCTTTCAAAAATAAAATATACTTTTCTGAAACTTTATTTGAGGAAAATTTGCTGATTTAAAGTTTAATTAACCTGGTTTGAAACAAATAATTTTTACTTTAAGTTTAAAATATGACAGAAGTGCATCATTTTTTAACACGGCAGCAACTATTTATTTTAGGCATTGACAGCTTCAATGACAGACAAAAGTTCATTTAATCTTTTTCTAAGGTGGTCCGATCTGTAAATTTACTTGAGTGCCTATTTTTATATATAATTTTTAACTACTCAGTAATCTTAAAAATTTAGGAAAATATTCTCTGTAATATAATGTTTTATTGATTTCAGGTACTTGGGCTTTAAATTTAAAATAGTTATCACTCTTATTTTCTGATAATGTCATATATATATGTCCGTATTTATTACAAAATTTATTTATTTACAAAAATCAGCACATTTATACACACAGAAAAAATTCAAAACTGTTTAAAATATTGATTTTTGATGAATTGTACTAAGCTTTTCCATTTATGATTAGTAAATATAGTTTTTTTACTTAATAAGAATATCACTTAATCTATACAAAGAAATACAGAATTTTAAAAGATTTAAAACTTTATAAATTATAATAAAATTTTTTTAAAATTGAAAATTTCTATAAAAATTCATTATTCATCAAAACTTTTTTTTTCTTAAGACAATAATATGCATAATATATATTATTAAGTAATTAAAAGCTTTTCTAATTAAATAATGTCTTAGTTTTATAGCCTTTTTGTATTTTACAGTTCAGAGCAGATTTTAAGTAAATGAGGGTTTAAATTCTCCACGGACTTCTGCTTTTAACTAATATAAACATTAAGGTCTACAAAATATAATTTCTCAAAATTCCCCCAAATTAAATAAGTGTGAGTGTGTTTGTGTGTATGCAGGGGGGGCAGATGTGTATATATATATATATATATATATATATATATATATATATATATTTCACCAATAATACTCCTATATTTTCCTATACTAATCTTTGGCCCCCATGCTGACTCAAAAAAATGAATAAAAAAATAAATAAAAAAATAAAAAAGATTTCTAACCAAAATTTCAATTCAAACATCTTAAAAAGGATGAAAAAATATAATTTCATAATAAAAAAAAACTTCTTTGTTTTTTTTTTCTCTTAATATTAACAAACATTTTGATGATAAAACTGTGTTTTTATTAAGTTTGGGGCATTTTTCCATCATGATTTGCCTATCTTTTAGCAAACCAGTTGAGTTACCTGGACAATATTGTCCACAATATATATTACTCATAAAAACAATTATAAGCTTTTCTAATTACATAATATCTTAGTTTTATTGCATTATTTATTTTACAATCAGGTGGTCCCGTTTGACAGAAAGAAATGTGCTCATCAAAATTCTCCAAGGACTTGTGCTTATAATCAATATAAACATTAAGCTCTACAAAAATGAATTTCACAAAATTTTATAAAGTTAAATAAGTGGTGGGTAAAAGATGCAAAACAAAAAAAGAATTTTTTTTTTTTTTTACTAAAATTTTCCTTTTTTTTTCTCTTAATGAAGATTTTTCCAATAAAACTTTTTTATTAAGTTTGTAACATTTTTTCATTATGTATGCACATTTTTTAGTGAATTTTCAGACATACCTACCACACTGTGATAATAGAAGATCTGCCAAAAAAAGTTAAATGCTGTAAGAATCTGGACACAATGCCAAAGTGTACAGAAAGGGCCTTGATAGTGAGATCATCCACAGTAAGTTTGCATCCAGGTTCTTACATATCACCTTTCTTGGCAGATCGTCTATTATCACAATGTGCAACACTTAATAACAAAAGCATAAGGAAACTGAATTAAATCAAATAAACAAAAAACATCTTCAGCATTTCCTCTTGATACATTATAAGTGACACTTGCATTTTTTTATTTCCCCCACACTCTAGAAAACCAGAAATCAAAATGGCTACAATTGAAAGAAAGGAAGAAAAAGAGAGAAAAGGTTAAGGAGTGCAAAGATGAAAAAAAAAATGAAAAGGACAAATAATCATGACATTCTACACATACACACATATGCGCAGAGGAGTATGTTAATACACACACACTATGGAAAAAAAAAAAAAAAAAACTTGCACCAATAAAAAGTGAATATAAAAAGAAAAATCGAGAAATATAAACAGCCAATTGCTGATACGCCCTGATGATTGGACAAATGGGTTCATCTACAAAATTCTGGAGTTGGGATGCTGAAGAAATGACAAACCTTTTACTAGTATTAATTCTCTCTCTCTCCTCTCTCTCTCTATATATATATATATATATATATATATATATATATATATATATATATATATATATATATTAAAATAATAAGTAAGAACAGTAAGATTTATAATCCAGTGTTCTTAGCAATTATTTTTATTTTTAAAAAAACAGTGCTCGATACAGACAGCAGAGATAAATATTGTCTGCACTTATAAATTAAGTAAATTTCTTAGAAAGTTATTCCTAATGTTGCTTGACAATGGAACGAGACTATGGATTTTAAGTTTAACTTTTATAATTAAATTTATAATAATTCAGTTTTGAAACATAGAAATTTTTGTGTCGCAATGGAATCATATTTTTAAAAAAGAAAATAATTATAATAATTATGTATATATATATATACATACATATATATATTTTACTAGTATTAATTTCATATATATATATATATATATATATATATATATATATATATATATATATATATTAATGTGGATAAATCAAATAACTAGATATTAGCAACCATATATACGTGCATTAGCATGCATACACAGGTAAGCAAATAAATATTTACTCAATTTAATCTAAGGTGTAAACAAAACAGTGCTCAATGTGGTTAGACAGAGCTAAGAAGCATATATTAATAAATATACATATATACCTATGTTCGAAGTGCAACTTAAAGTTTTGTTGTTCTACCAACTCATCAGGTACAAATTATTACTATATATATATATATATATATATATGAGTGAATGTCCAAATTACTATAAAATAGCAATTATAAAAAATCTAATAAACCGTGCAAAATTTAATTAATCCACAAAACAGATTTTCAATAGTGAACTAAAAAATATAAACAAACTTTTATTAATAATAAATTCCCTAATTATACTGTTGATGAACAAATAACATGTTCTATCAGACATTTTTATACTAAGCAAATAGGATAAATTTTTACTTTCAGATGAACACAGCAATTTTTTCTTTGAAAATGATGAACACAACAATATTTTTCTTGAAAAAACAACACCCTGATGATGACATTGTGCTAATGTGAAAAGTACCCAGAATAAAATATGTATCAACACAGTAATTTTCTCTCTTCCTTTAATAGTGACGCCAAAAAGCTTGTCCATGAATATGAAAGGATACAATTGAAAATAAGTAGACAAAACTTGTCTAAATTATTCAATGAGACATGCCTGTCTGTCTCTCTCTCTCTCTCTCTATATATATATATACACACACAGACATATAATTATAACAAAAAGATTACTTTAGCCAGATGAAGTCTAATTGTGAATAAAAATGCACTACATGGACTTTTTCCACTTTGTCTTTCATTTTACTAAAGTTTGTATGTAAGCAAGAGGAGTTATTTCAATCTTTACTTAGCGACAATTGTACTTATAACTAAAATAAACTTACAATTTTGACCAATCTTAATTATTACAGTTTCTTTCTTTTTTTCTTTCAACTGGCAAGAAAAAATACAACCTCAGGGTTTTTCATGTTTAGTACACAACTCAAGCTCATATCCCTCATATATTAATAAACCTACACTTGAAAAGATATGCAACATACAGATCTGAGGAAGGTAGGAAAGCCCACCAGCCAAAACATATAAATAAAAACATTAAAAGGTGAAATTCACTGATAGCTTTTTTGATAATAAATTTGTTTTCAATTTTGTTGCTAAGAGAGAAAGAAATAAAAAATAAAAAAAAATTTTCAAAATATCTTCCCTACCATCAATGTTTCTTTGTAAAGTGAGTTGCATTCCTTTCAGCAAGCCTTTATTTTCACAAATATCTTCGTGAAAACTGGTAAAATATTCCAGTTCGTTTTCACTGTCTTGCAGCAACATTTGAATCTTTTTGGAGACTTCGATTATTTCCTCCATGATAGCGTCTGTAATTTTGAGAAAATATAAAAATTTTAACTTCCTACCAAATCTAAATTCTTGTGTCAAACACAAAACTTAGTAGGAATAGTAAGTTATATAAGGTGCAATCAAGACTCAAACCATTGTGGAAGATTTTAAAGGACAAACATTTATTACAATAGACAGAAAAAGAAAAAAAATACAAAAATTTACATATAAGTTTCTTTGCACAAAAATTTCCTTTTGTGTACCTTATAAATAATTAAGGCAGGATCACATTTATAGATATATTGTATAAAAGGATTACTATCAAAAATAGAAAAAAAAAGGATTGCAATTTCAAAAAAGGACACAAGGGTTCAATTTTGAAAATGACAAAAAGAGAAAACACTTCAAGAAGGCAGTGAAATAGGTGCAACCATCTTTTAGAAAAAAAAAATAATGAAAAAACCTACTTTTACTTACCCCACAAGCGTCTCTTGGACATATATCAATTTTGGAAATATCTGTTTTATATTTATATTGTTTGTACTTCACTGGGGCTCTTAGGAAAGTTTCTTTGAATTCTTTTTTTGTTCTTTGTTGTCCAACTGCAAAATTTTTATGGGCTGGCTTGTAACTCTGTACCTTCTCGAGGTGAAAAAAAAATGCCCTCTCCCCACCCTTGAAGTAAAAAAAGTGCCATCTTCCATGCTTGAGATGAAAAAATGCCCTCTTGCCTCCCTTGAGGTGAAAAAATGCCCTCTCACCACCCTTGAGGTCAAAAAATGCCCTCTCCCCACCCTTGAGGTCAAAAAATGCCCTCCCCCCACCCTTGAGGTCAAAAATGCCCCCCCCCCCTTGAGGTCAAAAATGCCCCCCCCACCCTTGAGGTCAAAAAATGCCCTCCCCCACCCTTGAGGTCCCTACCCTTGAGGTCAAAAAACCCTGAGGTCAAAAAAAAAAAAAAAAATCTCCCCCACCCTTGAGGTCAAAAATGCCCTCCCCCCACCCTTGAGGTCCTTTGAGGTCAAAAAAATGCAAAAAATGCCTTCTTCAGTTATCTACTGACTAGAGTTCTATCTATGCAAAAATTTAGGCAAACAGAAAGCCTAACCCCCCAATTCACGTTCTTACTAGGGCTTGAGACCCACGTCTCTCATTGGTCAGTAAATACAAAAAAAAAAAAAATATTTTCCCATAAATGGATTCTTAACAATTTTAGTGACTTCTAACCACTGAGCCTAAAAAATTATTCATGTGTAAGAATTTTTTCCACAAACCATTTGGCTTTCTTAAAAATAAACTTCTCCCAAAAGAACATGTACAGAAAAAAAAAAAAAAAACTTAGATGAATAAACATTATTAAACCAACAACAGACAGTAATAAAAAATAAACTTATTAAAAAAAAAAAAAATTTGATCTCAACTTTTCGTTTAACCCATTCCAGAAATGACTGGCTGGCGAAAAATTAAATGGATAATTCATTGAATTTATTTGTCATGGAAACAACTAAAAGATATCCACAAGTAAACAACAGCCCCCACCACATTAAGTGAACATAATCCAACCAGGATATATTTGGTTAATTGTTGCCAATAACTCACAAGATGAATTTAAATTTACTCTTTTAATCAGAACCCTTTTTTACCTTCCATCAGTATGGCTGATGCTAACCCCTAGAAAAGTCTACCATTCATGATTGCTTTGAATATTGCTGCCATGTCTGGTCTGGTCTGGTGTGTCTGCTATATGTTTAGAGATTCTTGATGAAATCCAAAAGAGAATCTTCAATGTTATCGGCCCTGACCTGGCATCTCAGCTTTGGTCACTTTCCTACCACAAAAGGTCTTCTGCTTTTTAATTAAACTTAGACAGCCACAATCACAGACTCAAACATACCACAATATTCCTTACACCCAAACAACACATTCTTACATACCATTCTTACTACAGCCACCATAATATCTCAGAATCTCCATGAAGTCCTAATTAGTCCCCAAATGTACAATTCTTGTTTGGTGGAGGGGATAAAACAACAATTTAAAAATCTAAACCTCAATGATTATTTACACTGAGATAAACTATTTACAAGAAACTAAATAGTGTTAGTAATCCCCGCTCAAATCCTACCATAGCAAAGAGCGATATTTATTTGTAAATATTTATAAAATGTGGCACAAGGCCAAAATGGGGAATGGGAAAAAGGACAGTCTTCTTCTATCTTAACTTTAAACTAAGCTAGCCACAAACACTCACCCAAACATATCTTAAATTTCTTAAAACCAAAACAACACATTCTTACTTACTACATCCACCTTAATACCTCATTGTCTCTATGAAAATCCTAACTAGTCCCTGTATATACAATTCACCATAGCAAAGAACAATATTTATTCTGATATGTACACAGAAATGTGGCACAAGGCCGAAGGGGGGATTGGGGAAAAGATGGTCTTCTTCTGTCTTAACTATAACTGGCCCAATCGTACAAATAATATTCCTTACACCAAAACAACACATTCTTATTGTTGTGCCATAGTACCTATTCTTTGGTAATGGACTCTCCCATAGATAATAAGTAGCAGTGGCAAGTCTGCAGAACGGTGTTGAGAACGTCAGTTGAGATTCGGACATTTGAAGTACCAACCATCACAACTAGATTTGATGCGTCATTGACTATTATTTTTCCAAGTTCCTAACGTTTTATACGACTTATTAGAAATACAAGCCTCCACTGTGAAAATACTCCACAACACTTATGTACCTTTCTTACTACATTCACCATAATACCTCATTGTCTCTATGAAAATACTGACTAGTCCCCATATGTACAATTCATTGTCTGTGATGGGAAGGGAATAAAACAACAATTCTAAAAACTAGTACCAATGATTAATTACAATATGAAAACAAAACTATTTACAAGAAACTAAAGAAAATAATATTAGTAATAAAAAAACCCACAATCCGAACAATTACCATGAAAGTATTTATAGAAAAGACCGAGAGAAGCAACCTTACAGCAGTGGGAAAGTATCTATTAGCTTGAAATTGAAACTATAAAAAGCTTCAAGAAAGATTGTTCATTTCCAAAAAAATAATTTTTAATCTTATGTATTGCATTTCTTTAGAAGTACCTGATCTTATGTATTGCATTTCTTTAGAAGTACATGATAAAGCCAGTGCTGACAAAGTTTAAGTCATCAGAATTAAATTCATCAAAATCACAAATAGCCTTTCAGAACCCCCGGAATTTCAAGATAGCAAAACTTAATCAACTATTGATAAAAAAAAAAAAAAGATCACTAATTTCAAAGCAAGTCACTACTAAATGGAAGTCACCATGTTGTTCAGGCTGATTCAATAGCATATGCTCCTCTACGTCCAACTATAGAATCAACTGGAAACAAACACGTGTTAGGCCAGTCCACCTGAAAGGCACCAAACTTTCATTTTGACAGTTGAAGAAAAGGAAACTCAAAAATCCTAAATTTAACTTTACTAGTTGCACTTTGAATTCTACAACATTTGAAATTACTTTTTTTGTTTGTTTTGATAACCTGCAAAAACTTCAAATTTCCAGTGATAAAGAAACAGTTTGTCAAACTGATTAGATATTTTAGAGAGAAAGCAAAAACACCAAAAAAATAAATAATTCAATTTCTACTGCCATAACTACTGACACGTCGTAGATAGGTAGTGTTGTAATATTTAAAGAAGACAGGACTCACTTGTATAGGTTTCAAGGATAGGACACCATGTTTTATTCTGGGTGTGTGCCCTAAACTAAGGGCAATAACTCTTAAGGGGTTATTATTATTACAGGTAGGTCAGCTAGTAGATAGGATTGTTGAACTGGCATTTAGGTGACATTTTTAGTTTTATTTCAGATGCAAGTATTTTTTTTTTTTTTTTTAATGTAAATTAAAAAATATTTATATTCATTTCATAAATTCTAAGTTAACATGAAGAAGGCCGGAGCGTACAACGGCCGAAACGTTGTGAATATGGCAACGAAGATGGAGATAAAACAGTCCGAATTAGGTAAAAATACAAGTAATCATAATACCTCATCTCAGAGATGTAGAGACAGATTTATTTTAGGTGGAAAAATGTATGTTCGGAATATGAGGCGAGGTAAAACAATCCGATGGAGATAATTAGCTTGCAAAAAATAGTTTCGGAAGCTAAACTGAAATATACCCAAACGTTCCATAATTTACAAAATAATGGTAAGCTGATGAGGTTTTTTGTTTAACTAAGAATCCCAAACTTCAATTCTAAGACTAAGAGTGAATTTTTTTCTGATTTTCAGTTAAAAAAATTCAAATACTCGAACTCGACTTTTTAGAGACAACTTCTTGTTTAAAAATTCCTTTATTGTTTATAATTTGTTTTTATTAGCTAATAGGCATACATTATTTTTTAAAATTTATCCTTATTGTGATTCTTGTTTTTAACCAGGTTCCATAAAACGGTTAAAAAAAAAAAAAAAAAAAAATTTTTTTTTCAGTAGACGAAAGTCTCAAGTGATCCAGTTTAAAAAAAGTTTAATTAAAGAAAATAAATTATTTATAACAAGCATCTCTTTTCAGTTTAACATCGATACAAACTTTTACGAATAAATCCTCAAAAGTTCGCAAAATTCAAATTTTCTTTCAAAGGAATTTCGAAACGTGAATTAAAAAAGAAAACAAAAAGTTTTTTTAACGGTTATCATATTTTAAACGCTATTTTCAACTTCTAAATGAATGACTTAAATCGGATTTTCTGCTTCGAACCTTCACATTAAATAAAATTTTAAATTCGGTTTAAATTGTCAAAACGAATAAATAAATTAAATTGAGAAAGAAAGAAAAATTGTTTACCTTCTTAACTGAAAATTGCGCTTCCTTAAAAACAAATCTGTAAACAGCCAATCAGATTTTAGCAAAACGGTGACGAGCGAAAAATGACTCCAATGAAAAAATTAACCCCTTACTTAGAAATTGTTAAATTTTGCGTTGAAAACAAGGCAAAACTTAACAATTTTACAGACCACTGCAATCTTTTAATTGCAATTGTCAGAGCAATATTTTTCCTAAATCTGAAATTTCCTCCCGCCCCAAAAAACAACATTTTGTTTAATCAGGTAAATAATTTCAGGTCAATCTTTGTATTTTGTGCACTTAAAATTTAAAAAAAATATGATTTTTAAAAATATTTATCTGTGGACTTGCTCGAGCAGTGTGGCACAAGGCTAGGTAAAGTGGGAATCCCACAAAACAATCTTAACACTTAAATTGAAGTCTGAAACTTTCAAATCAATACATTAAAAAAGTATAAATTAGGATGTGGTGAACTTCCAAGCTGCAGTGAAAGACTTAATTCATAATATTATTTGCATTACTTACATTCAGACTAATGTCCTTATCTTGTTTATCACAATAATCAGTCGTTGCACCGTCCAGTCTCCTTCAGGTGTCAAAATGTCAACCATTCAGCCACTCACTGAATATTGCTGTCACATCTGGCTCGGTACTTTCTTAATAAAATCCTAAGAAGAATCTGCAAAGTTATTGGTTCTGACCTGGCATCTTGACTTCAGTCACTTTCCAGTGCCATAACATAGCTTCCCTGTGCCTTTTCTATAAATACAGGGTGTGGCAGAAATACATCCCACATAATGGAATGAGTTTGGCAATCATGTTTTTATCTAACAAATGTCTTACCATTATTATATGGGAGATATTTCCATCAAAGCCTATATTTTCATGGTAATTGTTCTGATGCTTTCTTCTTTGGTACCTAGGCCTTATGAATTTTAAGTACAGTACTCAATTGGCGGTTAGGTCTCATCATTTTACAATTGAAATGGCTAGATGTAACTGTAAGTTCTATGATAACAGTTTCTTCTTCTTTCACACTTCTCAGTTGTGGGGATCTCTTCCAGTTTCCTGCTTTTCAGTCAGCTTTGATCTTCAAAAATTAAAATGCAATGTCAATTGTTATCTTCTGTCTTCTTAATTCTTCTTCTTCTTTTATTGTCCTCTCTCCTTAATAGTAGTTTTTCTCATATTTTCTAACACTCAGTAACCCCTTTGCATCCTAGTGGCTTTATTGCCTTTGATCTTCAAAGCTATAAATGCAATGTCAATCGTTATCTTCTGTCTTCTTAATTCTTGTTCTATTATTGTCCTATCTCCTTAACAGTAAACCCGATCGACCATCTTTTTTCTATAGTGGTGGTTGTCCAAATCCTTTTTTAAACCAAACAGTAACACAGACTTCCTATTTGAATCTTTTTTATGCCATATTTAAAACTGCATTGCAGTTGGTGCATAGCGAATTCTCTCACAAATGCACACTGCACAATCTTGTTCGACTGTGGGGAATACAAAAAAAAACTCTCTTTTCTTCAGTTTTCAAATTTTGCAAGCCTGTGCAAAAATTTATTTAGACCAATAGAAAAGACAACGGCTCGCAAACTGAGAAAAAGTATTGAGCTGATGTAAAATTGCTTTTTAAGAGAAAGAGAAATTTTCATGTTTCATGCGTCAAATTACATGCTGATACATTATCTGCCTCTAATGAGAGCTAGGCAACTTCAAAGAATTCTATTCAACTCCAAAGCTACCTTAAAATATATCTTTTCCTTTTCATTTATGTTGAATACAACTGTATGTGAAAAACAAACTCTCTCAGTTTGTTTTACTTTTAAACATTTTGGAATTTTACTTTTGTGTCCGTTGATTTATGAACATTTTCTCCTCTTGACAATTCATCGAAACTACAAACTTTAAATATTTGATTCCTTTTCCTGAAACAAGCTACTAACAACCCCAAATGTGTTAACTTATAAATAAATCCCTTATTTTGTTTTTTTTTTTGTTTTTTTTTTAAATATATCACGTGTGTTTCCCCGTCATTTTCCCTCATTTACCTCACGATTGTGTTCAAGCAGACTCTTTCCAATCAATGGCTTTTCTATACCGGAAAAAGTAAAAGACATTAAACATAGAATTTTGAGTTGTTTCTGTGCATGCTGTTAAAATTTAAGATCATTTGAACAAGAATTGGTCAAGTTATTCAATTACAGTTGTTATCATCTTAATTCCTGTTCTTTTATTGTTCTCTCCTTAATAATGTTTTGTTTTTTTTGTTTTGTTTTTTTCTTTCCTCTTTCTCTCATGTTATTTCACACACACCCTTGTTTTTGGTTAAAATTATGTTAAAAAAAAATAAAATAAAGGTAACCATCAGAGAATTTCAAACAAAACCATTTTAAATTAAACAGGTTTAGATTTTTCTTGTTCCGCTGTCCACGTTTGACGATATCTCGTCCTGTTTTTATTTGAATTCGGTGATATACTGGAATAATTTTGAGTTCAATCCCAGAGTCGGTTAGTACAGCCTAAGATTCAGTGGGAATAGGGTATGCAGTAACTAGGCAGTGCTAAATAAGGGAAATTTGCAGATAATATCCTAGTGACCAATTTTAAAAAATGCATTATACCTGGTGTAAAAAAGCCTGATTATTACAAAAACAGCAATGAAAAAATGAGGAAACTCTACTTTTTGGGAGATATTACCAATCTTAGTTGGGTCTCGGGTACAACCTGGCCACCAGAGTCAGGAATCTGTTAAGGCGATCGGTATAGTGAGGGATTGATTTCACCCCAGGAACATAAGCAACATATTGCATCCAGGTAAACAGTGGAGACCAGGCTGTACCCGGGACCCAACTAAGGCAATATCTTCTAAAACGGAAGAGTTTTCTAAATTTTTATTGCTATTTTTGTAATAATAATCAGGGTTTTTTACACCAGGAATAATGCATTTTTTCTTAAATTGGTCTAGCTCTGAGGCATTATCTGCAAATTTACCAATAAGGCTTCAGTTTGAATTCTCTAAAAAACTAAAACTAAAAAAGTGGTTACTCGGATCGACAAACACCTGATGAAGTCTGGAAGACACAACGACTGTGTTGCGGGGCCGTGTAGGATGTCGCCCCCGCAAGGTTTTTATGTAGATAAATGTGAACAGCCAAGACAATGACGGGACAAAGGCAAAGGTTTTGGTTATGAACAAAAGTGTCGAATTTATTAACACGTTTACATCGGTGTGGTCCGGTATGACTGGTTGATCGACGAACGTAGCTGGTTCGGTCGAATGTAGTTGATCCGGTCCGGTAGTTTATGATTGGTAGGCGAACGTAGCTGGTTCGGTCGAATGTAGCTGGTCTGGTCCGGTAGTTTAGGGTTGATCTGGCCCGGTAGTTTAGGGTTGGTCGGCGAACGTAGCTGGTTCGGCCGAATAGCGAAGACGGAGTCCCTAAACAGGGCCAAGGCAGAACAGTGATGCGACTTCACAGGGCGGATCGACCGCGGAAACGGGATCGCGCCAAAGTGTATCACCAGGCGAAGATGGTGTCCCTAAACAGGGCCAAGGCAGAACAGTGATGCGACTTCACAGGGCGGATCGACCGCGGAAACGGGATCGCGCCAAAGTGTATCACCAGGCGAAGATGGTGTCCCTAAACAGGGCCAAGGCAGAACAGTAATACAACTCCACAGGGCGGATCAACCGCAGAAACGGGATCGCGCCAGAGTGTATCACCAGGCGAAGACGGAGTCCCTAAACAGGGCCAAGGCAGCACAGTAATACAACTCCACAGGGCGGATCAACCGCGGAAACGGGATCGCGCCAGAGTGTATCACCAGGCGAGGCAGGTCAGAGAGGTGTTACACCTTCCAGGGCGGATCGACCGTGGAGACGGGATCGCGCCGAAGAGTAACACTCTCGACAAAAGCACCGGAAGTTCACAAAGGCAGCGTACTACACTTTGATCCAGGCCGAGATTTATTTTGTAAAAAATACACAAAATTGTGGCACAAGGCCGAAAAGGGGGGGGGTAAGGCTGGTCTTCACTAACTATCTTATACCTAGCTAATTTGATTCACGACCCATTCAGACATTACAATTTACTCATTCACCATAAGAACTCGTCCGTCATCAATCAATCCTCCTTGCACCATAATACCACATCCACTCTAGGGAGACCTACAAAACGCGCCCCATGTCATAATGATCCTAACACATATGTACAAAAATTCTAAGATGAAAAAATGAGATGGGGGTGGGATGTGAACCCAATAACAAACTAAAATATTAACATAAATGAAAATAAAGCGTTAACTGATGTTAGTAGGGCCCTTCCAACCCTCAAAAATGCAGGAGACCACTGTATTCTGCCCATTGGAACAAAAATCAAGCAGCTCTCTCGCTAAGGGGAGTGGGAAAGGTGATAAAAAAATCATACGGGCATGGGGAAGTATAAAGCTGACCCAGTCGAGATAGAAAGTGGGGATCAAAAACAAACTGGGGAGGTTGGGAATCTCAGGCTGGATCATAACTAAAGATGTGGCCGGGGGCAGGCCAGAACAACACTTACTCGCATTAACTAGGTACACCAAGGCTTGTCTAACCTAACCAAGGCGAGGGCACCACAGGAAGCCACCCCGATGTAACGTAGGCTTGACCTAAAACAGAAAATCAAGGCTAGCCCCGTTCACACAAACCAAGCTCGCCTCAGTCACCCACCTTTCGCTGAAGACTGTCGAATGCAAGCGTTTTCTATCAGTTCTAATCTTCGCCTTGAGCTGATGCTCAAAGAATCGGATCAGATCCTGATGAGAAAGACGGTTACCCCGCAAGACTTCCTCCTCTCGCGTCGTCCATATCACCATTCGGGCCGTGGCTAGCAGCATGAGAAACACCATCCGTTTCACCCCGGAATAGGGGGGCGACACATTGTCACACGCGTATGCGCGATCCATGGGCACAAGCTTTTCGGGAGCGAGATGAGCCGTCAGCTCGCCGACATGGTCCCATAAGGGGCAGACACGGGGGCAATGGAAGAAGGCGTGCGAAGCCGTTTCCTTTAGTCCAACCGAAGGGCCCTGGAAGATCGACCGCCTTCCAGGCGCCTCGGAGGACTTGTCGCGGTGCCGAGCAGCTAAGATTTATTTTGTAAAATTACAAAATTGTGGCACAAGGCCAAAAAGGGGGAGGGGTAAGGCTGGTCTTCACTAACTATCTTATACCTAGCTAATTTGATTCACGACCCATTCAGACATTACAATTTGCTCATTCACCATAAGAACTCGTCCATCATCAGTCAATCCTCCTTGCACCATAATACCACATCCACTCTAGGGAGACTTACAAAACGCGCCCCATGTCATAATGATCCTAACACATATGTACAAAAATTCTAAGATGAAAAAAAAAAATGGGGTGGGATGTGAACCCAATAACAAACTAAAATATTCACATAAATGAAAATAAAACGTTAACTGATGTTAGTAGGGCCCTTCCAACCCTCAAAATGCTGTATTCTGCCCACTGGAACAAAAATCAAGCAGCTCTCTCTCGCTAAGGGAGTGGGAAAGGTGATAAAAAATCATACGGGCATGGGGAAGTATAAAGCTGACCCAGTCGAGATAGAAAGTGGGGGATCAAAAAACAAACTGGGAGGTTGGGAATCTCAGGCTGGATCATAACTAAAGATGTGGCCGGGGGCAGGCCAGGGAACAACACTTACTCGCATTAACTAGGTACACCAAGGCTTGTCTAACCTAACCAAGGGAGGGCACCACAGGAAGCCACCCCGATGTAACGTAGGCTTGACCTAAAACAGAAAATCAAGGCTAGCCCCGTTCACACGAACCAAGCTCGCCTCAGTCACCCACCTTTCGCTGAAGACTGTCGAATGCAAGCGTTTTCTATCAGTTCTGATCTTCATCTTGAGCTGATGCTCAAAGAATCGATTCAGATCCTGATGAGAAAGACGGATACCTCGCAAGACTTCCTCCTCTCGCGTCGTCCATATCACCATTCGGGCCGTGGCTAGCAGCATGAGAAACACCATCCGTTTCACCCCGGAATACGGGGCGACACATTGTCACACGCGTATGCGCGATCCATGGGCACAAGCTTTTTCGGGAGCGAGACGAGCCGTCAGCTCGCCGACATGGTCCCATAAAGGGGGCGGACACGGGGCAATGGAAGAAGGCGTGCGAAGCCGTTTCCTCTAGACCAAGGCCGCACCGTTCACAGTCTGGCAAATCCGCCAAACCCCATATGAAGGCCATGTCGTTGAGAGGCAGCCGATTCCGAGCCAGTCGCCAGGTAAGCGAAAACTCAGGGTTACTGAGGTAATCCGCCGCTGGCGCCCAAGACCAGTGAGAGCGAAACTCATCCTCCGACATGTCGAGATCCTTACGTAGGGGATCCTTCGCGACCCCTCCACTAGCAAACGATAGAAGACCTTCCCTAGGCCGAGAAAGGTCACTGGACCAAGGGACAGCCAACAAGGCCGACCGACACTCGCGAAAGAAATCCAATTGAACCCGGGTTTACGACGGCGATCCACCCGCCAGATTGGGGGACTGATGGTAAGGCGAGGAAGGCGGCCCTCACAATCCCCTCAATAATCGGATTTCTACCTGTCAAAGCGCGGCTCGAGGCACGTTTGTGGCTCAGCAAGTGTGGCATTCCCAGCCCCCCCATCTTGGTTTGGGCGACAAAAGTGGCTAAGAATATTTGGAAAGAGTTGTTCAAGTGCTCCCTGGCTTGAGGGAGTAGAAGACCGTAGATAATTAATTACTGTCTATGGTTGCTGATGTTTGGAATGGCTCTGCATAGTCAGATGCATACTAGGTATGGTTTGGCATCAACGATATTGGACTAGCCGTCCGGTTTCTCGCATGTTGCTTGACCTAGATCTGCGAGATCGGGAGTTGTGAAGGTCAAGGTCGGTTTTCTAAGGAGCGGATAATCGGCGACCGCGACAACTGAAACCTTATGATGATAACAGCAAAGATGAGGACAATAGTCTGCGTAATGTTTTAAAAATCTACGTTTTAGAAATACAGGCATTCTTTATGATTGACCGAAAAAGTAATTTATTTAAAAAAATGTCCCCCATAAAAAAAGACCATTTCTCCTTTACGCCAAGTCCAAGTGCGAATACAGAAAAAATACAAGTAAAATCAAAAAAAAATCCGTGACATATTTTCTTTATCTATAACAGTTATTTCATAACTTAAAATACAATATTTCAGATGCCACAGCGGTGAGTATCATTAACAGAGAAATCAACTTAAAAAAAAAAAATAAGTCGGAAGTAAATATTTCCCGATTAATATTATTGGGTACATGCTTCGGTCTACACCGTAAGAACACGTGTGACTGAAGACATTGAAAAGATGGGGAAAGTTTCGAAGAAAAAAACTGCTAATCGTCAAAAAGATAAATCCAGAAAAAGGGATGAGAAAGCTTCTCAAAATTCTAAGCCTGGCAAAAAGATAATCGGAAAGGCAAACCGAGAAATGCTGACAAAGAAAATTGGAAAAGCTCCTAAAGGAAGAAAACATAAGAAAATCAAAGCCATCGACCCTTTTTATCACGGCGAAAGAAAAAATATGTAAATTGATTTTTTTTTTTACTTTAAAATTTGATTTTTTTTTTATTTCTTTAAGCTGATTTTATGTAACTAGTAATTCGATTTTACAAAAGAAATGGATGAGTTCTTATATTCATCAAAGACTTCTGCTTTTAAAAATATAATAAAAATTTACAACGTTGAATTTCTCTCGTGTTGTAAAAATAAAAATATTTTTACTAAGACTTTCGAAGAGGAAACAGTTCTAAAATAATTTCATTCATTTGTAAATAAGTTCTGAAGGTTTCAAAATCTGACAATATTTTGATTTTTTTACAAGAATTTCCAAATTAATGTGCAAAAAATACGCTAAAAATTTCCTAAAATCTTTGGTCCTCCCACTGATGCAAGAAAAACAAAATTTTTAACCGAAATTTCGAATGTTCTAAAAAAGTTGAAAAAAAATTAATAAAATAAAAAAAATAATCTGGTCGTTCCTCTTAATAAAAATTTTGACAGTAAAACTTTGTTTATATAATCATCAAATTTGGGGCTTCTTTTAGCGAATATAGCGTGATACCTAAAACTTGTCCTGGGGTCTCTCAAAAAAAAAAAATCATCAAATATATACAATTTCATATGTAGAAAAACCTCAACCGGTTTAGCGAGGAAAATGTTCAAGTGGCATGACTACTGTTTATCAGGAAAAGGAAAAGCAATAGCAATTTATTACTCACTTAGATGTTTTGATAATGAAACAATTAAATTTCCTAAAACAACGACGATCACGCGGTACAGGAGTTCTGTTATATAGCAAATGTGGATTTTCTGGTTATTGTGAATGGTGATATAAGTGAAACTATGTTTCTCCTTATTTTAGATGGGAGAAGTTACTCAGACCCGGAGATTCCAATCCTGCAACAGTACCTTCCTCATCACGCTAAAAAGGTTGGGTCAGTGTAATACCGATGCCAGTCTCAGTATGACATAAGTGTTTGTTCAACATCCACAGAGTAGTTTATATTGGTCTGGTGCTTCTGCTACATATTTAGAGATTCTAGATAAAATCCAAAGAAGAATCCGCAATGTTATTGGTCCTGACCTGGTATCTTGGATTCAGTCACTTTCCCATTATTTTAATATAGCTTCCCCCAGCCTTTTCTATAAATATTTTCATGGTAATTGTTTCAATGAGCTTTCCTCTTTGGTACTTAGACTTTATGAAGACTAGATTAGTGGCAAGATCTCATCAATTCACAGTTAAATTGGCTAGATGTAATTATAAGTTCTATGCTAACAGTTTCTTTTATTGCACTTTGCAGATTGTTTGTTTATGATGTAAATATGTGTTTGTGTGGAAGTGGTAATGGTACAGCATTAGTATTTGAATAAATGAATAAGTATTAAACATTTTATCCCACATTAGCTAAAAAGGCTTTATCAATTTTATTGCAATTTTCGACTTCTTATTTATATGAATTAGGCTTTTCAACCCTAAATCACATCAAAAATAAGAAGTGAGAAAGACTACACTCAACTGAAAAAGAAATGAGGGTCTGCTTATCGCTGCAGAAATAGTTGAATAGAAACCTTGAAATTAAGTAAATTCATATTTGTGTGTGGATTTTTTTAAATCTATAATTTTATTTAATAACATTTAAATGTATATTCTTTAGACATTTTGCTAAGTGCACTGTAATATTTTCATTTGCCCCTAGATGTTCTGTTGCTTAAAAAGGTTGAGAAACACTGCTCTACCTCGAATACACCTGTCCCTGGGTCTTGTACAGGGTGAACTTCACTGTAAAAAAGAAATAAAAAAATTTTTAAAAAAAGTATGCCCTCCTCCTATGCCCAACCTTAACCAAAGTCAGATCAAACCAAAAATAGCAGGGGTTCTGCTTCTGCCATGATTTGGCTGGAACTGTCCAATCCTAATTTTCCACTTCAAGAGAATCCATATTTTCTTCTTTTCAGTTATGATAAAAAATTGTTAAACAAAGCCCCCAGAGATGATGACGACAGTCAATTCCCTGGAAAACTCAGGGAGATTTTGCGACTTAAAGAAGAATTGAAGAATAAAAAGCAGAAAAAATCGGAACGATCAGACTCTGAAAGGCCAGGTGTGGTTCTCAATTTGTATTTTCTCTTTCTGTTTTCTTTAGAACACCTGTAATGAACTGTACTTTAGATATAAGAAAAACACCTGTCAGAAATTAATAATACCATCTCATCAGCCATGTTCAATGTTATTTGCAAAAAATTATTAATATTTACTGACAAAAGAAAAAAAAGGTATTATTATTAATTTATTTATTAATTTGAATTTTTTTAGTTTTGTTTATATATTTCTTTCTTATTTTTTTTTATTCTTTATTGGGAGTCACTAAAAACCAACTTTTTATTAACATCAGCATCAATCAGCAAGAACAAATATATTCCTGTTCCATCTGCTGAAACGTTTTGGCCCAAACCAGAGAAGAGGGCATCCAAAACAGATGAGTCAAACCAAAATGGAGGAGTGAAGCCATTGTATGTTCCTGAAGGACAAAAAGACAATGAGACTGCTGTTGCATACCTGAGGAGGACAAATGAAGAATTGTCAGATGTCTTTGAGAAAACTGTTCTTTTCAAAAAATATGGTGTAAGTTTTCCTCTTTTTTTTTTTTTTTTTTTTTTTCATGTTTGAAAAATTTTCTTTCTAGAAATGAAGTAAATTTTTGCAAAAAGCTTCTTGCGATGTTTTTCTGTGGTTGGTGATGCTTAGGCTGTTGATTTGGAGATCTCAAAAGTGTTTGGCATACCAGTCTTCTTCTCAAGTTGAAAGGTTATGGTATCTGTGGAACAATCTTTGAACTGATTTAGTCTTATCAAATCCTTTCCTGGATATGACAATAAAGTACATCTGGCAGCAAGGTGTCTGATTGGGAGGTTTTGAGACATGTGGAATCACCTCTTGATTCCTGTTGTTCCCAGGCCCACCCTGACCTGGGGTGGTAGCACCTGTTAGGGTTCCAGCTATGGGCAAATAGTTTACCCCCAAACTGGGCTCAAAACACTATGAAAGTATAAAAAATTTGATAGTAAAAAAAATTAGCAGCAGGAGATTTTTGTAAAAGAAATTACTAACAGTCTCAAGAGAGTTCAATTTTGGCATTAAATGACTCATAAGAAGTTGTTGATATGCTGCTAAACAAACAAATGATTTCTTATCAAATCACAAAATTACCCTTTACCACACTGCAGGCGAAAATTGTCACCATAGAATTCTCTCCCTTTGCTACCCTGCATTCTGCCACCTTCAGACAGTTGCTATAAAAAAAAACACATGTCAACTGTTATTTTCAATATTTTAAGCTAGAAATCGCCTACTGCTGCTTTGGAAGAAGGCTAAACTTCTATTTTCCAATGCTTCTTCTAGACTCTACACGAGATGTAACACAGATTAAACTGTGTTAATTTTTTTGTGATTTTTTGTAATCGAAAATGGCCATGTCAATATCCAACAAAGCCTTTATACAGGAGTTTTTCTTTGATTAGGACTCTGATATTGATTTTGAAGACTTTACTCTTGGGGATATTGACAGTGGTTGAAGTATACAAAAATTAAAATCCATACACACAATACAAAGAAAATTGTAACAATTTTAAAACAATAGGTGTTCATGTTTTTGCCCCCTAAAAAAAATGCAGTGGCGGGGGAACAATTTAAAAAAAAAATTAACATGGTAACGGTTAAGGTTGTCTTGAATATCCACTCTTCTTGATCTTTTTGCATTAGGTGTCACCCGGGGCTCTATCTTTGGACCTATGATGTTCCTAATTTACATCAGTAACCGTCTTGATGTCATCAGCTCTCAACTTGGTATCTATGCTGATGACATGACCATTTACTCCTGTCTCAATACTAAGTCTGATCAATTTGATAGGGTCAAACTGGTGGCTGATTTCAAAAATGACCTATCTGTTGTTAACTGGGGTAGAGATTGGCTTGTTAATTTTAATGCCCCTAAAACTAACACTCTCTATTAATCGTCTGAGAGACTGCCTTCTGTCAGTATGGCTGATGCTAACCTCCAGGAGAGTGACTTCTCACATCTTCTCTGGTTATCTGACATTAAGTGGAAAGACTATATTGAATCCATTGCTAGGTCAGCTGCTAAAAGAGTTCATTGTGTCATGCTACACAACTTTTCTCTACAGAATCTATCTTACATATCTATAAGTCTACTATTCGTCCATGCTTAGAGAATTGATGCCACATACGGTCCAATGCTTCTGCTATTTATTTAGAGATTCTGTATAAAATCCAAAGAAGAATCAGCAATATTATTGGTCCTAACCTGGCACCTCAGCTTCAGTCAATTTCCTACTGCCATAAAATCGCAGCCTTTTCTGTAAATATTTCCATGGTCATTCTAATTGCTCCGTTACCAGTATTTATGTATTCAAGATAAACTGCATCTGCATCCTTATATTTGAATTGGTTAGATAAACTACATCCAATAGCAACGCCTGATCAGGAGGTTCTGAGGAGCGTGAACTAAAAATTGCAGTGTCAATCATTACCTGTCTTCCTTGATTACCCGTTCTCTCTCTTCATAATGTTTTAGCACCTGTTATAGTCCCAGCTAAATAAGCAAATATTTAAACCCAAAAATTTTATGTTCTTCTAAAATAGGATTATTCTAATTGCCCGTTCTGGGTAGTGTAAAATCTAGTTTTAATACTCAGGAATAACTAGGGTTCACCCCTAAAAATTATTAACGAAATAAACCCCAAAAATGAGGTAAAAAGCATTTAAAAGTTGAAAAAAAAATACTATTACTTTGTAAAAATTATATTTTTGAAAAAAAAACTGTTACCACCAATATATTTTTGAAAAAAAGATATTACCAGCAATACATGTTTTAAAATATTACCAGCTATACATTTTTGAGAAAAAAAATATTACCAGAAATAGATTTTTGACAAAATATTACCAGAAAAAAAAAGTTGTCGGCATTAAATAACCCATTGAGATTGATATGCCATAAACCTCAACAAACCAAACCAATCTCCTAATTGCAAAAAATTCTATTTTTAATTTATTTATTAATATAATTTTTTGTGCACAATTGAGTTATGCATCCTTTGCACCAACCCTGAAATGAATGTCATCCTGAATGGCCACTCGTCTAGATCTTTTTGTACTAATGCAGGTGTCCCCCAGGTCTCTATCCTTGGTCCTCCTTTGTTTTAAATTCTCTTTAACGAACTACCCAATGGCATCATAATTTTATAAACTTCATATCTACAATTATTTACCCTGTCTGATATTAATTATTTACTGCTGTCTTGATATTAAGTCTGATCAGGTTGATTCAAATCCACAACAGGCTTCTTTTGCCTTTTACTTTTTTTTCATGCTCCAATATGAGTTGCAACATCCAATTTTGTATAACTGCAACATACTTATAAAATCGTCTTATTATTTTCAGATTGATTTCACAGACATGAATTCAGGGAAAATGGAAAAATTGTATGGCATGAATGATAAAAAGCGGAAGTGAGTAAAGAGTTATTTCCCTTGGTTTTTTAATATTGCAAACCAAATAAAATCCAGTTTAAATGTCGCTTATTCCCCTTTACCAACACAGAATTTGTAAATTTTTTTCCTGCCTTCATAGAAAAATATCTTTATCAATGTTGATGGGCTGAAATTCAATTTTTACAGCCAATTTTCATTCCTTAACTGTTTTTACCTGAAAGTATGAATCTCTCCCTCTCTCTTTTTTTTAAAAAAAACTTCAAAAACAAATTTGTTATTTTCAAACTCAAAGAGACCCCCCCCACCATGCCTGATCCATGTTCAGTCTATCACCCACTATTTTTTTTTCATTCAGAAATTCTGTTATTTGGGCAGAAAAAAAATATGTTGGACTCCATCTTGTGTAAGAATTGCTGACATCTGAAGCTTCTCTCTCCAGAGCAGTATTTCTGTCAAATAAGCATCTTCAGTTACTTCCCGGAGATGTTATTTAATCTGGAGAATACCATTGTTTTGTCTGCTTACAGCCATATGATATTGAAACAACGGTTCTCATACTGAAATTAAGCAACGTCAAGCTTTTACGTACCTAGATGGGTGACAGCTTGGGAATGCCAAGTGCTGCAAGCTTGGCTATGCTTGTCGTATAAAAGATAACTCGAAATTGGAAATCAGAGAGTGAAGTACCATTTCGAGCTGGGTTCATTATATTCCTTTCTGCACAACTACCCTTTAAAAAGGCATGAATCCACCTCTTCTCCCCCAGTTATGGGTTAATTAGTAGTAATTATTTCCAAAACAATTTTCAGTCTAAAAATATTCTCTGCTTTTAAATAACGTGACAAAGGTTAATAAACCATAATGAATACCCAGAATCATTCAAATCCATTTTGTTTTGTCGGGTGTTAAAGTGTTGATAAATAAAAAATACAACCCAACCCATTGTTCAGTTCTTGGTCTATACACCAGAAAATGAAATGCTAACACTGAAGGTCTTTAAAAAACAAAGAAATTAAGATTAAAACTTTTTGATTATGTACAGTTAAAAACGAAAAACATTCTGCAAAATTTCCAGTTGTTTCTCATCATCGCTTAAGACAGTGGTCCCCAAATTTTTTTCCTCTGGCCCACATTTTTGGAATGAAAATTTGCTCATGCCTCACTAAATTTGATGTGCTAAAATATACATTTAAAAAAAACAAAAACAAAAACGGGTTAAAGGGAGATAACCACGGATTCAAAGTTAAAACATTCTGTACACATAAGGCACAGAAGGGGTTATCAGAGAAAATACAAAGGATCTGTGGTCCATAGGACAACCTTGAAAAGCTGGATGACATTTCACAGATATCTCTCCCAAGTAAGAAAGGAGGGGAACATGACTAAAGACAGTGTGTATACCATCCCATGCAGCTGCGGAAAGAAATATAAAGGGGAGACAGGGCACCCCCTTAAGGTAAGGCTTTAAGAACACCAGAAAGCTGTAACACGAGGGGAAGTGGAAAAATCAGGTGTGGCTGACCACATATAGAGAGAGAAAAGGGAGATCACTGCCCTTTGTGGGATCAGATTGAAATCATAGACAAAGAACATCATTGGAAAATTCATAAACTTAAGGAATCAGCACATATGCTAGGCCACAAAAATCCCCTGAGCTGACCAAGTATAGAAATGAATACAATATGGGAACCATTAATAAGGAGTGCTAGAAAAAGCGATAATAACAACAAAAATTGCAATATGAGCTCTGGTAAAAACATAGCACATGGAACTAGAACAGCCTACCCCAGTGGGCGAAATAAAGGGTTCAGTTCAAGATTCCAACAACCTGAAGTGTACAATGGCTGAAATGTGATAAATATATCAACAAAGATGAGGACAACAGTTCAAATAATGTAAATTGTGTACATAATACCTCATCTCAGAAATATAGACAGATTCAGAATGTTATCATTGATAACTCTCTCCTCCAATTTTACGGAGCCTAGTTACCATATTTTTAATACTTCATATAATGCAAAAATATCACAGTGATAAAATCAATCAATAATTATTTATAACTATTTATACTGGGACTCATGCATACAATTACAAGTAACCCATGATAATATTTGAAATTTTGAAATTATATTGATTTTTGGCATATGAATTTTTTGAAATGGTTTCTAAATCTTTGATTATCTTTCAATCATTCTGCCTCACCTGGTATCCCCTTCCGCTGAACCATTTGGGAACCACTGGCTTAATGGATTCTTTTAGTTGATCTCCAAGATTCACCCATTCTCCAAGTTCTCCTTGTTCTCTTTAATTTTCTGAAAGGCACTGACGAGGAACTCTTTCAAGTAGTCAATGTTGGAAGATTTCTGAAAATTTTCTTCTTTACGACACTTGAAAGGAAGAAGTCCATGTCTGGGGATGTCAAAGTTCACTCGAACCTCCCATATACTGATCTGCTTATTAGGTAATTGAATTCTATCTTAAGGAAGAAATAAATTTATTTCTCAATATAACTTGGGAATAGAAATATGTAAAACTATTACTGAATCCCCTTGTAAATTGACACGATGACAATTGTAAACAGGAGCTCAGAATTACATGTTCCACATGATTCTGCACTGGTACACACCTGCAATTAAACACTTAAATTAAACACATACACACCTGCAATTAAGCACTTAAATTAAACACATAGATACCTGCAATTAAATATTTAAACATATTCCCAACTGCAATTAAATATATAAAGCATACACACCTGCAATTAGATGCATGCCTTCAATTAAACACTTTATTACAGGTATAATTTGTTAATGGTCTACATATGATAATTTTATTTCTCTTTCAAGTCGATTAAAGGAAATTGCAAAGGAAAAGAAAAGACGGAAATTAGAAAAGAAAAATGATAGCCAATCAGGATTTGAACACCTGACAGGTAAGCGAGGTGTTTTCTTTGTTTTATTTAATCTTTTGCTGATGATTAAAAAAAACAAGTTGCATTTTTTTTCTTTGATTTTTTATTCCAAAAAAGTTCCCTGGTAAGAAAGACAATCAAGAAAGGAAAACCCACGAGCAAGAAAGAAAAAAATGAGAAAGAAACAAGTAAGAAAGGAAAATGGAAAAACAAGTGAGAAAGCAAGAAACCTGTTTTCCCTGAAAAATTATTTCATTAGAAAGACATTATAAAATTTCAACTGACAACATAAGCTGAAATTCTTGGGTAATGAATTCCAAATACTTCCTTATAAGGAATCGTCTAAGATTATGATTACCATTAAGCTAGCAGTTATTAACAAAATGGAATGGGTTTGTCAAATTCAAATTCTAACTGAGGTTGTTGCATTCACTTTCACACAAATACCCCTATGAAAGGCATGAATCTTTTCCACCTTTCCAAGTATGGGTTAACTCACAGGGTAGACCAGACTATCTAACCTTTGTTGGTAACCAATCTAGGAGAAAGAGAACTTTGAATTCAAAGTCTGTGGCCATACTAAAAAAGCTGCAACAGCCTGCTCGCCTACCTAAGCAATGTGGCAACATTTAATGACTACAACAGAAAAAATACTTTGACCAGTAAAGATTAATCGGTAGCCAACAGGCTGGTTGGTGAAGGTGATAAATGTTAATCTAAGTTAATCTGAGTTAACAGTTGCAAATTAATTCTTTGGCTTATTTTGATTTTTTTTTTCTTCTTTTAATTCCAGATAATGTAGATTTTGGTGAAGTGGCCATGTCCCCACCAGAGAAGTTAGCTAAACCAAGACATGCAGATTCCACAACACTTTCAAAGGTCAGTCATTGACTATCAGAATTTTGATTCATATTTTCCATCTTTTCTTGTAGGAAACAATAGGAGAAGCTTGTTTGCCTAAAACAACTTTTCCAGGTGTCCATAAAGTCTCTTTACAATTTAAAAAAATTATTACAAAAGCAAATGAACAGACAAATATGTAGAAATTGTTACAAAATGAAGAGTAGAAATTGAAGCTTTTTTAACTAATTTAATCCACCTCTCCATGGACACAAAATGGAGTACCATCTTGATGTGCAAGAAGCACATCAAGATGGTACTCCATTTCTTGCCATGTTCTCTGTAGCATAGCCTCATCAATGGTGGCAATGGCATCAGTGATCTTTTGCTTTCGATCAGTGATGTCCCGTATCTTTGTTCAATACACGATATCTTTAACATAACTCCAAGAATTGCAGAGCAGTGATATCTGTTGAATGAGGTGGTCATAGAATTGGGCCATCCCTTCCAATCCACCCGTCTGGAAATGTTAGGGGTTCATTTAACCTCTTTCATCAACAGGATATCGGAAATGCGAAAAAGCAACCGGATTAAAAAACTTTGATAACTATTAAGTACATAGAACAAATCTGATTAAGATATATCATCAATTGCCTTTGCAATATATTTTTTAAGTAGTCAAGAGACTTTATGGGCAGCCTGTTCAATATCAGACAAAATAATAGACCTGAAGATGGTCAGAGAGTTTTTGGCCGAAACACCTTTAACCCTTAAATGGTGAAATAATCAATTGATGTTTAATTGGAGATCAATTAGTTTTCAACAACATATGCCTGAATAATGACATACTGCCTCTCTCTCTCTCTCTCTCTATATATATATATATATATATATATATACACACACACACACACAAAAGCATATTCACACATGAATTCTTGAAATGTTCTTTTTCTTTTTTTTTTCTTTTTTTTTCTTTTTTTTTAAATCTTGACCATAATTGTCAAAATCCGTTATAATATTTAACGAAAGAAATAATTCCCTTTCTTCTTCCTGTTTGTTTTCAATGGCAGCCTGGTAAAAAGGAACTTCTTTTGAAGAATGTTATAAAAGAGAATTCCAAAGGCCCAACTGCACCACTTCCCAAGACTGCAACAAAGAAAGATAAATATACTTTGACCAAAACCGTCAAATTAAAACACCTGCCTCCTGTTAAACAAACCATGTTGAATGCCGAACGTGAAAGAGTTGTTCAACTTTACAAGGAAATGAAAAAGAAAAACAGAGAAAACAATAAATAATTTTTTTATCTTTTGCAAAATTTTTTTGTTTTTATTCTTTTGGGGGTTTGATATTATTACTGTTGTTTTTATAATTTTTTATTTTTCTTCGTTTTAGTTATTTTTTATTTTAAACAATTTATGCGTATTTAGGTGGCTGTTCTTCATTGATACATGTTTTGTTAAAATGTTGATACATCTTTTACTAAATCTCATGTTTGATTAAAGCATTATATGTTAAAGCATTAATACATATTTCGTTAAATTGTTGATATGATTCATGAAAAGCATTGATACGTGTTTTGTTAAAAAGTTGTTTTCATTAAAATGTTATTAAAACATTGACATCATTAAAGCATTAACACATTTTGGTAAAACATTTCATTAATACATTGATATATGTTGTTAAAACATTGATATGTTTCATCAAAACATGTTGTTAAAGCATTGATATATGCTTCAACAACAGACGATTGTTTAGGGTTTTTTTTTTTGTTTTTTTAATAATTTCACCCCAAGCACATTTAGTCAGTTGATTAAAGATTTTCAGGGGGTTCGTTGTTAGTATGGTTTTCTGAATTTATTTTGTAAGTTGTATTGTGAGGAAGTAATAGTAAGTTTAAGCCGTGCGAGATGTGTTAGTAATTCTACGTTGGTGGGGGGAGGGTGCTTAAAATCTGCTCACCTGAAGAACTCTTTTCAGGCTTCTTCCCTTTATGCCAACCAGAATCTTCCAAAAATTTAAATGCAGCCTCAATCACCATCTCCTCTCCCCTTGGTACCTGTTCTTTTATTGTTCTCTTTCTTTAATAATCATTTTTCTCAGATTCTTTCGCTCCCACTAACCCCTTGCATCTTAGTGGCTTTAAACCCTTCTCGACATTAAAAGGAAAAAAAAAGGGGTCATATAATGAGATTGCTATGATCAAGGGTTTAAAAAGGAATCGTTTATCTGTTACGTAGCATTTATAACAGTATATTGCTATCATTGTTCTATTTTATTATTAGTTATTGTTGTTAATCCTAATAAAATTTACGGTAAGAACGAATCTTCTGTCCGTCACATTAATTTTATTTTTCCAGTGTATTGTTAAAATTGTTCTATTTTATTATTACTTATTATTGTAAATCTCTTATTAGGCCTAATTACAGTAAGAACTCTTCTGTTTGGTCAAATAACTTTTATCTTAGAGTATATTGTTATATTAGTTCGATTTTATTTGTTATTTTTATCTCTTTATAGCTAATTTCTAAATTAAGCTTTATCAAAAAGGGTATAATACAAATAAATTAGATGCTAATTAGAATCAGTAATATTCACAAATTTAGGCATCTGCTGGGGATCTAGGCACATGATCCTCACAGCAGTTTTAAATAAAGAAAATTAAAGATTTAGTTTAAATTTCTGAATTGTCTTTGTGACCAATGAATTTAATATGACTGACTTCTTTTTTTTTAAGTGAACATTATCTACCCGATTGCCACCCAGCTCATCTCATTTATATTTCCTGGAAATCAACAACACCAGCGATTGTATCAGATTTTTGCTGATCAAGGTAGCCATTGTAAATATGATATCATCCTTGCAATAGAATTTGAAACGTCAAGGTCTTTCAAATTGTTTTTCTTGCATACAAGCATGTCACTTGTTCTAAGAGTTTGACCCTAGTTGACAAATGATCACATTTGCATGGCGTAATGGTTAATGAGCTAGCTTGTTCGACCATTACTACAGAACAGTGAGTTTGATTCTCACTGAGTGATCCATACTTGTGACCTTCTGACTAATATCCCTCCTCAGCATGTGGTAATGGTTAACGAGCTCACCTGGGTGGCCATTACTATTGAGCAAATGAAGTTGATCCTCACTAGGTGCCCCATCCTTGTGCCAAAAACAAAGCATACTTAAATTTTAAAGATTCCTTGTCATGGTAATGGTTAACGAAATAAGTTGGACACACATTGCTATTGAGGAAAATAATTTGATCCTCATTGGGTCCCTATTGTTGCTAAAAAGGATTGCATCAACATGGGGGTAAAAAGATTAACCTAGTTAATTTGGTGGAGATTACAACAAAACTAACGTTCAGAAATAAATAAATGGATTCGTATCAACATGATATTTTTTCTCTTCTTTAATAAGAATACCAAAAGCCAAGTTCGTGAATATGAGAGAGGATTATATTGAGAATAAGTAGACAAACCTGTTCAAGTTATTCAATGAAACATGTCTTAATGAAACACACTGCCAATATCCAATTGATCCACTACTAAGACTCCCCCAGGGGGGGAAAACTTTGATAACTAATAAGTACATAGAACAAATCTGATTAAGATATCTCATCAATTGCCTTTTGCACATATTTTTAAGAAGTCAAGAGACTTTATGGGCAGCCTGTTCAATATCAGACAAAATAATAGACCTGAAGATGGTCAGAGTTTTTTGATGAAACACCTTTAACCCTTAAATGGTAAATAATCAATTGATGTTTAATGGAGATCAATTAGTTTTTCAACAACATATACCTGAATAAGACATACCTCTCTCTCTCTCTCTATATATATATATATATATATATATATATATATATACACACACACACACAAAAGCATATTCACATGAATTCTTGAAATGTTCTTTTTCTTTTTTTTTTCTTTTTTTTCTTTTTTTTTAAATCTTGACCATAATTGTCAAAATCCGTTATAATATTTAACGAAAGAAATAATTCCTTTCTTCTTCCTGTTTGTTTTCAATGGCAGCCTGGTAAAGGAACTTTTTTGAAGAATGTTATAAAGGAACTCCAAAGGCCCAACTACCACTTCCCAAGACTGCAACAAAGAAAGATAAATATACTTTACCAAAACCGCCAAATTAAAAACACCTGCCTCCTGTTAAACAAAACCATTTGGATATGAACGGAAAAGTTGTTCAACTTTACAAGGAAATGAAAAAGAAAAACAGAGAAAACAATAAATAATTTTTTATCTTTTACCCAAAATTTTTTTTTGTTTTATTCTTTTAGAGGTTTGATATTACTGTTGTTTTTTATAATTTTTTTTTTCTTCGTTTAGTTATTTTTATTTTAAACGAATTTATGCGATTTAGGTGGCTGTTCTTCATTGATACATGTTTTGTTAAAATGTTGATACATCTTTTACTAAATCTCATGTTTTGATTAAAGCATTATATATTAAAGTATTAATACATATTTAGTTAAATTGTTGATATGATTCATGAAAAAGCATTGATCGTGTTTGTTAAAAGTTGTTTTTCATTAAAATGTTATTAAAACGTGACATCATTAAAGCATTAACACATTTTGGTAAAACATTTCATTAATACATTGATATATGTTGTTAAAACATTGATATGTTTCATCAAAACATGTTATTTAAAAGTAACATTGATATCTTCAACAACAGACGATTGTTTAGGTTTTTTTTTTTGTTTTTTAATAATTTCACCCCCAAGCACATTTAGTCAGTTGATTAAAAAGATTTTCAGGGGGTTCAAGTTGTTAGTATGGTTTTCTGAATTTATTTTGTAAGTTGTATCAGAGGAATAAATAGTAAGTTTAAGCCATGCGAGATGTATTTAGTAATTCTACGTTGGTGGGGGATATATGCTATAAATCTGCTCACCTATAAGAACTCTTTCAGGCTTCTTCCCCTTATGAAAAAAAAAAACACAAATGATTTAAATGCAGCCTCAATGAACATTAAAACCCTTATTAACTGTTCTTTTAGATAAATTATATTTCTTTAATAATCATTTTCTCAGATTCTTTTCGCTCCCACTAACCCCTTGCATCTTAGTGGCTTTAAACCCTTCTCGACATTAAAAGGAAAAAAAAGGGGTCATATAATGAAGTTGCTATGATCAAGGGTTTAAAAAGCAATCGTTTATCTATTCACGTAGCATTTATAACAGTATATTGCTATCATTGTTCTATTTTATTAAAAGTTATTGTTGTTAATCCTAATAAAATTTACGGTAAGAACGAATCTTCTGTCCGTCAGAGATTTTATTTTTCCAGTGTATTGTTAAAATTGTTTCTATTTTATTATTACTTATTATTGTAAAATCTCTTATTAGGCCTAATTACAGTAAGAACGACTCTTCTGTCGGTCAAATAACTTTTATTCGAGTATATTGTTATATTAGTTCGATTTTATTGTTATTTTTAATCTCTTTATAGCTAATTTCTAAATTAAGCTTTATCAAAAGCAGGTATAATACAAATAAATTAGATGCTAATTAGAATCAGTAATATTCACAAATTTAGGCATCTGCTGGGGATCTACACACATCCTCACAGCAGTTTTAAATAAATAAAATTAAATATTAGTTTAAATTTCTGAATTGTCTTTGTGACCAATGAATTTAATTACTGACTTTTTTTTTTTTAAGTGAACATTATCTACCGATTGCCACCAGCTCATCTCATTTATATTTCCGCAAAAACAACACCAGCGATTTATCAGATTTTTTTGCTGATCAAATTCGCCATTGTAAATATGATATCATCCTTGGCCGATAGAATTTGAAACGTCAAGGTCTTTCAAATTGTTTTTCTTGCATACAAGCATGTCACTTGTTCTAAGAGTTTGACCCTAGTTGACAAATGATCATTTGCATGGCGTAATGGTTAATGAATAGCTTGTTTAAACCATTACTACAGAACAGTGCATTTGATTCTCACTGAGTGATCCATACTTGTGACCTTCTGACTAATATCCCTCCTCAGCATGTGGTAATGGTTAACGAGCTCACCTGGGTGGCCATTACTATTGAGCAATGAAGTTGATCCTCACTAGGTGCCCCATCCTTGTGCCAAAACAAAGCATACTTAAATTTAAAAGATTCCTTGTCATGTGGTAATGGTTAACGAGCTAAGTTGGTTGGCCATTGCTATTGAGGAATGAATTTGATCCTCATTGGGTCCCTGTTGTGGCTAAAGGATTGCATCAACATGGGGTAAAGGTTAACCAGTTAATTTGGTGGGAGATTACAACAAACT